TTAAAAGTTTGCTGAATCTTCGTAAAGCGTACATATTTCAAGAGTTTGCTGATGGTCTTACTATCGATCTGTTTTGCTGAATCTTTCAAAACGTTCATCTTTCAAAAGTTTCGGCGGCCGTTGTACCACACAAAGTAAATCTACCGAGTCGTGTAGCTCGGCGGTCGTTGTACCACAAAGTAAATCTTCCGAGATGTGAAGCTCGGCGGCGTGGTTTCATCATGACTTGTGATATTTTCGGCACCGGACAAACGAACATTTTAGGTCTATGTTATTTATTCGGAAAAGCTTATAAACAGCCCACAGTAGCTCCACTCAAGTCACTGAAATCAACATACTCGACCTAACTACTGCACTTATTGAGACGGACCATACGATATCACTAGCTTTTTCATAATGATACACAGTTTAAATAGAGGTTTCGCTGTAAGCAATCCCTACGTTTAAAATATGCCATGATCAAATTAAAGCCCGGTTTCCATATGATCGCTACCATCGCTACGGGCTGCCATCTTGCATGAGCTTCAAAACTACTTATGGGACGGGGGCGGTTTGGGAGGAAGCGAACCCTAACCCCCTACAGCTATAACCCCCGACGCCCGCCCCCTCGGTACATTTGAAAATCAAGATGGCCTCCATTAACGGTAAGACCCGCTATATTTCGATGATCTTACAAAAAAATAGGGGACTGTGAACAGTCTACTTTGGATTAAGCCTTCCTATTTTTCAGCATGGTTCGTCACTGTCTTGGAAAATGTGTGCGAATATTACTGGTGCATGCATCAAACCGGGTTTAGTTCGGCTGCCTTTGTGTCACAAAGTAAATTTACCGAGTTGTGCAGCTCGGCGGCCGTTGTGTCACAACGTAAATCTACCGAGTTGTGTAGCTCGGCGGCGCCATTTGATCATGACTTGTGATATTTTCGGCACCAGACAAACGAACACTTTAACTCTATGTTATTCATCAGGAAAAACTTATAAACCAGCTCACAGTAGCACCACTCTCAAGTCACTGAAATCAACACGCTCGACCAAATTAATGGAAAAGTTATTGACGTGAGCCGCACACACATTCCACTGAAGGCTTTGGCAGGGTTAGTGCGAAATTTGAATTCAGATGTGAAAGCTTTTAAATGCTCTTAACAATAACAGAGAAAATTATCCGAAGAAATGTTTTTGAAGAAAGAAAAAGAATCCCGGGTTAAGCGATAATCGGCCTTTGAACAACTGCGCCCTGTAATCGCGCCAGTAAAACAAAAGTTAAAATGTTCTACTGGTACACGGCCGACGCACTCTGGCCACTGTCTCCTCCGATTACTAGCCTGCGAGCAAGCTCTCCTGCGGTTTGGGCTAGCGAAGCGAGTCTCGCGAGAACGCGCGAGCGAGCGGCGAAGCCGCGAGGGGCAGAGGAAAGGAGAGCTTTCAACGATCTCTGATAAATACAAGCACTTGACACCGAACCATGCGATATCTTTTCAAAATCTTCTTATAATGATACACAGTTTAAATAAAGGTTTCGTTGAACGCAACCCTTACGTTCAAAATATGCCGTAATGTTATTTATCTGTCGCAAGAACCATCCAATGTTCCCCCTCAACTGTTACCCGTCTGTACGCCTAACAAACATATCGAACGCACTCTCCTAAGCTCCGATTACTCCTAGTAAATTAAAACTAAAATCAATTAAGATCCTAAAGAGTCAAGTTAGTTAGTCCTACTAGCTGCATTAACGTTCTGTATGCATCTCCGCTGTCCGCGTCGAAGGCGTAAAACAAGATATAATATTATAAGTCTTTAATACATAGTAAGCACAAACAGGCAGTAAAATACCATATACTGTTGCAAATACTAGCTAATACTAAGCAAAAAAAAAACTGTAAAAGGAACTTTCCATTTCACCATTATGGACGGGCTTTTGGTGCAAAAGTAGGGTCTGCCAATGCCTGATTGAAAACCCATCATCCCAAGCTTCATGCTTCTGACGTGATTTGAAAAAGGAAATTTATTTGAGTACTAACCGTTTAACGTTGACGTCACCTCACTACACCTTTTTATTAGAACTATTAAACAAAGACCACGCAGACAGGTTCAACCCATGGGTTCAACCTTTTGGCGTCCGAAGTTTTGTAAACAGCCCACCATGATGTTTTACATTTCTTTAAAGGCCTGAGATAACAGACACCTTTTCCGTCAAGGTTTTGCGCGCTGAGAACCGGAATCGCTGGGTATAAAAAGAGAAAAGCCGGGAAAGGCGTGTGCACACGCAGAATATATAAAGCCTTGTTTTAAGCATAACCGCAGGCAACATACACCTTGGCCTTGAATATCATTGTTTGTGCTCATGCATGCGTCTTAGATGTAAACAAGGTAGACGTTTGTGTGGTTTTCTGGGTTCAGGACTGTTACGTTTCTTCCCAAAATATAACAGGGCTAATATCGCAGCTTTCCACCAAGCTGATAATATTAGTTAATGAATTAAAAAAAATCGATTAAAATCCAAAAGAGTCAAGTTAATTAGTCTATGCTACGTCAACGTTCTATGTGCATCTACGCTGCCCGTGTCGAAGGCGTTATAAAAGATTTAATACGCAGTAGCGCAAACAGACAATAAAATAAAAATTATTTTTGCAAATAGTCAGCGAAAAACCGAGATAGTTATCTTTGGTGTTTTACAGTCGTTGAGGAAATATACCATTATCACAATTACCGCGAGCAGAGCCCGACCTGGCGAGCGTGATATATACATGAACAACCCATAATGGACGCCTCTGGCCCAGTTTGCCACCAAGTAAAGACTGTGGTTTTCCGATTGCGATTGCAGTTTTCGAACTCATTTTTTCTCGAGACTTCTACCATGATTAACAGGAGGCAGGATGAAAGACTAGTGTTAGGCACGGATACGAGCTTGTAAAGGACGGCATGCGTAACATACTAGAGTGAAGCATTCCGTCGATTAAGCGCACGGCCAAAATAGCGTTTAGAACTTTCTGTTTATCTAACAGAGAGTTCTGTTTATCTAACAGACTGAGCTATAAAAGTCAATCCAAAAACTGAGATTAAATTTGGATAAAGACGCTTACCGGATTACAACTTAACGGATGTTATATAATGGCGTTTCAGCACGTTGAATTCGGGGGTTCATTCATTTTGTAGTTAAATATTTCAGTCTTATCAGTCATGATGTTGTGAGAACGATGACTCTTGCGAATAAAATTAGTACCGACAAAGGTATGTACCGTGTCCGTCCTATGCAATATCATGCTCTTCAAAAGATATCGAACAATTAAGAATTAATGATAAAAATATATATATATATCATTATCAGATAAGACTGTTCAAAATGGTTCAAATATGATGTAAAAATGCTTCATTCATTTTTGATCAGTTTTGATATTTGTTTTGAAATCATTTAGTCTTAAAAGGTAATTATCAGCGCTCAACGTTCCACAGAAAATCATTATGATCTTATGACATCCTTGGTAAACTTTTGTATCAGCTGTCGCCTTAGGACAATATCGGTCATTTAAGAACAACATATATGGGAGTTACAGAGTTTCCCTGGTCACAAATTTACATCAGAAAGCGGAAGTCAGACGCAGAAAGTGTCACGAACAATTTTGTAGAGCGGAACAAAGGTATAAAAGAGCAACGATATCAGTTGTTTGTTCAATGACAAGATATGAGAATAGAATAGACTTTTCACTGTCAAGACACACATACGAGAGGTCTTTCAAAGATGGCTTGCGTTAGAAAGAAACAAATGATAATCGAGACCAAAGAACAAGAGAATAAACCAAGTGGAGCTGAAGTTATAGCAACGCTTGCGGACGCACAACTTAACAATCCAGGTGAAGGCAAAGTTCTTTATATCCAAGGAGTTAAAAACAATTGGAATTGGAGATCGATGTGTTATGCCAGCCAGAACTTTCGGGCTTACTACACAATGCAACTTTTTGACGCTCGAGTTAACCTTACCAAAAGAGCTCTCGCAAAAGTAATGGAAGAAGGTTTTGTTCCAAGAAACTACTTTAAGAGTATCAAGACGGTGGCGAGCTTCGGATGTGGCCCAGGTTGTGATCTTTACGGCTTCAAAGCATTTTTGGGGGAAGCTTTTCCGTTTAGCTCGCGTGGGAAGCTATCGCCTCGAATGACCGGATATGATGTTGAGCTGGGATGGATGAATTATCTACTCAGTTTAGGCTTCGATTTTGAACACCTTGAGGTAAACGAAGCTTTTCTGAACGAATTTAGTGAAGCGGATGTTATCCTGATGTCGTTCTGCACAAAGGAAATTCTACGTGAATTCAATTCACGCGGAAGTTCAAAGTTTTGGAAACTGCTGACAGAGAAAGCGAAACTTCTTTTGATAATCGATAACGCGAAAAGCTCGACTGATGATTTCCCTTCTGAAAAAGAGGAATTTGAGCGTTTCTATTTAAATGACATTCTGGGAAACAAAGCTGTTGTTTACTCTAAATTCACAGCTGCTGAGTAGACTTACGTTATATGGGAAACTACAGTTGTGTAAATAGTTTATTTTCATGATGATGCTCTATATTATTACAGACGGCGAGCAGTCTCTTATTTTCTTTTGAGACACGATAGAATGCGAGCACGAAAAACGAAGGCACGCGCGAGGGGCGAGCGGCGAAGCCGCGAGAAACATGGGCGGAGCCCGAGCAAAGCCCCAATCTCTCCTCCATTTTTGCTATTAATTTGCATAATTTTATTTTTTTGCTCGCCGTGTGTGGCTCTTATCAAAGAAGGACGACCGCTCTCGGTCTAGTATTATTATTTTCATTGGATATCATGAAAACATTCTCAAGGGATTAGAGTGTCACTAGTGTCACGGGAGTGCAGTCACAAGACCCGAAAGCCCATGAAAACCGAAAGTTTTAAGTGGGAAACCCAATACACAGAACAGACAAGATGTAAACGTAGAACAAATAAATGAACAAACAAATGGATAAATATATAAAACAATACACGTAGAAAGGACAAGAAAATATTGTGCCAGCGCTTTCTCAAGGAACCTTTTCTAAAAACATTACAAATGCATTTCCGCTTCAAATGTGTCATTCCCATCTACTCTACAAAGGGTTTTAGGGATGACAGATTTTGCAGAGTGGCTTTTTAAGGGAAAGTCAATGCGTGTCCATCCTCACCCCATCCCTCCTGGCATGTGCTAAGTCATGCGTTCTTCGTCACCAATATCCTGCTCGGGAGTGGGGAATTTGTCATTTTTTCCACTGCTTCAAGCAAGTCTTGAAGGAGAAATCGGAGAGTTACTCCCGAAATTTTTTGCAAAGCTTTCCAAAACGGCCTCCATGTTTTTTTCTCCGCAAGGGGTGGCCTAATTATGAGTTTCATGCCTTATTCTAGGGGATTAGGGCAATTGTTTAAAATCTAAGCTTTCCGAACATGAAATGACAAATGCCTCACAAAAGCACAAATTCAACCGTAAATGAGGAGGTCAAAGACAAAGAAACGTTTTTTTATATTTTAAACCAAGCAATTGGCTACTAGTATGTTAACTAGCTCTAGTACGAGTGTTACTTAAAATTAGTGTTTCTAGTGGTACATGTACGAGCCTGTTTTTTCTAAAGGCCTCATAATTTGTGGGCGAAAGCGGAAGCGACACTCCAACTTATGAATAATATAAGAAGTATTTTAAAGTGTTTCAGTCACAATTTGTTTCAGGAGTTTCAAAAGCAACGTCAGTACCCCAGCTAATTCATGTCATATTTGCGTCTAATTATCTTATATTTTATCCCAGGGCAATCTTGAACTCTTCCTCCCTCAAATAAAACAACTCCATGCTCCTGCAACACGGCTCGTTCACCAGGAATATACGCAGTGATAACCTTGCCATTACTGAGCTTCAACAGCGCACACTTTCTGTTTCCTGAATTGGGTTTCTTTGGTTTACGTGTAAATACCTTAAGACAAACTCCTTTTCTCTGTGGACCCAGAAGAATTTTCTTTTCTTTTGGTACAAATTTCTCAGCAATCTCATTCTTAGTTTTCGCTTTACCTCGTCGGTATTGATTAAGGGTGGGAAGGTATCTTGCACCAAAAGATCCTTGCAGTTCTTGATTAGGACAAGTCTTATTTCTTAGAGCCGTAAACATAAGAGACTGTGCTGTCGATCCTGGTTGTTGATGGAACAACATAGCCGCAAAAGGAAAGCGTCTCTGATTGTACACTGATCGGCTGTGTTGCAATGAATTCCATACAAATGAGATGCTCACATTATTGGACACATATCGAAGATTTCTCACAACTGGCTGAAGACCACCTGTAAGACAATGATTCACAAAATGCGACAATTCATTTCATATTTTGCATTGCTGTTTATGAAAGGGGTACAAGTACAGTTAACCTCCTTTATGTCAAGTGTTTACATTACAGAGGACCGTATTATAGAGAAGGGGATTGTGCAAGTATGAAGTTTAGTATGTTGGGACCAAAAGAACTTTTCATTTGTGACTGGTGTCTGTATTATGGAGGTGCCAGTATGGAGAATTTATATTTGACTGTACAGTAAAACCTTTATTTTCAGCAACCTCTTGTAAATAGAACCTCTCATAAACAACCAGCTATAATCAATAACTGTACTCTCTTTAGGTTCCTTTCTGTCTAAACTCCTGCAAGGGACCACTTAGCCTTTGGTCTTACAATAGCCTAGACTCACTCACTCACCCACCCACCCCACTCACTCAACCACTTCACCCCCACTGGGACGTAAGGCCGTATGATATCTCTAAGTTTGCTGTTATCAGGGCTGTCACTAAGGGCTGGAGGCCAGGGATCTCCCTGGCCACTATATGTATGACCCCGAGTTACTTTCATAGGAAACAAAAGGAAAATAGAACCAAAAGAAAGGTACAAGGGACGTGGACAGGGGCAGTTCTTGGCTGAATGGAATAATGCTCCTCAGAATTTAAGAGGAATTTTTAGTGTCGACATGGCACTGCTCATAATAATGTAATTGTAAGCAATAAGAAAATGTGTCAGACCTGTAGCCAGAAGAGACTCGTGAGACCAGGTCACCTCCTGTCAGTGGCCACCCCCCCTCCCCTAAGCGACCAGTAAATTTTGTTTACAAAATCAACCACTTGTAACAGTTACAGTTGATATGTTTTTTAAAAGCTCTCTTGAGGAGATAATGGGCTTCATCATGAATCGAGTTCTAAAGCTTAGCTCCGAACCTAACAAAAGAACCTTGGTTTTGATTCAGTCTCGATGTATTAATGTAAAAACACATTGTACATACACATTGTACATTGCTGTTGCCATTGCCTTTTAAGTTTCATTGTGATACCTTTTTAAAAACGCATTCATGCAAATAAATAATATTATTATTCATTCAAAATAATTCCCCAATTCTGATTGGCTAAAAGCACATGCATAATTCACCATAACCAGTTACTGATGACCAAATTTGGAAGAATTTTGTGTTTAATGAGGAAATGACGTCAAAAATGGAGCCTGCTACAGGTTAAGGCACCATTAACCGAGAAGACCTGGGGACAAGATTGAGTTGTTTTGGTTGTGAAAAAAAAAATTAGTGGACATTTCACTTGTTTCAAGAGTAAGAACTACAGCTGGAACTAGGCAAAATAGTGGCTAAAAACATAGTAAAAACAGCGAGAAGACAACTAGGAGGGCGACATCTGCTATTTGGAAAATATTTTGCAGAGCTGGACAAACCTAAACATAAAATATCGAAGATAAAACTTAACATCGATGCAGGTAAGCTTGTTTTAGCTATGTTACTTTTTAAACTAGGAATTATTTTGAATGACTAATAAAACAGTTATTGAATTCGGCTTTCGTATCATATGAAGAATTATGGAGATCTTGGAGAGTGTTATCCGCCTCGGCCTACCGCCTCGAGGGATTACACCCTCCTCGATCTCCATAATTCTTCATAAGATACTCAGCCTCATTCATTAACTGTTTAATAAATCATAAAATAATTTGACTTGATGTTGTATGACTACTTATACAAAATGAACACCTTTCCTAGTTATTGGAAAATCATACTTGTTTTCTGTGGTCAATGTTTCTACAGTAAACCATCTACTAAATGACATCCCAAAGTGTTATTATTAACTAACCATTCTAGTTTATCACTGACTGCTGTACCCCTGTGTCTCTGCCGTCCTTAACTAATACTTGCTATTTATGGACAGAAACAGACTGCATGTATGTCAATTGTTAATAGAGTGTTTGAGTGTGAGTATGTAAAAAGCCAATAAATTTCATCTTTCAGGCTGGACAATGCCTCAAAAGAGATATCTGACTGAGCCTACCAAACAGCTGATTTTAAAAAAAACAGTACTGTTAGTCAACAGTTTTGATGACAACAATACTAAAAAGAGGCTGCAACTATTATCTTAAAGGTGTTTTTGTTTAGCTTCTGAGTTTTTTCTAAAAAATTAAACTTAAGCTAAACAGGGCTCTAGAAACTAAGTCTAGTTGATACAATTATGCAGGTACACAAGAATTAAAGAAATACACAGTTTGCCAAAAATACCTGTTAAACATGTATAACTCCTTGCTGTGATCTTCACAAATTTGCTTTTGTGTATTGTCTAATAAACAATAGGCAAAAAATTAATGTGTTTTGATAAGCAGTATTACAGTGCTGGTGTATCAACAAGCATTTGAACTGGTAACACTCATATCTGCAATGTTTGTTGAGAGGGGAAGGGACTCAGGTTAAAAGCAGTGGTGCATTAAACAAAGCATCAATATTTCAGTTGGATATTCAGGGTTGTGCAACAGCTTTACAGTCATTTTGCGAACAACCACTTCGCTAACGTCTTAACAGGGTTCAAAATAGGAGCCACCTGAAGGTGGCAGCCAGCACTTTGACCACACTTGCCAGTGACTTTTCACCCAAGAAACAGAAATGTCATGCTTTGATTGACCAACTGAAGTGAAAGTCGCTGTAATGTGGTGATAAACATTTCATATCAGCCAATAAAGCAGCCAAAAATTTAAAAACTTTTTGGAAACATTTTACAATGAGGGTAGTGGAGAAAAGGTTTGGAAATTTAACACATGCTGCAAAAGTTGAAAAAGAGAATTCTTGTTCACCATGAACAGGTACAAGTAATAAAGATTTATTTTGCACAAAAACTTGTTTAGTGCTGTTTGTGAAGCCTTTTCACTAGTTCAAATTAAATTCAGTTTTGTATATGCATATTGCTTGACAGATTATTTTCCATGTTTGTGCTCTACCCTGGTTTGTGAGTAAAGAAGTGTGAAGGTTTGTCACGACAAAGTCACATATTTTATGCTTGAACAAACACCAAAAAAGAGAGCTTTCTTTTTCTGTTGTTGACTATTGATGGGATGTGCTGATTCATTTTTGACAGCCACGAAAAAATAAGCCTTGATAAAAAGAGCCTACAGATTCAGGCTAAGAGCGGTGATTTTATTTTGAACCCTGGTCTTAAGTTGTTTTGCTTATGTGTTAGGGTTAGTTCCCTAACTGCTTTTGCCTGATCAGTGTATGAAACAAACAGATGTTACATGCGTATTGCATTTTTTTGCTTCATGGCTTAGAGAATGAGGTATGCATATGGGCAGCACTCGTTTCCCTTCTTAAACAGAACAACATAAGATGTTAGTGAACAAGACATTAGCAAAATGACTCCTAGGTGAAACAACTGGTCAATGTGCAAAAGCTCTGAATAAAGAAACCATGGTGCTCATCATACAGGCTTGCAGGGCTGTCATTAAGTATAAGAGTGGGGGGCTGGGGATTTCCTCTGGCTTCCATGAATGTGACCCCAGCTACCTCGCCCCAATCTCCTCGTGGTTTTTCTGCCCTCGCCCGCCTTTATTACTTAGCAACCAAAACCGCCATGCTACGCAGGCTAGAAAATAGAAGAAAAATACAACCAAAAGAAGTCCCTAGCTGCTTAATTCCCTGCCTTCTTGTAGTATTTACCTGGCAACTTGAAATCTTAGTCAACTTGAATCTTAGTCACAGGGTTTGTGAAACAAGAAATGAAAGCAGAAGGTAAAGCTTACTTAGATCTTCAGTAAACACCTGTCCTTCAGTTCCCTCTCACCGACCATCATTTTCAGCCTAATTATTACTGTATAATCTCCCATAGGGGATGTAAAGGTCGATACAGGAATATGATTAAGACATCAGTGGTATCAGTCTTATCCAGGAGTTTTTGGTAATACTAGTATTCGGCATTAGAATGTAATCTCAGGGGCACCCAACGAGGATATAGTTCAAAACCACTTAACAAAGCATTGTTGAACGTATTTTAGTATTCAAACGGTAGATATAGGCATATTTTTATCCCCTAAAAACTTTTCATCTGTTCGGATTTCCTAGCTGAAAGTCTAGTGATCCGAAAATTATAGGGATAAAAACTTACCTTCTCGAAAATTTTAGCTAGGAAAAGGCTCTCGAAAATTCTAGGTGGCCTTTTTTAGGGTCAAAATCCGTTAAAAATGGGTAATTATATCATTTAGTAGATGTTCGAAAATCCTAGGAGAGGCAGCCAAGCAAGAAATTTTACAACAAATGCTCCGAAAATTCTAGATCTCAAATCGTCTTCCGAACAGATATTTTCCCGAAAATTGCCGTTGGGTGCCCCTGTAATCTGAGGCATTACTATGATCAACAAGTTTGCAGTTAAGGCATACTGGTATTTCTGGGCCAAGAAATTGGGTATCTTAGCTTGGTATCCCACCACACCACACACATACTCTCCCACAAAGGATAAAAGCTTTAGTACGTTCTGCTTTTAGATTTTGCTTGACAAAAATTAACAAAAGGGTTTTTCACTCATATCTTTGTTTATTATTGGCAAAGGAAGGCAGTCTCTGCTCGGAGGGCTGTTTGTTACTTCTGCTCAAGCTTATTTGTGGGCAATCAGATGATCATTAATTTTAAACTTTGTACACGACCGCCCAGCCCATCACTTGATGATTAACACATGCATCAACATAAACATCTTAGTATAATTTCAAACATTATCACATCTCTTAAAAGAAAGTCAGAAAAATAAGAAACTTCTTACATCTACAACAGAGGAAGGTTGAATCCCGCGACTCCAAATACCAAGAAGACCTCTACCCCTTACGACCGCCAAACCGACCGCCATCTTTGATGAATGGGGACTGGGCGGGAGCGAGGCGTATGTCCCATGATGTTGTGCGCGAGTCTCAAGTACCTGCGCAATCGTTGAAGTACGCCAAAATGGCGGCTTCAGGGAGCGTCTCACCTCGTGTTTTAACGTATTCCATTCACAAGTGTTCCAGCCATTCTTCCAATTATCTACCAACGTAAGACCTCGTGTATGCTTTGTTCTTTAATTTGCTGGCATCTTTCTTTGGTGTCAGGAGGTAATGTCGGAGGTATTTTGCATTTTGTACAGGAATATTCTCGTGGATAAACCTAATGACCAGTCATCACGATGGTCCTCAGACAGTAACTCTCCACCTCAGGTGCAATTTTATTACATTTAAAGTACTTGTTCCGTCCTCTAAATACACCCTTCATTGCTAACAAAACTTCAAGACTTTTAAGTGTTAGATATGCAGGGAAACAAAGAGTGCACCCAACAAGCTAAGCATAACAATTTTAAAGCACCATCCGCCTGGACTAAAAACAATTATAAAGATGTCATAACATTCGTTTAGGCTGCATGGGTGTACATGTTTATGGATTGGCCTATGGTGAAGGAGAAAGTTGCCGATTATAGGAATAGTTCATGGTCCTTGTTACTGTAATGGAAGCCAAATATTTTCTCACCTGGTCCCCCTAGTATTCTTTGAGGGTTAGATTTCCACTAGTCTCCCTCACAGCCGTTTTTGTCATGTACACTATGCTCCTCCCCAACAAATGGCCGCTTACATTTAAACCACAATCCCTTCCCAATTTGAGCCAATCACAGCTATGGTTCTATTTTTCTGGAACGGTTTTGCGCCAGATAGTCTTTTTACATGCCTTCCAATCATAGCCTGCATTCTATCGTATCATGTTTGGTGCCAAGTTGTCTCCCAGAAAGCCATGTTTATATTTGTCTCATTACGTACATTACTTTTTGTTTTGAATAAAACAGACTCGAAATTGCTGCAAGTTGACTACTTATCCAGTGTAAGAATTGAAACTGATGTCCACTTAAAGCAGTATTTGTGCTTTTGCCGTTCCAATGATTGTTTAGAAAAATTAATGCTTATGCTCATACGTGTGCTTTATCTGACCTTACCTGGTCTGTATCTACATGTGACGTATTGCAAATGTGTTGTATTGCAATTAAATAAGTGTGAATAAATGAACTTGAACTTGAACTTGTGACACCACATGATGGCCAATGCTGATAATCTGATAACAATTAGCTGTTTCTTGCCAAAACAAAATTTTCCTCTAAGTCGCCCATTTTAGGGCCAAATGTGTTTTTTAGTTTTTGCCTGCAGAAACCCTCAATCTTTGATTCAGTTTTTATAAAAGCTAAACAGAATCCAGCCCGTTATGGCTGACACCTCAGATGCAACCAGAAATCACAGTGACTCATTCTTTGTGTTCAGTTTACTGATAAATGATTGGTAATTGCCAGACGACGATCGAATAGTATCCCATGATGCACCTCATTTCATGTTATATTATCACTGCGTACGTGACATATCATGATCACTACTCTTCAGCACGCGCGTAATGAACATCGCAGTGCTCGATGTGTATGGTTTTCAAACATGTTTCGGTTCAGCAGCCTCTGCTTTTGAGAATACAACTGTATTGAGTTAGCTGATATTCATTGTGCTTTAAAGAAGAATTTCAGCGTTACTTTGAAGGGTTACATATGTTTCACTGATCTGTCGAGAACTACTTAATGTGCGCTCGGTCGCAACTACAAACACAAAGTATGAGACTCGGCAACTGAACTTAGGTTCACCAGGAGAACCGAAACCATGACTTATCTAAAAAGTGGCTCCAACAAAACAGCCGCTACGCTGTGAAGGTAATTGCCAAAGGAGGATTTATTTCATATTGTGCTCAAAGGAGCTCAATTTACAACTGCAGTTACAAATAAATTTTAACCTATCGATGCGACAAACTATCCTCTGAATCACCCGGTACTGACTCCCTCAATCTTCAAGGAAATTTCCTGGCCAGAATACTGATCTGCTCTTTTGAATAAATAAAGTTTGTGATATTTTTTTTTCAATTTCTGAGCAGGCTTGTTTATAGCGTTGTGCCGCTTGCATGCTGCGTGGCACCTTTGTCTGGGTTCCTATCACACTGAAACACACGGCAATGTTCACCGATCCTTGTTCTAATTTAAATAATTATAGTCAAATTCCTTTTAAAAATAACCACTATGAAAATACAAAGTGATTGCTTCGGCATAAAGTGCTCTCGAAAGCGCCCAACAGATGTAGCCTTCAGCAGGCTTTACACATACAACACATATATTATCACACATGGCGTTGAAATGTGATAAAAGATACGAAATTTCAGCCATCTTTGCTCGATAAAAAAGTCTTCAAAATGTGGGTACTTCTGGGTACTTCTTAGCCTGTGCAACATTCAGGACCTCAATTTGCCGGCGCGAGGTCCACATTTGGAAGACTTCAACATATAATCCAAAAAATCGTGAATATTCATGACCTTGTTGTGGGTCACTGAACACTTTGTGATAAGAATACTAAGTGAAACAATGAAAATAAATGCTTCTACCTGGAAATTTCGCTCTTAAGCCATTGCAAATCGGAGAAGTCATGTCAAATAACAAAATAATGCAATTTTCTTACTTTTCCTGGAACACAAATGAGAAAAAAGGCGACGAGAAAAAGACCTTATTTCACGATGGAATCTGCCATGACTGCGATATTGCGTAATGCCTCTGGATAAATGCATCATGGGATACTATTCGCTCCTCCTCTGGGTAATTGCTGTGGGTTAACAAATAAAACAATAGTAATTATTGGAAAGGAATGTGGTTCAAATGTGAGCTGCCGTTTGTTGTGGAGGAGCATTACATGACGGCACAAAACGGCTGCGTGGGAGACTAGATTTCCACATACTCCACAGCCCAATATACATATTAATAAATACGCATAGATGTTCGACTCTATTCATATAAGCAAGCTGTTTTTGAGGTGCGGAAATCTTACTGTCTTTAAGCATGTTATTCAAATTTCAGTTTGTCATTCACAAATTAATAAGGTTTTGTTATTTTGTTCAGTTTCTGATACTTAAGCTGGATAAACCAGCAGTTGTGATGACTGTAACATTCGGCAAGTATGAGAAGACCCATGTCTGCAATCTCAGAAAATTCAAGATTTATGGTGGATTAAATGATGATCACATGACTGAATTGTTACATAGGTACTGTATACACTGAGTATTACTTAAGTTAACTGTTTTTTCCAAGACTGCTTAAAATCCACTTTAAAATGTTTTGTTTTTGAAATTCAAAAATTTCCTTTGGAGTTTTGTATACACAATAATTGTTGTACAATGTGCAATGGTTAAGTGTGGACCAGACAGTAGGAAACTACAACATGCATTCTTTAACATTTTGATTTCCTACAAACAATCAGCGTATAATGAAAGACGTCTCCGATAGCCCAAGACTAGTGTATTTTGTTACCAGGCTAGTAAATTCTGTTCTTAAGTTGCCTGATGGGCAAGTGAAGTTTTTTTTAGGTGAATTTTTTTGGGGGAATTCAAATTAATTTCAGAAGAACTGTAATCAATCCTCCTCATCAAAATAGTTTTCAGGCTAGTTGAAATGACTTCTGGGCTAGTACATGCTAGCTACAGCTTTGCCTAAATGAGTAGCTATAAAACTGACTTTCTTTGCACACTGAATTGTGGCCAACATTTCACAAGGCTCAAGAAATGTACCAAACTACATGCAACCTCGCTGTACAACAGATTTGTTTGATATGTTTCACAGCATGCCATGAAAATGTCAAATTGTACAGGAACACCGTTTTTGCCAGGAATTGGCAGGTGCTCTCAAACTACGTTTACACTGGTTATTGTTAGAGAGAATCTGACACTTACATGTACTCCTGTGTATGAGATGTGAAACATCATTGAATAGGGGTTCCTTTTAAAGCGAATCCTTGAGAGAAATTTCTTGAAATGCATTCTAATAAGATTTGTAATTTGCAGTGGGCTCAGAAATGATCATATAAAGGAGACATTTAATCTGAAGCATGAATTGGATGGAAAAATGTTTCCATGTAATTATATTAAAATTGGTAAGTATTGGTGAAAGAAATGAACATGTATGTTCTGTAAAAGCAGTGCACGCCTGTATATGAGAAGCATCTGTCCTCAGTTGTTCAAAACTTGGATAACACTATTGACTGGTTAAAATGTCTGTCCAGTGGATAATGCAGTTGCCTTCTCAATTACGTACCCACTGGATAGTGTTTTTTCCAGTGGATACCACAGGGGCACCCAACGGCAATTTTTGGGAAAATATCTGTTTGGAAGACGATTTGAGATCGAGAATTTTCGGAGCATTTGTTGTAAAATTTCTTGCTTACCTGCCTCTCCTAGGATTTTCGAACATCTACAAAACGGTATAATTACCCATTTTTAACGGATTTTGACCCTAAAAAAGGCCACCTAGAATTTTCGGGAGCCTTTTCCTTGCTGAAATTTTCGAGAAGGTAAGTTTTTATCCCTATAATTTTCGGATCACTAGACTTTCAGCTAGGAAATCCGAACAGATGAAAAGTTTTTAGGGGATAAAAATATGCCTATATCTACCGTTTGAATACTAAAATACATTCAACAATGCTATGTTAAGTGGTTTTGAACCATATCCTCGTTGGGTGCCCCTGATACCATTATCCAACATTTGAACAACTGATGCCCAAGGTTAATATTATTTAAATACCTAGTTGTTTATGGAGGAGGTGCAGTTAGTCCTATTTTGCTTTCAAGCTCTCTTCTTAAATTGCCACAACCTGTTTTGTCAATCTGTTTGGAATCCCTGCATGTCACTGACAGAAAGAAAATCATTCTCAAAATTTTGATTGGCTTCAAGGAGTTGAACTCCAGTCTGCCAAGAAGTAAAGATGAGGTACATAACAGCCACTGGTGAAAGAAGCTAGACTTAAGACCTGTGTACTGTGTATCTGTTACAGGTCAAAAGTACATTCAGGTTAAAATTTTTTAACTTAGGTTGATTCTCAGTTTCATTTGTCTCATGTCCCCAACTAATCATGAATTAGGGCTAGGAGACAAAGGAAAAAGAGAATCAACCGAGGATAAAAAATTTTAACTTGAGTTTAATAATTATTTTGGCTTGTAATTATATTTATATCCAACACTCTCTTGGCCACATTGCCCCCATATAATGCAGTTGATAATTTATAAGAAAAGTAGGAATGCAATACTATTGTAATTATTATAACAAGTGTGCAACTTTTAGTTCATTTAGTTGTTCAATGTTTGGCATTGCCAGGCTCATCTTTGGTACAATACAGGCTATGTTCAAGCAATTTATGGAAGATCATTCTTTCTTTCTTTTTTATTCCAGTTCCTATCATGTCCCATGGACCCAGTTTTAATTTTAGTATCTGGTTTGTTGAGCTGCAAGGAATGAATGATCCAGAGATTGTTGAACCAAGTCTTGCCTGGTTTAACACTGTAAGCACATGTACAGTTGTATGTTATGCTTAAGTATGACTGTTGTTAATGAATACATTAATTTATAAAATAACTAAGATTTTTTCCTGTGTTTGCATAGCCTGATATAAACACGAGAGGGGTTGGGAGAATTCTTGACAGTATGCAAACCCCTGACTTTGTCTCGGGTTTGCATAACTGTCTCAAATTCTCCCAACCCCTCTCGCGTTTATATCAGGCTATACAAACACAGAAAACATTTCCTATTGCTATGGCTCTGAGGGAAATACAGGGTTCGTATGCATCTTGAAAGTCCTTGAAAGTCCTTGCTTGAATTTTAAAATAAAAATCGTCTTGAAGGTCCTTGAAAATTGTAGTCGGGGCTGGAAAGTCCTTGAATTTCAGTGCTTACTTTATCCAACCCAGCAAACACAAAGAAACCTTCAGGATGAAATTGCTCATGTTGTTGAAGAACTAGAGAGACTCAAGACTCTTTTTTGCTCTGAATGGAGTCTTTGACCAGTAGGAAAATGTCCTGGAAACTCCTTGAAAAGTCCTTGAATTTTTTGTTCAAAAAAGGATCCATGCAAACCTTGAAAATAGTAAATTTGCAAGTACTTTTCTTTACTTGTTAATTTACAACATAATAATATTTACTTTGATGCTTATCTTGCTCTAGTATCGAGAGAGAGAGGCAATACGTCTTTGCCTGAAACACTTTCGACAGCACAACTACACTGAAGCATTTGAGTCTCTACAAAAGAGGACAAAAATTGCCCTTGAACATCCCATGCTGACAGAACTTCATCAAAAACTGGTTAGCACCTTTAAAAAGTAAATGAAACTTAATATGTGTGTAAACTACACTTAGTTTCTTTGGATGTAGCAGACCTTTCTGGTGATATTATTTTACTAGCCAGGTCCTTGGAATTCTCAGCCTGTGAACAGTAGATACAGTGAACAGTAGATACAGTGAACAGTAGCTAAGTCCTTGGAATTCTCAGCCTGTTGACAGTAGATCCATCTTCAGACTGTTTCAGCCACAATTTTGTTGTACACCATGATAGTTGTTACATGTGGAGTTGGGGAACAGAAAAGGGATCTTAGTAGAACAGGAGGCGAAAGGGGTATGGGATACAGGTGTGGAGGAGATACAGGAAGTGGGTGAGAAGCAGGAGAGAAATATTAAATGCCAACTTTTTTTAATGATTTATTTTTCAGCGTGTTATAACACTTAACTGTATGAAAAATGAGTACCAAACAGTGAGCAGCTCTCCCCATGGCTCAAGACAAAAAATAATTTTAGAAATATCACTTGAAAGTGAACAAAAATTCCCACTCTGGCTGTGAAGAAAAAAGGTTTACTATACTGTAAATTTTCAACCCTTTGATAAATCCATAGGCATGCATGTGTTATTTAGAACTGGGGAACATATTGAACTCTAACTTCATTTGTCTTCTCTCGAAACCCTTACTGTAGCTTCTGAGATACACTGATATGACACCGCATTTGTCAATATTTGCACTACAACTTTCATAGACCAGATAATTATGTAATATTTAATACATGAAGCTACACTTTTTTGTTTTGTGGCATCAAACATTTGGGAAACTTTTCCCTCGGCATTTAAAAAGCTTCATTTATCGTTTAACCACTTCTACAAGCAGTACCAACTTACCTCGTCTCAGTTAATACCCAATCTATTTGTGAAGTTTAATTTGACTGTATTTTATAGTGAATTCTGCCCATGCTTTATTAATTTCTATTTTCTATTACAAATGTATTGTCTTTGTATGAAAAGTAAATGTAAGTTTTAAGATATATAAAAGGCTTTTTCAGGCTTCATTTTTTTTCTATTTCTTGTTCTAATTTTACTGTATACATGTGCTTGTCTATGCCAGTGAATTGCAAATGGTAGTGACCACCTTGATAGCTGTTACTAGCTACTCTCTCAACTGGTCATGCACACATTTTACTTCTTACCATTAATTTAATTTATTGTAATGTCACTTTATAACTCAGACTGTTATAATATTTGTTAATAGTGCCAAACAGAAACAAATCTGAATCTGAATCTGGGAGCAATGCAAAAAGGGTTACATTCAAATGAAAAACTAAGTACAGGATGTATGAGAGCAGGGTACAGAATGCAGAAGGTTCTGATCTGTGTCTCCTCCTCGTTATACATGTAGTTACAATGGTAAATCAGGGCTGTAAAAAATAAAGTTGACTCAAATAATTGATCATGATTTGTACTTCTTCCAATTCTGCAGGTTATAAATAATGACTTTGATGGATGTGAAAAAATTATAGAGGAAGCTTCAAAAGGTAGGCTTGCATTACAGGTATCATATCTCTGTATTTTAAGAAAATAATTATTTTATGCACCTGAATTCCAGGACGTGCAGGTAGAAATTGATCACTCCAATGTGATAATCATATAATTATGAACAATGTTCGATTGATTATTGTAAAAAAAAAAAGAGGCAATTGTTGACAAATTTAACTATAATATTCCAACTTGCATCAGTTGTGTCACAGTGTGTTGTTGTCCTGTAATGGACTCATAACATATAGCTCTTTTGATATCCATTTTTTATACAGTTGTTTGTTTATAAGGTTTTGGTCATTGTTTGTCTCCCTTTTGTCATCACACTTTACACATTAACCATGATGAACAATATCTTTCATGACATTTTGTATGTTTTTGTCATGTTTCCTTCACAAAATGATTGTCAATTATAAAAGTGGTGCTAGTCAAAGAACTCAAAAATTTATATAAATGTACTCTGTGGCAGGCAAAAAAAACATTAAATATAAAGTGACTTCTGATAAAGAGATACATGTAGTTCTGATTATAATTTATGGATTTGTCAGGTTATTATCTGAGTATTTCTGCTGATGGGTTATAAAATCTGAGCCAATTTTCTTCACTTTTTCATTATTAATTTTTTTATTATTCCACAGATGCTATTTTTAACCATTATATTAGCCAACAGGAGTACAAACCCAAGTGGACTGCTATCATCCCTCTTGCTCAAAGTAAGCCTTCATGTGTCTTTTATTAGCTCTGACTATACCAATCAGAGAGAATTGTAATAATAATTTATTTATAACACAACTACAGCTGTAGGATGAAGATGGTCAAGTAAGAAATGTCATCGACTTTTTGACACATTAATTATTGATATTGTTGTATTGGTTTATTAATGATACAAGTTTTTGTAAAAATGTACCTGTATGCAAGTATTCTTAAACAAGTTTAACTTCCATTGTGACCAGTTGATTTTATTATTAAATTCCTGAAATGTCACGAATCATAATAATAATAATTATTATTATTATTATTATTGTTATTGTTATTATGATTATTATTAATGAGATCACTGGCAGTTGTCAACTTGTTTTCCTTGGAAAAATGAGTGCCACATACCACTTATTAACTGAGAGTGAGCCGAGGTCCCTGTAATGACTGAAAGGATGAGGTTATTAAGTTATTTATTATATGACCTTGTTGGTGCTATCCAGGGTGCGCAAATATGCCAAATTTGGTGTATTTTACGCCAGAATCGTTCAGATGATTCCGCTGAGGTTATGGAGGGAGTCACTTCAACTCCGAAAATTTTCGGTACAACAAACAGGGAGCCACTTCGACTCCAGAAATTTTCGGTAACAAACACAGTTTTGTCCTTACCTTTTTCGCAACAAAATTATTAATACAATTTTAATACGTTAATTGTAAACATTGTAAACCTTAATTAAATCATCGAAATTAAAGAATTATACTGCACGACAAAACAGGAAAGGGTAAATTACGATCAGAATTTACTCAATGACTGCCATCATGGATTTGAGCTTTCCAGGTCAGCGGACCACCACAGCTACTTCGTGTATCCCTCATGATAGTGTATACATGCCAGGACCACGTGCTGGAAAGTCTGATACTTGACTCCAAATATTCCAAAATGACTCCAAAATTTGTGAAGAAGAAGTCACACTGACTCCACTCATCAATAAAATTTGCAAATTAACCCTTGTGCTGTCCTTGAATAAAATATTGAATGAATAAAATATTAAAACAAAATTATTAATTATTGTTAATTATTGTTTACTGGTTTCTCCAAACATGTACATATATATTGTACTGTTAGTAATGTTCCGAGGTCAGTGAAGAGAATAACATGTATGCTAATATAGAAGGCTATAGCTAGACTAAATTTAATATGGTGCAATTTATTGTGCATCGTAGTTAATTATACATGGCTGTACTCTTAAACAAATTTGCTCTGAGTGTGAAATCCAGGGTGCTTGGCATACGATTTTTATACAATTTAGCTAAAGTACACTGCAAGGTGCCATGGGCCAACAGGCTCTACTGGAGCACAGCTCCATGTTGATATGTTTGAATATGAAATTTATATGATCAGCTCTAATTGTCCATTTATAAGTTTACCTTTCATTTTCATTTCAGTTCGAGTTATCGGGAGCTCAAAGAAAATAGCCAGAAGTAAGAAAAAAAAACCATTGTTTACTACAGTGAACATGTTAGTCACATTTACTTTAACATTTTGTAGAAATGTTAACTGAAAATTGAAAGAGACTTCTCTAAATCAAAATGTAATGTAACAAAATATAGCCCAAATAGAGCATGCGTTTTACTGTTTTGAGAAGTAAAAGCTATTCTTTGTGACGAACAACATCAGCCTTCACTAGTAAAACCCTATGCCTACAACATGTCAGTGGGTGGGAAATTCAAAATTCAATGTTGCGGACACTGGTACACTGTTTTTCCCTGACTTTTTAAGTGCTCAAAACATGGTTTGAGTTATTCTGGGTAAAATTGTATTGAAATGAACTGAGGAGAAACAAAATTTACTTTGAGTTAGCTGGAGGTTCGAGTTATTGAGGATTCGAGTTACTGAGGGTAAAATTACAGTAAACGCATGAAGGAAATCAAGGGGAAATCGATTTTGGTTCGAGTTAGTGTAAGGTTTAAGTTAGCGAGGGTTGGAGTTATCAGGAGTCGACTGTAAGCATGTCCTGTCAGTTGGTGTGCCGCAGGGGTCTGTTTTGGGACCTGTATTTAATAACCTCATTTATAAATCTCTTCTCAGTGATGTTATTTAGAGCTGTAATTATATCAATGATTGATATCATCTTTATGCTGAGCTTTATGTTGTTTTTAAAACAATGATGCATCTTTGGTCAAAAACCAGATTGAAAGCTGTGTTGGGGATATTTGTTGTTGAATCACAAATGATCTAAAGTTGAACGAACATAAAAGTGAAGTTCTAGATAGTCATGTGTCCTTTGACCATCATAGTTTTATGTGTAAAACATAGATGGATCTTTGCAGAGCGTTAGGCATTTTAGAAACTTGTTCAAGATCAGAAAGTATCTTTATAACAAAGATCAGCTGCTACAGTTGAAGATGCTCTTATAACTTCTAAATTGGATTACTGTAACTCTCTTTTTTATGGATTACCCAATTGTCAGCAGAGGAAGCTTCAACTGCTACAGAACATGGCAGCTTGTTTTGTAACTGGTGCTGGTAACTTTGATCATTAAGGCCTGGTTCAGATGCCGAACTTTTCATTAGCTGAACCTAATTCAAATTGAGGTCGACCCAAATCATTCAGACCGGCTGAATTGATTCAGACGCCAATCTTAATTGGAACTGAACTAAGTTCAATAGGCGAAAAATGCCCATTTTGCTCAAACTGCTAACAAAATACGTTCTAACAATATCATTTATGCATTAGGTTCGGTACATGAAAAGTTCGGCGTCTGAATCAAAGCCGTTCCAAAGTCACCCCAAAGGCGAAATTCCCGGGCGGGCTAGACAAAAAGATGTACTTAATTCAATGTATTAGGTTCGGCTCATGAAAAGTTTGACATCTGAACCGGACCTAAGTCCACTTCTGGTAAAACTTTATTGGCTCCCAATTTTCTACTGTGTTGTGTTCAAGTTACTTTTGCTAGTTTTGAAAGCTCTAAATGCCAAAATGGTCTTGACCCTTGGTATTTTGTAGAATTGCTTCAGTACCAGAATCATTCCAGGGCACTTCGTTGAAATTCTTTAGGACTTCTTTTGCAACAAAAAGCCAATACTTAACCATATGGTGATAGGGCATTTTTCACATGTGCCGCTAGGCTGTGGAACAGTATTCACTTTGGCATTCGTAAATCAAACAGTGTTTGTACTTAAAAAAAAAATAAAAAAAGACCTACCTTTTTAGGAAATTTATTAATGATGGTTTAATATAATATTAGAGTTTAAATTTTTTATATCTTGTTATTTCTATATTTATGTATTTAATAATTATTTTAAATTTAACAATTAGTTCACGCATCAGCATTTGTATGTCGAGATATTGAGTACCGTATTTATTCGATTAACAGCCCTGGGGGCTCATTAAATTTTTGGACCTTGACAGTGGGCGCTTATTGGAGGTAGGCTCTTATTCGAGGCTGGGCGCTTATTAAATTTTCACCATTTTCAGCAAGTGAAGTATGTTTATTTTGCAACAAAACAATAAATGCTAATATCAAAACGCGAAGAGGTAACAAAGCAAGGTTTCTGTAAAATACTCTGAAGAAAACTCCGTCCTCAGGAAAGTCTGTTATTAGAATTTATTCACTCAAGTGTGTGGGGTGGGGGTGAGCGCTTATTTGAGTTTGATTGGGAGGAGGAGGGGGTGGGCGCTTATTCGAGGCGAGGCGCTTATTAACTTTTTCTGCCTTTAGGATGGGCACTTAATCGAGTTAGGTGCTAATTCGAGGTTAGGAGCGTATTCAAATAAATACGGTATGCAGGAAGTTTGGAGAGCACGAAAGAGGCATAAGAATTTCTTGAGGCGCAGCCGAGAGTAACTCTAGCCTCTTGAATGCTCTCTAAACTTCCCTGTGATCCTATTTTTCCTATAATTTCTTTTGGAAAATGCCTGGGATGTATGTCAATATCTCAACATATGCACTGCTGAAGTATGAACCAATTATTTTTTATAACATCACCAAAGTGAAAGCAAAGTAGCAGTTAACTTAAAATATTATTATAGCACACGCTCAAAGCAGAACATGTCAATGTCTACTTACGTGACTATTTCTTTCCCCTCGCAGTTAAGCTTATGTTTTTATCCAGAAACTGAGAGAAAGTGTACTCTAAAAAATATTGTAAAATCTGTTTTGAGGTGCTAGAAAACTAATTATCACTGAAAAGTATTTTTGAGAGATTAACAACTGTTCAAAGAATGATCTGCAACCACCATAGCCCACACAGCTCACAGAGAAGACAACAACTGCAACAACAACACTACTCACCTCTTTTCCCTGCTATCGGTTGACAAATTCAAACGTTTTCTCTTAAATTACGTTAAGTATAAAACAAATGGCAAACGCTTCATCGTGTACTGCTGAGTTATGGATGCACTTGGGAGACGTCTTGGGAGGATTACTAAGCTCACAACAACTAGAGGAATAGTTAAATTGACGTCATCAGCGTGCTCAATGGGAATATGTAGCACTCTTCCACTATTAAATTTGATTAGGTGAATTTTGCAGCTATGTTATAGTAATTATTATTTTTTAATATTGTTGTTACAGATCAAACTTAAATTCAGGTTTTAAAATGTTTTAACCTAGGTTGGTTCTCAATTTTCTTTGTCTCCTAGACTTAATTTATGAACAATTAAGACTAGGAGACAAAGGAAATTGAGATATTTTATTTTTTCCAAGAGACTGTTCTAATATCCAGTGGCTTGTGGTAGCTCAGGAATGAGCTATTGAATTTGGCTTTCAATAGCTGTTATTTCTACCCTTGTGCAGATGCGGACCCTGTGAGTTCACGTCCAGGTATGAGGGGAGGACATCAGATGTTAATTGACATGGAAACTCAAGTCATTTATCTGATTGGGGGCTGGGATGGAATGGTAGACCTATCAGACTTTTGGGCATTCAGTGTGGAATCTGGGCTGTGGACTTGTTTGTCACGCAACACTGAGCAGGATGGTGGGCCATGTGCAAGGTCCTGCCATAAGATGTGTTTGGACAGTAAAAAGAAGTTGATATATACCTTGGGAAGATATCTTGACTCTGAAATGAGAAGTTCAACACCACTTAAGGTAGTATAATCAGCATGTATCTTGATTATACAGTGTAAATATACAACTTACTTTATTACTGAAAACAAGTGTACATCCCTTCGCAATAAGACTTGAAGTAACTCATTGAATGATGCTACAAACAGATACAGATAGTGAGGGGGAGATAATGGGAATCAGTACAGCTACAGTGAGTAGGGGTTACCCATGTTTTTCCCAAATCTGGCAGTTTTTGAAGCAGGTGCCTACATAATATTTTTCTGTAATTTTTTGCGTTTGGGGCAGGAGGCAAATGGGGGAGGGGAGGTTGTCTTGATGTGAGTTCAGAGATGGGAGTGCTGCTGCTGATGGTTTGAAACCATAAGCATATTCAGGACAAAAAGAAAACATAGAAATCACTTATTTTGGGATTCATTGCATTGTGACATCTAGAAATCTCCTTGAAATAAAATTTTCTGATATGTAGCATATTCTTGTTCCAGTATGTGATCAATTGAACACACCCTCCATACCCTCTTAGGAATAAAGAAGTTGCTAAAAAAAAGCCCGAATTTACGTGTACCTGCTTGTAAAGTTCACAATACATAATAAATTTTCATAACAAAAAGAGAAATGAATAAGAGCACTTACTCCGGGAGCACTAAGGATTTACATATCATTCAGGATTTTTCCAGTGTGAGTCAGAGTTTTTTTATCTTTTGCCTCTCTTTAGAATGATTTTTATGTTTATGATATAACTTCAAATCAGTGGACTCTTATCAGTCAGGATACCTCTACTGAAGGAGGCCCTCCTCTCATCTTTGACCATCAGGTAATTATTAGTCATGAATTGTGATTAAATTTTTTGAGATTTTTTTGTCAAAGAAATACTTTTTTGAGCACTTGAGACTAGGTAAACGTTAAGGATATCTACATGAAGCTACAATCGGTGGATCAATTTAGGTTTCTGGGAAACTGCCCACCTACCCCTCCCCTCAGCTAACATTAGCACTTACGTCTCACTTTGGGCAAAATGATGGCTTATGGGAGGGGTAGGTGAGCAGTTTCCTAGAAACTTAAATTAAACCCAGTTGGCAACAAAATTGTTGAGACTTTGTCCACAAATGAGGTTAAACTTCAGGGAACAAAATAATCCACACTCCTCCCCTCTCCCCTCTATTCAAAGTTGGTTTGTTCTTCAGGTAGCTCGAACAGTGACAGAACATTGCATGCAGGGGGGTAGGGGAGGGAAAGCTTTATTTTCTCTTTTTTGAGTTGGTGAAATGTTAGAGAGGCCTTTAGGGCTAGTTGTCTCAACTAATTTTGTCGCTGATTGTAGCTTCCAGCTTACGGTACTTAGTTTCTGCTCACACTCAATTGCTGTCAACAGACAGTTTCCTCGTTTTGTTGGAAAAAATCAAGAATGGATGCAATTCTCTTTATCGAACAAATTTACCTTTTGCAGGGGATGCAGGGGTCAATTTAATGAAACTTTTGCACGTGTAAGTTACAAGTATAGCTATTGTTCTCAGACTTTAAAACAATGGCTACACTTGTAAATTAAACGTGTAAAAGTTTACTTGCCCAGCTAGAAAATCTACTTGTCCCGGATTACCTGAGGGGGCTTTTTTCGAGCCCTGCTTACTAGGTTTCTCTGCAAGCTAAAACTGCGTTAAAACCACATGTTAGATCACAAAACATTTTCTCCGTGGCTTCAAAACCTTCACTTTTTCTGTTGTCTCAAAAGTATGTGATATCACACATAAATTAATTCTGGACTTCACTTGATCAACTTATGATAAACTTGTACTTAAATGGAGCTAAGTGATGGAAACACCTTAGCAAGTGGCTGAACATATTGGAAAGCTAATAAACTAAAAGCTAAGATCAGGTCATACAAGTCATACTATCTACACGAGCTTTGTAAATTTTCTTCTTTCTTAGTTTATATTATTGTGCGATCTCTTCTTAGGGCCTGTTTACATGGAGTAGGGGACGCCGGTCTAGTGGGGTTGGTTTCTTTTGTTTTCACGCTCTGGGGGACACAAAACAAAAGAAACCTACACCACTAAACCGGGGTCCCCCACTCCATGTAAACAGGGTCTTAGTTAAGTTTTGGATATAGATATATTTTCATGTGTGAAGGGCGGCTTTTAGGAAGAACAGATACTTTACTGTAAATTTATTTGGTAAAACTACCTTGTATAAGTACAGTTTTTACTCACTAACACACTCACATAACATCAAGGTCAGATAATTCTCATCGTTACATTTGAGGATGAAAAATGGACCTTGATCCCCTGAGGAGCCTGTCATTTTTTTTGCAGATGTGTATGGATGTAGAGAAGAGCACTATTTATGTATTTGGTGGCCGTGTATTAACGAGGTAAGGCTATATACATTCTTGCCTTTCACGAGAATAACCTAATGTGTCACTCAAAGGTTGCTGTAACGGTAAGGTACTTGCTATATGGGGCATGATATATATATATAGCACGTGATAATGTAGAAACAAAATAATCCCTGAACTATCCTTTATATCCACCCTACCTACAGGTACCAAAGTTATTCATGATTGTCTTGGGAGAGGAAATCTCTCAATCAAACTGCTTTTTTTTCCAGTAGAGCTTTTGTCAATTTAAAAATTGTTGGAACTGACACGCTTACATTGTTATTACATTGTTGCGGCTTTCAAGTTGTTATTAAATCAATTAATATGTTATGATATCTTGAGTTAGTAAACGGATTATAACATCTTCTCATGCTCGTTCTCAGTACAGTGAAACCTCTACTAAGCGGACCCCAATTAAGCGGATACCCTCTATTAAACGGACACCAAGCCAGGTCCCGAAATCAACGTCTTATATTTCCCTTTATAACGAACCCCTATTCAGCGGACACCTCTATTAAGCGGACGAGGGCGCTAAAGCAAATTGTATTTGGCTAATTTCCTATTGTTAATAACCTCTATCAAGCGGACACCGGACTGAATTGACAATAGTAGTATTGGATTATGTCCTTGAAATACGTACTGTTGTCTATTATTAAAGATAAATCAATACATTTAGCTGTCAAAAAACTGTAAATTAGACCGATATCCGGCCGTATGATTGCCATCCGCGATCAAAGGTCATCTTAAAGTCTTGCAAAAAGTACAGCACAGCTTCGTTAGCTTCCTTAATAACAACGTGGAACTTTATCACAGTACAATGTACATAACCGTTGACTGTTAATCGTTAACAAAAATTGCGGCACTCTTTATTAAGCGGACACTTGGGTAGGTCCCGAAGGTGTCCGCTTAATAGAGGTTTCACTGCAATTACAAATCAGAGCTCTCAAGAATCAAGAAATAAAGTGCAACATAAAATGAAGTCTGATTAAGATATTTGTCCTTGCAAGAAAAAATTATTCGGTACGTCAGAGTAGTAACGTGAGTTATCTTATTTTAAAATGCCGTAGTTGACATTTCAAGAAAAAATAATTCGGTACGTCAGGGTGGTGGCCTAAGTTATCTTATTTTAAAATAGTGCCTTATTTTATTAATCATATTTATGTCTCTTTTTCTTCTAGTGTGAGTGGAGATGAGAGGGCACAGGAGCCAGTTTTTAGTGGATTATACTCCTATCACTGCCCTACAAACACCTGGACGAGGCTAAAGTATGCAAAATCCTTTGAATGGAATCTTGAGTCGCTTAATTTAGCTGATTCCAACTTCTGAACACCCTTATTTTCTTATAAAACTTATTTTTATGCTCTGCAAGTTAATTCAAATTCTTAGCCTGCAAAATAATATTAATATTGAACGCTTGATTGTAGCAATTCAAATTGATGTAATTTCTCTGAAGTGTAGTTTACATTCTTAATGTCATAGGTGACGAATTACTCCTTAATTTTGGCGCGAAATTTCAGCGTTTATACCACTGCATGAGAAATTTCTGCAATTTGATTGGCTTAGAGCAGTGGTATTTCAGCTTAACTTGAAATACCTACATGTGAAAATTACAAACCTTTTGTGGGTAGTAGTATAAACGAATAATAGCATGATTTGTATGTGATATTTGGCATAAATACCACTCGTGATCTTTCAAAATTGTCTCAAATTTCACTCGCCTAACAGCTCGTGAAATTACGTATAACAATTTTGAAATATCAGTTGTGGTATTTATGCCAAATATCACTACAAATCATGCTATTACCTATACTAATTTGTAATTTCACATGTGAAATTACAAATTGCCATGGCAACCTTCCGTACGTCTCAGTGTCAAGATGGCGACGAAGTTTTAAAATGCCGTGAATGAAGATTTCAGGGCACAAAAAGACGCTTTAGAAAACCTGAACACACAAGAGAACATCAAGAAGGTTTCTAACAGGTATTTTGCCGAAAAAGTCTGAAAAATTCTGAACTTTATAAGCCAAATTTAAGGTCTAAACATTTGAGAGACGATTCAGGATAAACATGTCAAAAATCCAAGATTGCTAACGTAATTCGTCACCCATGATATTAATAGGTAATCAAATGGTATACTCGTAAAATTAGGGAATAATTTAAGGCTCGGGAAATTATTAGGATTTGGACAAAACGCGCGTGAAATTATTCCCTAATTTCACTCGTCGCCATTTGATTACACATACTTAAAATTTGTCTAATCTGCCTTTTTCAGTATTTTAACTTGTAATGTACGTAGTACATTTTACTGGTAGTTTGCCGGTTATCTTGACATTTATCAATAATTTCCAGGGATGATTGCGCTGAGCTGCGATCCAGAATAGGCCATTCCATGTTGTTCCATTCTGTAAGTACTGAGTAACACTAAGTGTCATTATAAGCTTCTCTATTTCTTCTGAACATTTTCAAATGATGCATGTTTTCATTCGATGTATCCTTGCAGGATAAAAGGCTTCTTTATATCTTTGCTGGACAAAGAGGAAGAGAGTTTCTAAGGTAATTTAAGCCCCAATGCTATGTTCACACTTGAAGGAATTAACAAGGCGCCAGGTTATGACAAGATGCCCATCTCAGTAATACAGGATTGTCTCGAATACACCTTGCAGACAATAACTGACGTAAGCAAAGCCTTCAACAGCCTATGTTATCCAAATTACAGAATTTGGGTACCTCCAACAAAACTCTTCTATGGTTCGAAAGTTACCTTACAAACAGACAACAGTTCACTCGTGTTGCAACTTCATTGTCAGAACCACTCACTATCACACATGGCGTACCTCAGGACTCAATTCTCGGCCCAACGCTTTTCAGAGGAGTTGGGGAGGGGGGCTCATTAACTTTCTTCCCCTAAAAAGGGGGTGCTTATTACAGGGAGGAGGCTTATTTGAGAGGATGACTTACTGCAAATGAAACGTGTCACTGCCAAACCAGACTTTTTCATTTGAGTACTCGCCCTACATTGTGCGACGAATAAGCCTGTGATTCCCTGGGCTGCAACTTTTTTAAAAAAACTGTCCCTGCAAACACCATAATAAAAATTAAAGAAATTTTGAATGTCTGTGAAATAGATACAAAGAGCTGCATCTTTAGGCATGAAGACAGCTTGTTTGAACTGTTGCTTCATATGCCATGCCTTTCGACACCTTCCCCATCCGAAAACATTTCATTCAATTCCTACCGTTCTAAGCTATTTATAGGGTAACCATAATTTTATCAAAGTTGACCTGTTTCCAGGCATGTGTTTCAAACAAATATTCCATGAATTTTCTAATAAGTATCATTTGCTCACAAATCTAGAGTGGCAGTCCCTAACTTCTTTATTTTACTATTATTTGTTGATTGTGTAGTGACTTTATCACATATCATGTGGACACACAGGAAATATCACTGGTATTAGATGGAAACAACCAAGGTAGAGTACATCTACACCCAAGCAGTAGGAATTAATTGTAAAGATTTGGAAACCTTTCACAATAATATTGTTAAGGCTTGCCTTCATTAGAGGCATAATAACCTTTATGTCATCGACTACTATGCCTACTACTATTTTTTATAATTATATAAACTGCTTCTCCTGCTACTGCTACTACCTGCTGCCTGTCCAGACAGCTGTGCTATGTTTACATTAAAGGTTGAGGTTATAGTAATTATGAACGTAGTTGATGAAATTAAACGGACTGGCTTGCAATCAGGGCCTGTAGTGCTGTTCCCTAGGTTTCAGCTATATGGCTTCTGGTTTAAGGTTACCGGGGCTTTCAAAAAAACTGGCCCCAGGCCGTTTTAAAGGATAACGAGTTAATGCGTGTGTTCTCTCCGCCAGTACCGGCTCAAGGCTTTACTCAGAGGGCAACAATCGATCCAGAACTAAATGAAATCCATGTATTATCTGTAAGTACTGTCTTTCCCGATTCTGTGGTATATTCTAATCTTACAAACGTTCAAATAACTGGGATTCTTCAGAAGAAGACAGGTTTGTCTCATCATTTCCATAATTCTCGCGACACGTTTGATTTAGTTATGATCTTTAATATCTGGAGAAATTCGATACCCATCCCTTTTTGAATCCGGTTCCAGGGTTTTCCACGGGGCTGAAAAACTTGTCACTTCACCGTCTAATTTAAGGTCCATTACCAGCCGGCAGAGGGCGTCTAATCTGAGGTCTGTTTAGAAGTTTAAGGAGAGTTACTGTGACAGGACAGCTGTTGCCTGTATGTAGAGTTATTAATTTTCTTTTCTTCTCTTTAAAAGGCAAACGTTTCTTGTTTTCCTTTGTAGGGTCTGAGCAAGGATAAAGAGAAACGTGAAGAGACAGTTAGGAATTCTTTTTGGGTTTTCAATCTGGAGCGTAAAATTTGGTAGGTGTTATTAACTCGTGAATGCAAGTTGTTATAATAGCCCTGAAACGTGCAGTGGCACTGAGATCATCACGAATTCAAACGGACGGAAATAAGTCAAAACTAGCTTTCCACAACTGACACTGATGTTGAACTTAGGTCAGCTGACTCCTCAATGTCCCACCAGCAGTCCACAGAATCATCTCTTCAGCTGGTGTTAATTCCAGTCTCAAATGGATAGTGATGTGCAGGATTGCTAAACCAGGCAGGCTTTCAAACAGTGGGCTCCCAGAATATGACCGGGGTCTTGATATGATTTTGGCGTATTTCAATAAGAAGGAAAAGGAGTTAGAGGGGTCTGTTTATTTTCTACAATCCCACGGTTCAGTGTTGGCGAGCTTGTCGATACTGATCACACATTCTTCTGCTGTGCAGGTCTTGCGTTTACAAGAATGAAAACATGGGCCAGCAGTATTGGACGAAGATGCAAAATGTTGAGCCGTGTCCACGGTTTGCTCATCAGCTGGTTTATGATCACCTTCATAAGGTTCATTATCTGTTTGGAGGCAATCCTGGTAAATCCAGCCTACCCAAGATGAGGCTAGATGACTTCTGGTCTTTAAAGGTATATATGTACGTAATGCTCTCTATCTTTCCGGCTTTACGATTTATGCTTGTCACATAACCTTTTTTAAAGGTGCAGTAAGTGTATCACAAAAATTCTACCATGTTGATATGTAGACTTCCCTAGAATTATGCATGGAGGTTCTCTTCCTAATCCACAAATGGCGTCTGAACAACGAAAAAAAGATCGTTTTGCCGACTTCAGTACTCAACCGGACACACAAGAATGATGATACCTGCCTGGATGCGTTGGCCATTACAGCCGAACCTCTATTAAGATGCCATTCTCTGTTTAGCGGCCAGTTACCATAGTCGTGGCTGATTAAAGTGTCCGGTGGAAAATCACTGTCGACAGAACCTCTTAAGCGGCCAACCTTTTTTACGGACCCTTTTTCTTTCCCGAGGGTGGCCGCACCATACTTGTAGAGATCCGGCAAGTCAAGTGATGTTTGCAGTAGAAAATGGACTTGAAACGCTATTTTTTGGGTCAATGTTGAGTTCAGGAAGATCTATATCCATTATATTTTCGTGTTGCAGTTATCAAGACCTTCAAGGGAGCACTTGTTACGAAGATGTCGATATTTAATACGCAAGCAAAGGTACGTTGTCTTCCATTAGTGTTTTCAGCGCAATGTTTATTATATGGAACGCTATCACATTTGTAACATATAATGGTCGTCTGTTGTAGATTTCGTGAAATGGCATCTCGTGATCCGTTTGAAGCTCTCCGTTACTTGCAGGTAAAACATCATTTGCTTTATTCTTCATCACTACTCGTATTTTGTGAATGTTTAGTAGATCGCTTTACCCATTCTCTTCTTCACGAGGAATCAAATAGCCAGAGAGGCCCCCTCCCCCCTTCCTCCCTGCCTCCCTCCCTCCCCGGGCAGCCGACATTTCACGACGATACCACTGTCTTGCCCGCGAAATGACGTGTGACGAACGAGCGCAGTAATTCCATAAGATGACGCGTCACTACCCGGATCAAGATCTGGGATCTGGGTAGTCGTTCACGTTCCGATTGGATGAAGCAAATTTTCAACCAAGTAAAAACACTTGTCAGATCTGGTTAGTGGCACGCCATCATGCAGTATGAAATTTCTGCGCTCGTTTCTCAGACGTTATTTCACGGGGAAAGCAGTGGTGGCGTCTCAGGCAAAGAATTAAACAGTACCATGCTGCAATAGTTGAGTGATGATTGAGTGTTGCTCTTTCTTAAAAGGTTACAATAAAATGTTTTTTTCTGTAGAATGAACTTTCAGAGACAGTTGCTCACGATGACATAGAGGAAAGCCAAGAGGTATTAAGCTCCCTCTTTCTATTTTGGGTAAAATTTTATTTTTTTTAAATTGTCAATTCATTGACTTGGCTCCCAGTTTGGAAATGTTCCTCTCTGAGGTCACGCGGTAAAGATGATACCCAGGGAACACCTATCTTGCTCAAAGTTCAACATTATTTGTGAGAGCGGGAGCGTTTAATTACCCAGTTTAACAAACATCTCTTTGTGTGTCTTAACACTTCTAACCTCCACTGTAGCTAGAGAAGTGAAGTTGGCTTCATTTACCGATAGTTCCCAGGATACCGGAAAATAAATAAGTAAATAAATTATTTACTTAAATTTTTCTGCTTATTATACAAACCGTAAAACCAAAATAGTCAACAAGGTGCCGAAACCACTGATTATTGGCCCAAAGAAATTTATCTGCCTTGTACTTAGTGTCGTTACGATGACGTTCTGCTGTAGATTGCGATTTTCATGCGACGGTGTTTCTGTCATTTTGAAGAGGTGTATTAATAAGGTCATGCTTGTTACTTTCCAGTTCCGCCTTCTTGCATCCAGCCTGTTTTCACATCCAGCCTCTATAGATATAACGGATTCAGGTACATGATTCATTGTAGTGTTCAGCTAGAACTGGTAAACGTTACATGATCCATTATCGGAAGTAGCGAAATAAGTTTTGTCCAAACTGTTTAATTTTCAAGTATAATCGAATACATCTTCTCCACGTTACCGTCTTGCGTAAACAGGGTGTGACTCTGAGGGTTAGAGAGGATCCTGAAAGGAGCTGAGGTTCACCTCAGCAAATTTTCAAATGCTGTTTTGTTTATAGCACTGAAAAAGCATTGTTCAAGATATGAAACTTACTGTTATGGGTGTTGTCAGAAAAGCATATGTAAGGTATATTCAACGGACTATAAAGTTTGCGGTTATACGAGTCAGGAAACTAGACCAGCAGATATTTCAGTGTTTTCATTTGTACGTCCAGTGAACTTTTCACGAAGTAAATTTTATGGTAATCGACTATGCGGATGCATTATCGATTATCGAATTGTTCAAAGTTTTCCTTCATTTTTGACTAAAATCGATGATGGATTCACTACAAGGTACATGCCCTATAGAAAAATTCTCTCGCTTTCGTAGTGAGATTGGCCTAACATGTGACCATCCCCTAATTTATAGTAAATTAACTTCAGGAAATGCAAGATAATGGAATGTGGTGTTTGTGATTGCTCGAATTTGTTCCCCTTCTTTCTCCCATTTTCTTTCAGAGCCTCTTTCGCCTCCCAGTGATGGTTTTACAGGACGAACTCAGGTAAGGACTAAACATTTACCCTGTTTTTGATTCTCTCTTGGTCACTAGTGAGAAAAAAGGCGAAGAGCAGATGGGAAACCGTGACAGACCTACCCTGCAGCAGTGTTTTAGCATACATACGAAGTCGTTTACGCTGCTTACCTGTCTCATACTAGTCTGCCCTATCGCATCTCTTCTAGCAGTGCATGTAGGGAAGACTGCGAGCCTTTTCGCGGGCTACAGATCAATACAGAAAATGCTCCAAAGGGTGTACAGCAGTACAATCCGCGCTTGAATCCACTGAGAAAAATCGTAGTGTCAAATAAAATTAACCCTTGAACACCAAAAGAAGACGTCTCTCATGGTTCTGCTGCTTTTTGTTAGAACTATACTTTAATTTGTCGTTGGTAGCTTCGGCAAATAATTTTACAAAAATAAAAGAATTACCCTTTCTCTCATTGGAGTCCTTTGTGGAACAAACTTTGAAGTGAACGGGTTTTATGGAAATATATACACCCGTGCCGTCTTGGGCATCCCATTATAGAAATTCGTTTACTTCAATAAGGCCGCAGTATAGACGATTTCCGTGTTCGTAAACGCTCACTTTTAAAACGAGGGGCTAAGTGTAAAACCTTCCTTGTGAAAATGAGCTCTATATGCATGAGAATATTACATGAGAATTTTCATATCAATGGTTTCGCACTTAGCGTCGCTTTGAAGCTGAGGCTTAGGGCAATTCGGAAATGGCCTGGTCAAAAGGTCTATCATCAGTCTTATTTCAGTTCATACGTGGAGCCGTTCATATTTCATCCCTGAACCTGAAGCTGATTTCTTTATTTGTTTGTTTGTATTTTTTTTCCTTCCAAGCCTCGGAGCCAAGTGTGAATTAATCATATCGAGACTGGTTTCTAGCCGAAAAAATCCGCGAATCTGAAAAACGTACATCCTAATGGATTGTTTTGATCAATCATATTCCTGGCACTGCAACTTTTAAAAAGGCAAAAAAAAGTAACAACAAAAAAGCAGTGTTTATAGGTTTCTATCGACACAACTTAAAATTAACTGCAAAAATTCATTACCGACCCTAAAAAGTTCTCTTCTTTTCCCTGTTGCAGCTGTTCGATACACTGGTGTCTTTCTTCCCAGAGCACATGACACAGCCAAAAGGCAATCTTGTTGATCTTATCACCTTCTAACAGCCTGAACTGGGAAAAAGAAAGGAAACTCAAGAGCTGTGATAAGAGAACAGGAGTTTAAATGAAGCAATCCGTGGTAGAGTTGACGACATTTAGAAGGAGACAAATCGCAATAGCACCTCCATCTTCAGAAATAAGGTCGATTGACGTGTGAGTGGGTGGCCAGGACTCGATTTGCGACTTAATTTTCACCCTCGGTATAAACAATCCCGTTTTACTATATGTCTGCAAAACTGGACACTTCCTTATTACAACGGTTTGCATTGAGCGTCATAGCGACAAATTTAAAGTTGTCTACGCCCATCACACCAGACACGGATATTCAAATGAACCAATCGGCTCTCGCAGCGAATACCGGATGCTGAAATAAAGGGAGAGAAAACAAGCGACAGCGAGCGTCGCCATTGGCTAAGAAAGAGGCAGGGTTATTTTTTGCCAATCACAAGGCAAAGCAGTGGCATTTCCTTTGTGCAGTCAGTTGAAGTCTGGTTCTAAATGACTCTGACTCAACGCAACTTTGGATACCTACATTTAATAATCAGAACCAAAAACCAAACCAAAAATATCTTAGCCTGATTTACTGAGTTATTTTTGCCGACAGTCCGTACCAAGTGAACAAGAAAGGTCTTGGTTTCAAGGCTGATCGCCTTTGAGTGCTTGGAATGCGATTGACGTTTAGTAAAATGTTGCTTTGGCAAAATTTATATTACCTTGATAACGGTCAATACAAACTTTTGAAATCAGTAAAAATGGTATTTTGCGCGTCAAAGACCGCACTAAAAACCGGACGTGGACGTGCAGTACCCTTTTTTTGTGTGCAGAACATAAACAAACGACGAATTTATCTTTCTCTTTTTGACATTTTTCTTGTCAATTCAACTCCAAGAGAGTTGTGAGCAAGTTGCGATAAGAACATAAACAAACGACGAATTTATCGCCCTTTGGCATCTTTTTGACACCCCTTTTTTGTTGTCAAAATTCAAAACTCCAGCCAAGAGTTCGCCTAGGAGATATTTAACAGGGAAGAAGATTCAGTACCAAAGTCTCTATCAATTTTGGGGGTGGGAAGTTGTCTGGGTGATTCATCTAGAAAAAGAACTCGTTCAAAGAGCTTCGTAACATCCCAAACCATTAGATTTCTCTGGTAATAGTAAGTAGCAGCTTTATTAATGGGTCAATGTATTAAGTTTTCACAACTAATTGGGGACACAAACAATTGATTTCAGTTAATTTAAAGAGAGCCGTGTTTCATGAAGAGCATTTTCTTTCATTGTTTCTGAAAATGTATAACTTGAGATGTGGTGTGAAATCGTGATTGCTGAAAATTCGAATAAAATTCAAGATCATTTTAAAATAAGTCCACGAATTCGAATGATCCGAACTCTCCGATGACTTGCGGTGACTCAACATTCCAAAGTCCACCTTATAAGGTTACGGCCATCCGAATGGATCGGATGTCTTGCTTGTACCGTCATAATCGGCTGGGTTTCCGATTTGCAAATGCACAACCGAACTTGTGGAATGAAAAATATTTTAACAGTACAGTGATGTTAAGATAATATGGTTGTACCTAAACAACTTCCTATGTAAGATAGTAACTGACTCTGTGTGACATTAAAGACCGTCAAAAGGCTACCAATGAGTTGGCTTGATTGTCATGTTATTTCTTGTTGGCTGAGGCAACTTTTAGGCACATTATGCTCGTTAATTTGACCGTTATGCTTTTTGGCGTCACCCTAAAAATCGTACCATTATGCCGAAAATTATGCTCGCATGATGTTGGCCGAAATTTCGCCCTTGAATCCACGGTACCAGGCATACTGCTGTAACCAGGCCTCTAAACCAGTAACCAAGCCTTAGAAAGAGCATATCTGCCCTGTGGTTCCTCTTTATCGTCGGTTCAGTCTTTGATACTTGGGCCTCCTGTAGAAAGTCCAAGTCTTCATCTTGAGAATGCTTGGATTTTTGGCCACAAATTAACGTGCAAGTAAGCTCTCGAGTCGGCGGAGAGGAAGCTCTTATTTGTCCCAAATTTGTAGACGTGGTCACTTCACAGCGAGGAGTGTTCATCTTAAAGAACGGTTCGTCGTGCCTGTTCTGTGCGATCTTGTTGCACATGATGTAGACTGGCGAAACCAGTCATAGGACCATAGAGTACTAAAGTGATGGCGTCATAAAAATGAATTTCTGAAATTTTTGGATTTGTCAGGATATTCTGAAAGAAAAATGTCCAAGAGGCCTCCTTGCCAAAAATGAGCATTTCGGGGCAAATTTTCCCTGAGATCGTAGCCCAGTTATGCTTAGAAAACTCCATTCAAACCCTTCTAAATTCTTTTGGGGTCGACCCAAAACAAAATTAGAAGGGTTTGTATGGAGTTTTCTGAGTATAACCAGCTAACCAGACAATTTGCCGCGAAATGCTCATTTTTGGCAAATAGGCCTCTTGGACATTGTTCTTTCAGAATATCCTGACAAATCCCATAATTTCAGAAATTTCATTTTTATGGCGTCATCACTTTAGTGAACCCTTCCGCTCAGCGAACGTGACAAAAATCAATCTCCTGGTAAGCGCGCTGTTATTGGTCAATTCTGCGGACCATATTCTACCACGGCCCTCTTCATTTCCCGCGCACCCGATCCACCTCAGAGAGGTTCTTATCTCTCTTGGTTCGTACAGTAAGTTGTAACGTATAGATCCTCGTTTTTCTTGTTCAGTTCAAGTGCCTTAAATCATTATGACACAGCGTGTCATACTGTACGGACCGAGAACCCGGCATTTGAGAGGTAGAATCACCGCTGTCGTGGAGGTGATTTTACCTTTCCGACCACAACGTCCAAGGCTATAGCTAAACTATAGCTAACTGAGATATTACTACTGTAAGATTCCTAAAGTAAGCCCCTGGGCTTGTATTTTTCAAAGGCCTTTTTTGGGGAGGGCCTATATTCGGAGGGGGCTTACGTACGTAGGGAAGTTACCACTTTTGCTTTGTTTTACTTGTATTCGAGGGCAAATTGCAAGTACAAGCCCCCCGCAGAGCTGATATTCGGAAGGGCGATTTAACGGAGCGTCTTTTGGGTTACGACTTTTTGGGGGCTTATATTTGGAGGGGCTTATACATGGAGCGGCTTATTTTCGGAATTTTACGGTAATTGATCAAAAACCTATGGTTTATTATACCGGTAAAATCATAGAAAAAGGCATCCAGACCACAAGCCATACACAAAACCGCCCAGTGAACAGCAAAGAACGATTTTGGAAAAGGTCAAAAACAAAATTTACTTACCCAGCCCTTCTTTCCCTTAAAAAGCGTTGGTTTCCCGATTTTTTTTTTTTTTTTTACTGAATTTTACAATTCGCTACCGCCATAGTCTTAAAAAGTTATAAAGTACACAGCTAGAGGGCAGTTTATACTTCGCGACGATGCGTAAAACGTACTCTGACTACTCTGTAAGACACGCGTGAGGACAAATGTTTATGGTAGCAAATAGGCCACTTCCGAGTTCCAAAAACCCTCACTTTCAAAATGAGGCCAAGTGCACAACCTTTCTTGTGAAAACGAGTTTTGTTTGCATGAGAATGAAAAATCATTTGCATATCAAAGGCTGAGCACTTAACTTCGTTTTGATACAGAAGCCCAGGGGAACTGGGAAATGGCCTATTGAAATCCCAGGCTAAGGTAAGTTGTCGCAATGCAAAAGTCGTACGTACTGATTTAGCAAACAGCCGACATTTCGCGACGCCACAACTGGTTTCCTCGAGAAATGACGTCTGAGAAACCAGCCCAGAAATTCCATACTTATGAGGCGTCACTACCCAGTTCTGTAATCACTAAAACAGAAGACCTAATCGTTTTGTTAAAAACAAGTTTTAACAAGTATAAAATGGGAACTGGGATTAATTATTTTGGACTGGGAAAATGGGATTTACTCACTGATTTCCACTTGGGATGAACAATTATAAATGGGAATGGGATTTTTTTACCAGTGGTTCAATATTTTGAAATAGAAAAATAAAATTTCGTAGCAATAGACCTTGCACTCCTCAGTAGAGACCATGAAATCAGTATTTTTCGCCTTCGCGCCCGCGGTCTAGCTACCAGGCTTACACGGTTGCATAGTTACGTTCTGTCAGTTTTCCTGGCAGCGGACAAGTTCTGCAAGTTTGCATATGGCGGGAAGATATTGTGAAGGGAAGATAAAAATGGCTTCGGAAAAGGTTTCTCGCAAAATGGTACTAGAAATCAAGTACGTCAATGCAAATAACGCCGTTATACACACCGAAAACTCTAAAGTTTTGTTGGATTTAAACGTAAAAACCGATTAAAATTATGGGACTGGGATTTGTTCGTCAGTCTGCAGCACCAAAGCAGGTCTCAATTTAAACCAAAAAGTTGCACGTGAAACCATCAGGATGTCCGTTGTTCGTCCGTTTTGCTGGACAAAATTGATCATCAGGATGGTCTGTTTTGGACGACATTGAGCTATGGCGGTTGGCAGCAATAGGGTGCTTGGGAGGGTTGTTAATTTTGTTCCTGTCGTTATGCCTACGAGCGCGGCGAAAGCCTACTACATCCAAACGAAATTTGGTGCCTGGTCCACAGATAGAGCCACCGAACCAAAGAGCTATGGTCGAGGTGGGTCGTACATAAATCACTTTTATATATCAAATATTTTGTTACTATTATTGACCTGCCTGGGTGAAAATAAAATACGGCGTTGTGTTCTTTTTTACTAAAAAACGGTTACGCTTAGCCTTTGTAATACGCGACGTTTAAACTTTTATGCACAAACTCCATTTTATAAAGTCATCAATTAAACCAATAGGTCTAAAAAGACAACTTAACTTGTGCTGAAAACTAATTCCCGATGACAATGGGCAATTTCCGCGGAAAATGAGAAATTTCATCTTTAAGGAGAAGTTTAAAAAAAAAATGAAAATCGCGCGCGCAGACAAATTGCTAAGCTGTAACTGCGCGCGCTAGAATTGCCTTAAACCGCCATGCATGGTCAAATTGACCATTTCACTGTGAAAGTTTCTGACAGTTTTTCATACGAAAACAGGGACTTTCCAAGAGAAGGATCTATTGACTGGTAAAACAAAAAAATGCTGCAAAAATTGATAGGTTGATTTATTAAAAGATTGAGAAAACGACGTTTCGAAGGCTAGCACTTCAGTCACAAGAACGGAGCAAGCGCAAAACGTTCAGCAAAACAGTATTTTCTTGGCACGTACACCTGTACTCTTAATTGCACACAGCCTCACTAACTCGCGCAAATTACTCTGATCCGATATGTATATTTGTTGTTCCTTCTCCAGGAAATAAATAATGAGCCTAAAGAAAGACAGAAGCCTAAACCAGACCCGGACATAACAATAAAATACTGTAGCAATGGGTGCCAAGGAGCATGTGCTTGCCCAGCTTTAAACTATGACCAAATGACACTGACCAACAATGTAACTTCATTAACTCTACCTCCACTCCCTGCCCCAGAAGATATTCCACCCTCCGATCCCCTTCCGAAAATACCGCGATCAGAAAACCAGAGCAACCTACGACAAAGAACAAGAAACAAAGGATCAGCTCTGAGCCTGAGAGAAAGGGTGGTAAATCGCCAGCCTGCCGACCCCGGAAATGAGTCGAGCAGGAATGAAAGGAAAGGAAGTGAAGGGAATAAAAGCAAAGGGGACCCGCGAAGAAGTTCCCGCATTGCTAAAAAACAAGCAAAAGAGAGAGGGGAAAGTAAAGTGGCAGAAAGGGGAAGTGAGCATCGGGAATTGAAAATTGTCAGCTGGGTAAAAAGAGGATCAATCAATAAACAACTTAGCAAAGACAGAAGCAAAATAGAAATAAAAAAAGCTGGACCTGATAAAGACTCGAAGAAGGAAGAAAGTCCCAAGAGAGTAAACAAAGTCAAGCAAGAAGACAAAGGCGAAAGTACAAAACAAGTCAACAAAACCGGAAGTACCAAAACAACCGGAAATAGCAAGAGCGCAAATAAGGAAGGAAGCTCTAAGGAACTTAACAAAAGCGAAAGCAAAAAGCAAGTGAACAGAGTTGAACGCTCCAAAGGAGTCAAGAAAAATGACGAGACCAGCATTGACAATGTCAGCACAAAGCAAAGCAGGAGGGATTCACTCAAGTTACTAAGAGGAATGATCAGTTTTAGGAAAACCAGCAGTGATGGAGGAAAATCCACACATTAGAATAGAATGCACAGTTATACAGTTATATTATAGCAAAATAAGACAGAATCTATTGTCTCAACACTGGAAACAACCTAAGTGTCTGTGCTCAAGAACTGTTTAACGTTACGTTACGTGATTAAATCTTTTATCCATCAACACACTTTCATTTTAAAGCAGTTTCAGATTTTTTTATTCCAAAAAATGACAAAGCCTCTACAATATTTTACACCTTTCAAATGATCGAAAAGTCAAGTCTGTTTCTTTTATCCATTGGTCATTTTTTCTAGTCCATTGATCATTTTTTATTATAATTATTATTTCACTGTTTTCAGACTAATGTTGACGATTGGCTGATCCTATCCAGCACTATTACGTTAACATTACTTCTTATTTTTTATTTTAACCTACGTTCGCTTTAAACGTCTTAGTTGTCAATAAAACTTCTTCTGAGCTGTGAAATTTTCATTTCAATTTTTAGACTGCGAGCAGTCTCTCTTTTTCTTCAGCCTCTCCCGTCTCGCGCCTTCAGTCACGCGCGTGGTCATTTGCGTGTCTCGGGCGTTTTGCTCGACGGACCAAGAAAAAAGACAGACTGCTCGTAGTCTAACAATTTTACTTAGAAAGCCAACCCCTTTTACTCATAAAATCACTCTCGTTTACTTAAAAAGTGAATTTGAGCTGTTTCAAACGCCATGGCAATTATTCCACCTTGTTCAATTTGTAAATGTTGGCGACATTTTCTAGAACTGAATTCTAAACGTTCAGAAAAATAAATAGAAAATCGTTGTTTTTTCTTCACGTCCCCCATTAAACGTGAAGTTTTAAAAGACGTTTTACGTCGCAGTCGCGCAACGACGGCAGCGAAATGTATAAAAAAGCATGATGAACAAGCAATGATTGCTATCTTGCCCTTCTCGTTGCTTTTGCCGTCGTAGCTGTGCAAATCTGACTCGTCCCCAGTCGTCTCTTAGTGTTTTGTAAGCGGTCACGGAACGGCCGCGAGAGACTATTGCGGCCTCTCGGCGAAAGAATCAATGGCAGGCCGACCGGGCTTCTGGAGAGTCTCTTGTTAATTAGGGACTTTAAGATCCAACGACGCGGACGGCGACGAAAACGTAAAAAAAAACAATAGGTCTTATAACCAAAACAACAACTTTGCACGTGCATCACGCTCGTTTGTGCATTTCTCTACCCGTTTTTTCACGACTACGACGTGAAAATGACTAATTTCGCGTTTTATGGAGTACGTAAACAAGCAACGACGAAATGCTATTTCTCTTTCTGAACTTGGATATGGTCCCTTGGAATTCATTTCCAGGAGGGCTCGCCTACATTTGATAAGGTAAGTGGGTAGGAATAATTGCGATAAAGACTGAAAGAACGCAAATTCACTTTTTAAGCGACGTTCTCTTTGCCGTCACGTCGTTGAATCTTATAAGTCCCTATTATTAATAGCGGCCTGAGAGACGACTGGGAACGAGTCATCGGCAAATCATGTTATATTCATATTACCAAGGCCGTGAACATGTGAAAAACAGAAAGGTTTGTAAGAATTTAAGGTCACCGCCTGCCTTGATTCTATTCAAACGCACGACCATAAAAATGACCATAAAATGGCCTGCTGCCGGCGTAAAAGTATTAGAAGTGAGAGCCCTTTACCCCCACCACCATTTTTCTTTTAATAGCATAACCGTCACTACCCTGGCATCTACATTTGTCGCGCGCCGACGAGTTCACCGTCCGTTGAAGATCTAATACGGGTTACATAAAGACAACAAAAGTACACGTCATCTAAGCGAGAGTTCCAAAAGGCTCTGAGAACTCGAGTTTCGGATACTTAGCTTGAACAGGAAAGTTTGCGAGGATACTATTCCGGATAGCGCCAACTTTATGAACCACAACATCTACATAACAGACTGGCAGATAATTCTGTTATCCCACCCCTTTCCTTGTCCTTATAGACTGGAAGCTTTAGTATTTACCAGCAACACTTGAATACTCTCACTGTTTCGCGTCCCATGCAAAAAGCCTTCTTGTTAGCATCTCATACACTTTCTGAAAATCTTCGCGGGTCGGCAATGCGTACGATCCGCATTTACATAAAAAAGCAAGACAACGGAAGCTTGTGTGTCGCTTTATCTCAACGCTCACATCACTGTCTCTAGATATAGAATAATTATCCAGGATCAGCTAAGTCACTTTGCCCAAAATACCTAAAAAAAAAAAAAGAAAACTTTGTTATTGCCAGTCGCAGCCAACTTCCTTTACTCCGGGCACGAGTTATTGTCCTTAATAGCAACAGTCCGTAAAAGCAAGAGTTCACTTAAGTAAAACGTGTGTAAGATTACGCTATTGTCCGTCACAGCGCCCGGGAGATACCCGCAAGGCAAGAGTTGATTGTGCTTGTACGGTTAACCTCCCATAACTTCCCAGTCAAAGCCTTATAATTAGAACCTCTCATAAGCGACCACTTCTGATAAGCCACCGCGATCATTGTTTGAGCTGACGCTTTTATAATTTTCCATTATTTTTAACATTTTGTAAGCCACCACTTTATGCATCAGTTGATCTCTTTGTTCGCTGTATGTACTACGCCACTTAGAGCACACGAAGAACTTTCAGTGACAGCGTGGAATTACACATATCTCAAATTAGAAATTGCATGCTATAAATTCTCTTCCATCATGAGAGGATAAAGAATCATAGAGCTTTATCCTCTCTTGCTTCCATGGACAAGATGTGTCCGGATCTCTTTTCGGAAGACACCTAAAGGGTGGATTCTCGTAACCGAACACTAAATCTTCGAATTTTGAGTGGTCCCTTATAGGAGGTTCGGCCGTGTATTTTCTTATGTCTCCAGCTATATGTGTTGTAATTGTTCTAAACCGCAAGTTTTGTCAGTCTGTCAAGAAAATAGCCTATTACAAGAACTATAAGTAAGTAGCGTCTTAAGGGTAGTACTAAGGTTCTAAAATCATCATCACCTATTACCTTCTGTGTACTCGCAGCATTTTAGTTTATAGGGTTATTAGATTTACTTATTCAACTTAAACAAAAACCTAAGCAAATATAAATAACAATTTAGAGGATCGATAAAGCATATCGACAAATTGGTTCTTCGTCTACCATTCATTAAGAAATGTTGGTTTTTGAGGAGAGCGAAAAACCGGAGTACCCGGAGAAAAAACTCTGGCCCCAGTTGTTCAAACGTTGTATAGCGCTATCTACCGGATAAATATTACTATCCAACGGATAACTGTTAGGGAAACCAATTGCGCTATCCACTGGATAGAGGTTTATCCGGTGGATGGCGGTACCCACCTTTTGATCAACTGGGGCCTGGAGGCAAAGGAGAGAACAAACAACAGAAAATTCAACCCACATATGGCGTTGACACAGGGATTTCAGCCCGAGCCCCACTTGTGATGGGCGAGTGCTCTCAACACTGACTGCCGCGCCACCCTTGCTCCCATCACTCGCATCAGTCTGGTCAGCGCGATTTAAGCTAACATATCGTATATGCTCTCCGTTCGTCTCTTATAGGAACCAAAGAACTATACTAGACAACAAAACGGGTAAGACTAGAAAGTAAGAAAAAATAACTTGGGTATCTGTTTCACCAACCTGGAAACTAGCGTGATGAGCAAATTAAGCGGGGAAACCAGATCATGGTAAGGAGATTCCTGAGATAATAACAATAATTATAGTGTTATATGAAGGAAGATCATTGCAGTTATATATAACGCAACTTATGCAGTTGCGAAAAGAAAGCCTGAAAAAAAATTCATGCTTGTACGGAATTTCTTTTCGCAACTGCATAAGTTGCGTATATAACTGCGATGATCTTCCTTCAAATAATTCTTCACTCCGCGGTTCACATATATGGTTTTCATATATTCATAATTTCAATAATTATAGTGTTAAAACCGCGGCAGGATTAACTCAGTCGGTAGAAAGCGTGACTGCAGAGCGGAAGGTCGCGGATTCGATTCCTGGCGCCGGACCAAGTACCCAGGGTCTCAAAACAACTGAGAAATGAAGGTACTTCCTTTGCCCTGCAAACGGGTAGACCTTCGCGTGGCTCGGATGACCACCTAAAATGGCGGTCCCGTCTCCAGTAGGAGACGTAAAATATAGTGTCCCCAATTCGAGTAGTTTTGTTCTAAATACATGGAAACTCAATTCAGTTCAATTCAATAAAGTGCATTTTAAATTAAACTGTAACAGCTGTTCAATTCAGGCTATATTTAAACGTAGCAGTGCCAAAAAATCAAGAGCGAGTCCGCCAAGGAAAGTTGATGGGTTCTTGATGGGACGATTCAGTTCAAAATGAGGCGCTAATGGCTGGTTTCGGTACAAATAAGGTGTATAACTACGATAAGTGGTACCGGACCCCGTTGGTACTGATCGACAGCTGTGGGTTCAATCAATTATCTAGAAGGCCCGTTACGGCAAAGTAACCAAACGCAGTTTAATAAATAAGACCTTTCGAAAACGAAGAATGAGGCCCCACCAAACCCCCCCTTCCCACCCCACTGACAAGCTATGAAGAATATAGTCCAGTGAGTCTAATTTCCAATTTCAAAAGTGATAACAACTTTTAACAAATTTTGTGTACTAGTGTAAACAGTGAATGAATGAATGAATGAGGCTTTATTTAATCTCGGATTTGTGAGGTTGGTTAGACCTCTGGCAAAAATATGCTATGTTTTAGTGTATACTTGTCGAAGTAATGGCGTTTTTAGTTGGAGTTCTTTTCAATCACTGCTGGCGGTGATTTTCAGATGGTCACAGTTGAGTTTGCTTTTCGTTTGACGGGCTATTAACTTGTTTCTCAAGCTTTCGCAAACTTGCAGATATCTGAACTATTAGCCACGGAGAATCAGGATGTTCAAAATAACGATGACGACTGTATAGATTCACCACATGCTGAAATTTACATACCGTCAGTCTATTACCTGTACTTGACATTCGTAGTCTTATTTTTATTCATTTTTTTTTTCGAATCCGGCTTAATCCTCTTTTTTATCCGCTTGCTTCCATATAAACCAAATTTAATTTATTGCTATTATGGATAAACACTACGTACTCATTCAATATTCCATTTAGATGACATTAACAAGATAGGCCAAGGAACAGGATATAGACCACTATATTTACATCTCACTCTTTGTTTCAAACTCACTATAATACAGTAAATAAAGATAAATTTAAAAACAAAACAGAAAAATACAATCTGGCCACTAAGTAATTATACTTAAATACACATGTAAACAAGGGAATAGCAAGCTACAAACTCAATGCGCTTATGTGTTTGCACAATGAGATGGATTTGAGTGGACTAGATTTACAGCTTATACAGACGTACAAAACACATCCCCCACCCTGACTAACCCTTTCTTCTCGGTTGATCTCAATAAAATGAGGTATTGTTACCAAGGTGAGTACCAGGGAACACGCCCTCCCTCCTGCAGATATCTTTGTAGTATTCCCCACTTCAGCCTTGACTCTACGCTTAATTTCAGTTCGCTACCAATAATAGTGATAAGTGTTATCGGCAAAGCACAATGGACACAATGCATGGAAGAGCTTGGCGAATTACTGGTTCCCACACTGTACATTCTATATATATTCTCATCTATATGAGGTTTTTCTGCGAAAACTGACCCTTTTAGTCGACAAAATACAATAAATGGCTTGGCGTTTCAGATTAGGGTTGCACTCGTTTCTTTAAGAAACAAATTAAACAAGAAGAAAACTTCCTAAAAGATTAACGTAGGTATGAAATAAAGGTTAAACCTAGACAGAAGCATATAACCTAACCAAGATTATATTACGAAATTAGTGCCACTAACGCTTTCTTTAGATCCCCACTCGGTACAACATGGTACAATTAAGTGATGTTCTTCTAAAAAAACCTTTGACCTGAACACCACATTACAAAAAGGTAAAAACTAAATTCTATTATGAAATTTACAAAAAAAAGCAGAGAGTTCAATCCTCTCGAGAGAGCAAAATTAAACACCGTTGCCGTCAATCTCTTTAAATCAAGTGTCCCCCAAACTTCAAGGCGATACCTTATCTCAAAACTGCTTTCTCCTTTCATGCAACATGGCATAGAAATCCAAAGGCTTTACAATATCTTCGTACAACAACGCCAATTGTTCATCGCTCAGGTTCTTGGCGGCGTCCGTGAATCGCCTATCTGCTAACAACGTTTCACGATCAACAGACAGACAAGGTGGCGCACTGTGAATTCGTACTCGCGAACCAGCTGTCTTCAACGTCTGCCCAGTTGGATCACTACTCCGTCGCCCCAATCTAAACGGGTTATGTTGCCCTCCTCTACCGCTTGCTTTGGCATCCACTACGGCGCCTCGCTCCATCATTGAAGAGGACCTTGGTTTTCTCTCTAAACTGTATAAATTTACGTCCTCGGGATCAATCTCGATGAAGGTTCTCATATCGCCTGTAACTGTAGACGATCTAGGTTTTCGTACTTCGTCGTCAAAATTTGCCAACAGGGAATCTGTGGCGATGAATGCTCTTGAGTCTCCTTCCATCGCTGTGAAGGATGCCGGTTTCCTTTCATGTTGGTGTAGTTGTTCAAATTCTGAATATACTGCCGTGAAATTTTCAGGTCGACGTCCTTTCTTTTCAATCTCCGCGAGAACAGATGATAAATTTGGGAAATTCTTGATATCAAGAACCAGACTCATATTTTGCAAATTAACTTAATTAAATTATCGCTTGTTTCAAACCGTACGCTGTAACTCAATCTCAATTACTGGGCAAGTGAATTACATTTGCATACCGTTCAGTTAACAATTACCGAAAACCACACCCTTAAAGGGGGATTAGCATCTAATATTCCCCATTATCATTCAATTTGTTTTTTTCCAAATTCTTGATTGGTCTAGATATCATTGCGTCACCTGGAGATAAGTGCCTACAAACATATGCAAAAGAGAAAGACTGAATTGTTTTGCTGCACAAATAGCCTGTCTTTGAGTAATATTGACCATGTCATGTTTTTTTTACCATTTTCAAAACGTTTCCAGAAAGTTCACTTGCAACGTATATGGAACATGGGTCGGTCCAGTGAAAATTTTTGGAAAAAACAGAGAACGGTGGAAAAGGTAGTCCCGTTTCCTGGCAGCAATAAACCTACCTTCAAGACCGTGATTTTCACTGTTGCTCAGATCAATCATTTGCCCCTGCCTTCGGCATCTCTAAAAGAATTGATATACTCACCATTGACAAATCACAATATTTGCTCAAATTTGTTCAATAATAGATAACTGTCATTAACAAAAGCCTCGCGTCCGGGGCACTATGGGTAAGAAAATCTGGTGTGAACTTCTGATTACCACGTGATCGCACATACGCCCAGACCACAGGGCAACCAATATGATAAGACAAGGCAAATATAACCACAAGCAAACGTTAATGGTGATAACTGACTGTTTATATCGTTAACTAGTAAACGCGTAAGTTTGTATACGTTTACAAACTTAATAACAAAAGCCGGTAATGTTACTCAGAGCTGATTGGCAAACGAGGAGAACATTGTCTTTCTTAATTTTTGTAATCGATATGACCAAACTACTTGACTTTTTTTACCATCAAATTTTCTCGCTCTTGATTGGTTAAGCAGGTTGTTCACGTCGCAAGATGGCTGACGGAAAGTTCTCGAGTTTTAGCAGTTGCTGGCGTTGTTGTTTGTTTGTTTGTTTGTTTTTTTTTGGTTATTATTATTTTTTATGGAAACTGGATAACTGCCAAGAGCGAAATTCTTGATAATGACTACGTATTTTTATCACGACACTTCCACCCAGAAATGCAAACATCTTTAAAGCGATTAAGCACTTTATTCAGTATTTCTCCTTCTTTAACAATTATGGCCGGACATCTCTTTCAACGAACAGTAACACACTCTATTTACAATTTGCGGCGAAACATAACTATCTAAAAACAAAGGGGCTCACCCCGAGCCATCCCGGAAATTCCTAATTCCGGGTAGGTACGGAGAATAGTGAATAGCAAATTCTAGTATCGATTGGGTGGAAAAGCGTTCACTATGACTGGTCGAGAGAGAGGTGATAAAATTCAGGAAAACCAGGTTTAAAAGAAAGCCACAAATTCAAGTTCTCATTTTGCGTTCAAGTCTCACTGCTATTATTCAGTTCTTCGAAGAGCTGTAATTTAAACCATAACAATACCCCATTTGCCTTAGTTTTACGAGAGATCGGAAAACCGGAATTGGTTTTTACTCCATGTAAGCTTAACACATGGTTATTTACCGTAATATTTGTAATCCTTACATGTCTCAAGATGTTCAATACCTTTTCAATGTCGGCTAACCTGGAATAAGTACCGAGATTTAGACTCCTCACAATAACACGAGAAATTGCGCCAACGCTCAAAAGTACCTTTTCGGAATGACGTCATTGACTATTCTTGGTTTATAGCCACTACAAAAATTGTTTCAAAGAATTTAATACATGAAAATGCATGAAGTCTTGTTCCCAGAGGACCACCAACATGGCCGCCATGACGTCACGGGCGGTCAGCAGCTATTCAAATTTCTTGGAACAAAATAAAGTTTTAACATGAGAAAAAAAATCAGTCCCCTGAGGATTTTTTCTGTACACCTGTATGGCCGCTATTTCATTGCTTTGCACAACAATATGGCGACTGTGACTTCATAATAAAAACTACCAGAGAAATTTATCAAGGCCCGGGGAGGTTGAAATAGCAGTAAAACATCTCTGAGGTAGTTGTCGCCAAATGACAACGTTATGCAATGACCTAATCACCAGGTAAAAAGCAGGCTTTTTTAAACTTGAAAAGACAACAAGTAGCCAGTTATTATTTATACTTAAGGTCACTTTTCATTTCCTTTCCACGTTTACGCTTAATGTTCTGTACAGTTTCTATTATGTAATACCTTATTCCCTTCCTTACGACTGCTTTCTCCTTTCATGCAACATGGCATAGAAATCCAAAGGCTTTAAAATATCTTCGTACAACTCAGCCAGTTCTTCGTCACTTAAGTTCCTAGCAGCGTCAGTAAATCGTCTATCTGTCAACAGCGTGTCACGATCAACAGGAAGATACGGCGGCGCGCTGTGAATTCGAAAACGCGATTGTGATACGTCCAACGTCTGACGGACTGGTTCACTGGCGCGTCGGCTGAGGCGTTTGTGTTTCCCTGAAGTTTCTGTTGCTCTATTTGACTTGTGCAATTCCCCTGCTTTGCCAGCTAATGCCGTTGGTATTTTTTTTGCTGAAGAGGTTCTTTGCCTTCCATCTTGCTTAGACAACTCGCGATCAGTGTTAGGCCCTTCTGGCCTTCCTTCCAACGTTGTAAAGGCACTTGGTTTCCTTTCTCGATCGAGGAGGTTTTCCACTTCAGGATCAGCACTGGGAAATGATCTCCGCAATTCTCTACGTTCAATTTCCTCGAAAACGGAAAGCAAGTTTGGGAAATCCTCAAGATTGATTTCTAGACTCATGTTCAGGGAGCACCTTACTTGGTATTGATATAAAACTGACTTCACTTGTTTTAAAAAATACCATTAAATCTTTGATTCCTCCGCCTGACCAATAACAAGTAAAGGAGTTATGTTAATCTTCTGAAAGTCCCAGTTATGTTATATAACACTGTTTTGGGCAACGCGTGCAGGCCGAGGAACGTGCAGCCTTTCGTCCCATTAGCGCACGAATGATTGGCCACTCCAAACACTACAGGAAGAACAGGTATCGTTCGCTGGTCGATGGTCTCCAAGGCAACCAATAACCAATCATTGCTTACACTGTCCACCCGAACTATCCAGTATTACCTGTTTGCGCAAGAGAAAAGCTTTTGGCGATACTTCCTGTAGTTCTTAGATTTCTCGCAGGGGTGAAGAGAATAGATTGATTTAGATATTCCTTTTAGTATGGGCATGGTTAATCACAGGAATATTTGGATTAACGTAAGAAAATACACGAACGAAACGGAGGAAAACAAAACCCAACACTGTGGTTTACAAGATTTTTTTCCCGCTTTCAAAAAAGTAAGGGCGGCGCTTGTGCGGGGTGTTGCTCCTTAAACGTGCTTATTTATCTATATTTCAGGGACAGTCATATATGTGGTATCCCAAATATGGCTACAAACAAATGAATGGGTAAGTGAATCAACTGCACGAATACTTTCAAGCAAGGGATTTTACAAACAAGGCTACCTGTGCAGCTTCGTGGTTGGTCTCTTTTTCGCAATACGATATTCCCCAACCAACTAACAGCATTAAAGTGAAAATGATTTATTGACGTCAATAACTAATTAAAGAAAGGTATCTAACAACAGTAACTATGGCAACCGGGCATTTGTATCATAAACTAATCAACGGTATAACTTTATAAACAATAGGACATTGCATAAACAAATCAACCGCAAATACCTGAAAACGAATCACTGAATAATTAAAGGGATAACTACAGCAATAAAGGCATTGAAATCATTAACAAATTGGGGGTATTATTATAAGCCAATAATATACGTTTTAGCATTGTGTGGAATGATTCGATAATTAAAGAGATTTTTTGAAAAAAATAGGACAAGGATTCAAAAACCAAATAACGTGATAAATTAAACTGAAAATGAGAGAATGACGTGATTAACTAATTAAAGGGATTTTGTAACAAATTAAAGTACGTTGACTCTGTTTTAGACTATAAACGTCTAGTCAATTAAAGGAATTACTGGAATTAACAGAGTAAAAACAAAACAACCCATCTGGTAATGCGGACTTTTAACGCAAATGAACAATAAGTATGTGTAATCAAATGGTGACGAGTGAAATTAGGGAATAATTTCACGTGCGTTTGGTCAAAATTCTAATAATGAACCGAGCTTAAATTATAAGTATTTAGACAAAAAGCAAGTGAATTTATTCCCTAATTTCACGAGTATACCATTTGATTACCCAAAAATATAATGGGTGACAATTTACGCCCACAATCTTGGATTTTTGACATGTTCATCCTATCGATCGAGAACTCTCCGCACTGAAAAGTCCAGAGCTTCTATTTTGGCTTAAGCTCAGAATTTTCAGAACTTTTCCATAATATATCTACTGGAGTCCTTCTTGATGTGCTCTTTCGGTCGTGTGTTTAGGTTTTTTAAAGCGTCTTATAATGCCCTGACATCTTCATTCATAGCGGAGCAAAAAATAAGATGATGTAATGCTAAACGGCGACGGCAACGAGAACAACAAAAAGACTTTGCACGTCCATAACAGTTTTTTCAATTTCTTTGCCGTTGTTTTGCGTGACTACAGCATGAAACTTCCTCTGAGTTACACCCTTTAATAAAGACAATCTCGCATGTGCTCACAAAATATTTTGTTTCTTGTGCTCCTTTTTGCTTTTTTTTTTCAATTGCCGCTGATTTTCACCTCGCTGGTCGCCAGCATTTCTCATCTTCTCCCCGCCGCTATATAATTTTCATGTCGTTGTTCCAGTGAAATTCGTCTCCTTTGTTTTGTATCTCTCGTTCTAGCTCTTTCTCTGTTATCCACGAAAATGTAGACTAAAGATTCGGCTTTGCTGTTATTTTTTTTCTCTCTGGAAGTCCGAGTGGCAATGCGATTTACCGCCAAAACGTGTGGGTGCTTGAAATGTGACATTTGACATGGGCTTTCAAGTAGGGGGTGGACGGACGGTCACGTCGGATCCTAACGTTATGAACTGAGTCAAATTTAGAAGGATGTATGGGGTCATCAGAGTGTAACTGGGCTTATATCTCAAAGAAAATTTGCCCTGGGATGCTAATTTTTGGCAAGCAGGCCTTTTAGATGTTGTTCTTTCACAATACCCCGAAAAATTCCATGATTTCAATTTTTCTTTTTTTCTTCTTCTTTTTTTTTTTAATGGCGTCACACTTTCTATTAGTCACAGTTTCGGACCCTGTGAGTCACTCACTCAATATTAAACATTAGAGCCTCATTTCAATCAGCGGTGTCGCTAAGACGCAAAGAGGTTTGTATAGACACAAAGTAGTCAAGAAATTCATAAACTAAATTTTAAAAAACGTTGTGACTGTATATGCTCTTTTAATCAGATCATCAAACAGGATTACCTCAAGTGTGTGTTACAAATTATCTTACCCGTTTCCTACACAGTGATAAGACACTTTCAATTCACCGGGTCTGGGGACACTTTCGCGCGCCTTCCCGTCCTATATTCGTCCCATAATTCTCAAGGGCCCACTACACCGGCTACAATCGAGGTTAAGAGTTAGACTCGAACGCAGAGGATCACCAGTAGGATCAAAAGGCACAGACTTACCAGTGATGCTCTCAATGTTGCGCAGAGCCTGGCGAGTGTGCGCAGTAAAGATGTGGTTTCTGGGAGAAGAGGTTTTTCCAAGCAAACAAGAAGAGCGTAAAACCAGCGCCCCTGCGGGAAAAACAACTACACTAAAACAAAGTATCTTAAGCCAGATTTTAACCTCCATTTTGTTGGTTCATATTCCGTCCCCAGATATCTATCGGCCGTCCTTTAGATAGCTCTGGCTACAATATACCACAGACAGCTTAAGCTTGTTGGAATTTGGATTTTATAAAAAAATCTATGAGAATAAAAAAGATACGTTCTAAATTTCGCTTGATAAAAGATAACGACTTATCTTTGCGTCTTGTACTGTCTGTTCCCTTCTGGAACAATTTTGAAGCCATTTGCCAGTTTTGGATTTCTTACGGTGATTACAACTCGAAATCTAAGCAATAGTGGGTTCGCTTCTATAGAGGTAACGGGCCCGAAACATGGGATGGGAGATCCAATTTTGATTCATTTTACCTGGTGATGAGAAAAGCCAATTTCTTCCAACCAAGCTACATGATATTCCAAAACTTGCAACAAAGTAGCCTGCAAAGTGAAATAAATCCAAGAATGAATATTACTTTGTTTAAAGTAATTTAAGAAAACTAAGGAGCATTCGCGCTTCTTGTCGGTACGGTGATAGAGCGTATGCACGATCCGGGGCTCGGGCATCGGCCCAACCCGGGGCTTTCCAAAGGCTTTTTACATGCACGTAGTTTCCGACTCTAAATCAAACAATTGGTTTTAGGTTTTAAAATACCGAAAGTGACACTACTCTACTATGCAGGAGATGAAAACTGCGGTAGGGTTGACAGGGACGATCCCAGGGGGGGGGGTGCATCATTTACCCTCTTTCTCCATTCCCACCCTAACACAGGGCGTTGAACAGCTGAAGTGTGCCTCGCACCTCCCTCCGTTTTCTTCCGATACCAGCAAATAAGAGTCGGTAATTAACTCCCAAATAGAAGTATTTTGGCCTGGCACTTCATTCTGCTGAATGCACAGAGAAAAAACTATCTCCATAAAGGAGGAGTTTATCGATATCTTCGCACTCTCATTATTCGCGAATCGCAAACATATCAGCCAAACAAATATAAATCTCTCGTCTTCCTCGAGATTCATCAGGAGTGAATACCCCTCATAATATAAAAACCAATTGACTGCGCATGCTTCTGATCTTACATCTGACAAATTTTAGGGGTTATTTTTCCGAAAATGGAGTAAAAATTTTAGGCAGGATATTTTTGGGGTTATTTTAACAATCCGAATTTGGGGTCATTTTACTCCTGAAAAGAGTTCTTTTACTCCCAGTCCTTCGAAATCACTCCAAAGAACACAAAGGATAACTCCTTTTTGGGGTTATTTTAACTCCTGAATATCTGGGGTCACTTTTACTCCTGAAAAGAGTTCTTTAAACTCCTTTTTGGAGTTAAAATAAACAAAAAAAATATAGTTCGCCTGGCGGAACCAAACAATAGAGTTCTCCTGGGGGCTTTAATGTTTGGTTATACTGTTTCTTTTGTTGTACGTAATCTGTGCCTCGGTACCTACAAAAGAAACCGAATAGGCGGTGTGCTGTCTCGCAAAGGCTCGCCAGCAAATATGTCGCATTAGTAATTTCTCTGGTGGACTGACATGTGTGATTGAGTTTTTTGATTCATGCTAATATCTAACTACAAGTTTACCTTCTGGTCCCAGTAGTTCAAAAGGCGTATAACGCTATCCACAGGATAAATCTTAATCCAGTGAATAGCCCAACTGGCTTTCCTAACACTTATCTGCTGAACAGTGATTTCTCCCGTGGATAGCGCTATCCAAGTTTTGAATAACCGTGACCAGTTTTCTGATCAATATAACGGGGAGGGAAGAAATTTGCGAATTTGAAATCTTTTGCGTATTGTGAAAAAAGTTATTTATTTCAACAGATGCAATTATTTCTAAAATACCTGGTTAATGCCCTGAAGTACACTTAGTAAGGGTGGGGTTCCTTCCAATTCCTGCAGAAGAAAAATAATAATTCATTGTTAGACTAAAATATCAGAAAAAAATTCAGAGATAGTTACAATGTGGCTTTGTGATATTCCTGCTGAAAAAGATTCACTTGAGTGGACGCACAAAATACTGAATATCAGTAATAAAAATGAGTAAAAGATTTGAGCCTGATGACTTTCGAGTCAAATAGTTAACAATAAGTAACTGGGAAACAGTTCACATTAAAACTTCCCACAGTTCATTTATATTTAGTATGATTAGTTAGTTACCTGACTTGAGCTTGGTAGGGAAATGTTTTCACATGAACTTGTTTGTTTCGGAGTACTTTTGCCATTCTTTTGTCTGTTTTGAAAAACATCATTATAATGTTTTGCATCAAAATGCCATAAGAATTAAGCTTTTCTACTTTTATATATGCACATGCCTACAAGCATAAAATTACACAAAAGTGGCTTGAGTTTGTTAATGAAGCCAGCTCTGACATCAGGTGTTCAGTTAAATGGGCTGTGTCTGCATGGTCGTCACGGAGTTCATTCTGTTAATAATGCTTGTTGCGCGTCCTTGTTTGCTATAATTTTTATGGAAACTGAAAAAATCGCTTGTGAATGACAAAAGCACAGCTTCATGTCAAACAAGATAAATTTATAAGTACCTTGAGCATGATCACCCAGTTGAGCATAGTACTGAATAGGACCGTTGTTGTTGGCAGTGACTGACGTTTCGACAAGCTGTGCGGTAGTCATCTTCAGAGTCAGAGTGAGTTGTTGTGTCGAAAAACGTTGTTTAGGTAGTTAGTCTCTTCTTGTAAGCTGTTAATAGCCAAATTCAATACCATCAATTGACGTGATACAACTCACTTTGACTCTGAAGATGACTACCGCGCACAGGTTGTCGAAACGTCAGACACGGTCAACAACAGTTCTATTCAGGACTATGTTCACCCGGACAATCATGCTCAACCTCCTTATGAGATAAATCCTGGGCTGAAACCTTTCAGAGCTTCACCACATAAATTAACTTTGAAAAATTGTTGGGCAAGAAAACAACTTTTCGAAAACCACAATTGCAATCCGTTTCAATCAAGTCTGTCCATCCGTGCCTCCTTTCGTATATGCTTCGTTATTCATTCCTTGTTTTAACATTTTGAGAGGTTATTTTTCTGTTTCACTCAATTTGTTGGCAGTTTCCTCTGTCTGAATTCTAATAAACTTTGTGACACTGCTCCTTTAAAGCCTGCCAGCTCAGATTCCCGAGTCGCTGAATACGGCACCCTCAAGAAAACCTTATTGCCAAAATCAATAAGCTCACTGATTCACAGCACACCAACACATGATGGAGGTAAAACTCAATTCCATGAGAATACTGCAAAATTAATCAACCCAGAGAATTCCCATCTCTAGCATAAAATTAAATTGCACTTTGACTCAGGATCGCAAAGCTTGAAAGCCAAAGGAGGTCTACTGTTGGTACTGCTGGGATCCCCACAGTGCTTCTGTGGCTATTGAAAGGGAAGAGATAGGGGAGAAATAAGGTCCTCAAGAGTTAACTCATGTTTTCACGTGCCCCGCCAACCTCGTTTCCATGATCTCTCTCTTGCTCCAGGGGGACCTCTGGGGGTTGAGTAGGAGAGGATCCACGAACAAAGTTGATGCCTACTTGTACCCAAACTTGTACCTCCCTTTTCCTTTCTTCCGTTCAATACCTGAACCAATTAGCAGAGGGAATCTGAACCGGATAAATATTTTGGATGAACAATAAAGTTAATTAAAGACCATTGTAGCTAACAGATCTCCATCCAAACAGCCATAGGTTCAATTTCCACTGCATGTACACTGCAGAAGTCTACATTTTTACTAATTTATTGATTTTACTCCACTTAATTATCCCAGCAATATCCAGGACACATCCTCACAGTCTAACAGTCATTAAAAAAATTAAAAAATACCTGCTATCTGAGATTTTTGACGCAACCTTATCTCCAAGGCAAAATTGACACCACCCCAATGAATCATTCTTCTTGGGCTGGCAAATAGATCATTGAATTAGAAATGAAAAGGTCTCATGCAGATACCAGCTGAAGTACTGATTTTTATGTACTACAAATTTAATTAGATATCATTACTACTTCTTATTAGCTAATCATAATTCACCCTATTTTTAGAAACAATACCTTGTTAGTTGAGTTGAGTCAGTGTCAGCAAGTTACATGGTACATAGACAATTTATTATTTCAAATAACCTAAAAGCCATAAGCCTATATTGATGCTAATGCTGCAGAAACTTGTAATTCAGTCTATAGATAAATTGATATAAAACAATATTATATTGCATAAGTTCCCCTCCAAAATTGAAAAGATCTGTGCATGAGGGCCTACGTTGGGATTTTGCTGGAAATGAAAAGTTGTGAAAAAAAGGAGCCCACATGTTGCATGCAGGCTATTTCTGCAAGGGCAAATCTTAAAACCAGAGAATATATAAATGCAAAAGATATTCACATACATGTAAGCCCCCAATTTCAGAAAAGGCTATATATATCTCTGCTGTGAGTACTGAAAGCAATGATAAGGCAATGATTTTCATAAAATAAAACAACGTTTGAAAAACCCTTCAATTTTCTAATTTTCTCTTTAAACTATTTAATAATTATTGTAGTTTAAATAAAATGAACCTTCCTAATGGTAAACTGCACTGGCCATAGCAGACAGCATTTATTACACTCAGCATCAGCCTACTTGGAAACATGATTGTTTTTTAGCTTACCAAGACAAGAGTAGTGGAATTCACTTTAATCCATTTTGCACGATGATAAGCCAGCTTCTAGTAATATAAATGAAAAGAAACCTAGTTCCACAGTGTAAAAATTGCAAATACTTAGCTATAGGCAGTGTTTTAAAATAATAACCATTTATTTATAATTATTATTATGTGAGAAAAGAAACAGATGAATACGAAAATGCAATTAAGAAACGGTCCAGATAAGAACGATAGCAACAACGGTAACGAACATCTTGGAATGTAAAAAAGGTGCTAACTTTTCTATTGTCTGTACTTACTTCTGATTGGCTTAAACAGTAAAAGTTAACAAAACTTAATAAAGCGGTACATATATTCATCTTTACTTTCCAACCATCTTCCATATAACAAAATCTGGTCTCAGTTTGAATAACGAAGAAATCCCATGTGGGGAACAAGTAAAACTGTAAACTTTTCTTGGCTATTGTTTTCAACTCTTGTGATTGGTCAAAATCTTTTAACACAAAAAAATACCCTTTCAAAGTGGAGTGTAAATGCATTTTATTGCATAAACGGCCTTCATGTAGGTTTATACATTCTCTGTGTAAAAATGAGAACATTCCTATGTGGGGAAAGCACCGTTGCCGCATAACAAAAGAAATTGCTATCAACCTTACCGGATCATTACTTAAAAGAAAAATAATAATTAATACATGTAATAATACTGATAAAGAAACCCAGGGCTGTCATTAAGATGAGGGGGCCGGGGATTTTCCCCGGCTACTATGAATGTGGTCCCGGCTACTTTCAAAGGAAAATGGAAGAAAAATAGAAAGAAAAGAAATCCCTAGCTGTTTGGTTCCCCACCTGTTTTTTGTATTTCCCTGGCAACTAGAAATCTTAGTGACAACCCTGGAAACCTCTTAATTTTTCCAGGTCCAGAAAACTGAAGTTACAGTACTGAATAGACATCACCTTTTTTTTAGTTTATTACATGTAATATGTGGTACCTGTCTGATATCTGCAAAGTCTGCTGTTTGCTGCATCTGCCAATCAATTGAGGGAGCAAATCCAGCAGGAGCTGGTGACCAACCAGACCTCTATGGAAAAAACAAATTATTCAGAAATATAATACATTTAGAGCATTTGGATGCTACTGATCCAAAGTGGGGGAAAGAGGGTCACATAATATCAAAGAAGTTGAATGAATAAGTACAGTGCATTGAAATTTTTGCCATGATTGTAAATATTATTAAAAAGAACTTACAGTTAAAGTAGGCTCTGGTTTTGTGAGTCTTCCTGCCTTCTTAGGTGCTCACAATCGAGTACAATTAATCTAATCATTGGATTGCATCTGGCCAAAAATGGGTTGCGTGCAAGCAAAACTAGGCTTACCGGAAAACTTGCATAATTATTGACTGACACCAGCCAGGAATTGGAAATTATTTCAAGACCAGATGATGGTTACCAAACTGCGGTTAACATAACCATTTAGCTCTTTTCTGCTTTATAATTACTGGGGACAGGTGCCACCCAATTCTCCAAATCCAGACCCTGTCTCAGACCAAAACACATCATTTTTCACACCCATTTTCAGACCTGGCATCTAAACTCCATACCGGGTGTTTTCAGACCTGTAGGACGTCATGGTACGCAATATACATGTTCACGTAGGCAGGAATTATGTCACCACTACTTTAAAATTATGATGCCAACCAAACAATTTCTCAAAATCTATTTCGATTTATGACTGTAAACTTAATTGAATTTAATTTATTATTACTTAATATTTATTTAACATTTTTTACTAGCTAATCTGCTAACCGCGAGCAGTGGATATTGCTTGCTGTAAAATTTGCAATAATCAGTTGAAGTTGTTGTAGAGTTGCAGTTGAATTCGCATATTACTCTTTCTTGCTTTCTTATTCGACATAAGAAATTGAAATGACAAATAATTTTTTATACATTCTTGCAGTTCGCTTGAAAACCACACCCAATTCCAGACCAAAAATATGGACAAATTCTATACTGTTTTCAGACCGAAACAGGGAGGCACATACCTATATGGCTTTTACAAGAGGGTACCCCCTGGGACTAGCACCTCTTTTCATACAGCACACAGTAGAGCTGAGTAGCAGAATCAAGATGTTCCAAGTCCTAGCACTGTTGGAAGCCTGTGGTTGTTTCTCAAAAGATTTCTCCTCTGCAGAGTCTACTACATGTATGAGCTATTTATAATAGAAGTTCTAAAGACTATGGTAAAAACAGTACTATACTACCTCACTGACATGAACAGTCTGCTTGCCTAGAAAACTGTGTGTGTCAAGATTGGCTACAACAACATCAGGACACTGCATGGCTTCAAGACTGGCAAAATATAAATAATTAAATATTAGTTGACAGTGAGTTGGGTCATTTCACAAGCCAAACGCGAATCAAAGTCAACCACAAGCCACCCAAAAGTGCGAAAAAATTAACATTAGGGCTTGACTTGAGGTTGGCTCGATCCTGCTTGGCTTGTGGCTCATGGTTGATTTGGGCTTGTGTTTGGCTCTAGAAAGTCGACCGAACCCTTAGACAGTAAGTACAACATCTTGACCAAAAGACACCCACGCTCCTTTTTAATGTATAACTCAAATAGACAGTGACAAAGCTAAATAATAATGATATAAAAATATCCCCAAACACTAACATGCAAGTAAACTTTGCATATAATATCATGTGTAATTGGAGACGGATTGATTTTAATACGTGCAGTGCAACTTTTTAAATAGCCTGCGAATACAGCTGTCTCTCCTTGCTCCTTGCCACTAAGGGACATTTCACAGGAAAGACAGCTACAGTGTAGTCATGGCATTCCAAATGTAAATTTGTTCAATTATGTTTCTCCTAGTCGATTATGGTAAAGTTTTGTGTTCTCTATGAATAAGCTCCATTAAAAACTCAAATGCTTCTTCTAAAGAAGAATATTATTTAATATTATTGTTATTCCAGGAATAATTATGTTTTTTTCTTGGTCCATTATGTTTGAATTTGACCTCAGACTGTTCACAGTCCCCTATTTTCCACAAGATTGTTGAGATTGAGCGCTTTACATGACTGTACATTACAGGTGGCCATCTTGGATGAGTGTCAAAACTACTTTGGGGCCAGAGGATGGTTTAGGAGGAAGCAAAGAAAATAGAGGAACTCATGTCCTAACATCAGTGCTGCTAGAGTCCAGGGAGGTGTGACAGGAATTTCACAAACTTTTACCATGCATTCACTAATTATAAACAAAACTCTGCTTATGATGAAAAACATGCCAGACACATTAATTTTAATAGCATTGATTTCACAAGTTTACAAACATCTCCCTTCAAACAGAGATTTCATAATTACAATACAGTTACTAGGACATTCTTCCAAATAAAATTGGCAAACATGCACAGTTGAAACATTTTCCCAATCTAAGTGGCCAGCATACATGTACTTGCTTCAACACAGGTTGTCTTTCTGTCCAGCCAACTTTCAACCTGCGGTCTACAAGCATGCATACATACATAGTTTGTTGGGTTACAAAGGCAGCTAAAGCTGATGTGGATCTGCTACTAAGCTAGCCGGTTTACCTCAGCATATGAACCTGTGAACTTTTTCTTTGTTTTGCACTTCTTTTGGTTTGGTAGGTTCTATGGTGCTGACCTATTTGTTTCCTTTGTCTCACATCAGTCATCCGTTTCAAAGGTTCTAGCTTACACCGAGCATCAGACCAAGCTATTTACTGTTACACAAATAAACTGAGCTAAACTACATCTGTAGTTGAATAAAGATAATTAAATTAAATAAGCTAAGACTAAATGAATTAAATTAAATTGATAAATAAATGAATAAAAACAGTGAAGTCCTAAATTAAATACAGACAAAATAGAACTATTAAGAATATAAGTTAAGCTTATTAAAAAAATAATTCTATTAAAACATATTCATAAGCTGATAAGGCTTATCTGTGGGTTCTTCTTCTCTCGCTCAGCAGAGCGGACGGCAGCTTATCGGCGGCGGCCTTAGATTTTGTGTTGAAAGGTCTATACTTACTGAACTCTCCTGAGATATTCATAGCCAGAAGATGGAAGCTTTGAATCATCCAAATCATCTCCATCTTCAAAACTTTCATCAAAATTTGCCAAAGCGGGCTCCATGTTTGCCTTAGACGCCGCCCCTTCATCGCTAAGGCTTGGTTAGAAGTAGCAGGACACCACGTTTAAGTTACATAACGTATCAAGTGAATACAACATGGCGTTTTCTGTGAAAGGTAGAAGGGTGCTTTTATTGGCGTTTTTTTCGACGTTCGCAGCTCTTGCAGTTTCATTTAGCCTTTATTATCTGATAAACTACAAAAGAGGGAGGAAAAAGGGAGGTTTTATAGACGTATACAAAAATCGTGACGGGGAAAAGACCCCTAGTTCCGTTACAGTGGACTTGGAACTGGCGGAAATTTTGAAAGAAAACGGGCATGGCGAGTTTACAAAAGGGACGATATACAAGTTGCTAGAACTGTTAGAAAAAGTGGAAGATTGCACGTTAGAGAAACTTCTTGGGGCACTTCTGAATTGTTCTGCTTTTACAACAAACCAGGTAAAATATTGTGTTTCCTACTCGACCGTCCCTGGAGAAATACTGCACTTTTAATAATAAGCTTAACTCGAAATCTTTTTGGGTACCTTTCCCTGATATTTAATGCACTGTATCCCTCTTTTGCTGCTCTTTACTGTGCCTGGCTCTGTGGCCTATTTACCTCCACCTCTCCCTCTTTCATTGCTTTTTCTGGTTTTTTGTTGTACCAGTCCATTGCAAAACCGCCCATTCCCTCCCCTTGGGGGTATGTGTGAAAATGAACAACATTATTGAAACCTCCATAGCCATAAGACAGCTCTCCAAGATCTTAGATATTTTGGTTGTAGGAAAATTTTTGAATAGTTGTTGGTGAGTATAGGATTTGATGCTTTTTGAAGTGCTAGCCGTGCCTACGATTTGACCATCTAAACTGCCAACATAACCGAGAATTTGACCAGAATTTTTCAAAAAAGTCAAATGCCCAGGGGTTTGACAGGGAAAGGCATGGACAGTTTTGGAAATGACTGGTACATTACCCCACTTAACCCCAGCCCATTTTATCTCTCTTTCTTTTCATAGATTACACCTCATCCCTTTCTGTCCTTATTTTCTGTTTGCTCTCCAATAACCCTCTGGAGCAGACATCCATTTGCAACCATGAAAACAATCTTCTCAAACTTGTTAATAATTCATAAAGAGAAAACAAAGAAAATCACAACAATGACGGTGGCTTAGATGTAGGATACTAATTACCATAACAATTTTTGAACTTTGTCTTTGAATTTCTCCAATCTAAAAATCATTGTTCATTTGAGAAGCTATATCCAAAACTCCACTCATTGTTTCTTCTGATATCCACAGACCTCAAAGTCGGTCTTAAAAAACTCAGCTGCGCCTCGTTTTTCCACCCACTTCTCGGTGTCTGGACATAGGATGAAACACTATGTCGATTTTGATATATTAAAGGAACAATAGATTCTACAAGATAAATGCAAGAGACCTGATTATATAGTGTTGTTCAATTTACAGAATGCTATTCGTGAGTGTGGAGGCTTACCACAACTGGTGTCTCTTTTGGTGCATCCAAATAAAGCCGTCAATATCAAGGCAGCACAAGTGCTGTCCAACTTAGCAATGAATGAAACAAATCAGGAAAGTCTAAAGGTCAGCTTTGTATAAAAAGTCCTTTGATTAAACAGTTAACAGTAGCACTTTTCTCCAATAAATGCCGAACCCAACCAGAAGAATGCAACATTTATTTTATAGATTTGAGGATTATAAGGAAAAAACTCATCACAACTTGGTAATCTACACCATCAGGATAATTCAGCTGTGTGATGGACTTGAATTACTTCGCTAAGCTCTACTCACTCAGATGATATGTACATAGAACCAACTCCCGTCACATCAGTAGTGAAGTGGAGATGTGGAATTTACTTAAGATGGCTGAACACAGTTTTGTGGGCAGCCAGCGGCTCGTGTGACGGCTAGTGTTTTAAGTTAGACAAACAAATAGGGCGGCGAAAAATGCAACTTGGTATATGGAAGATGATTTCTTAAAATCTGCTCATTAAAATTTTGTGATATGTGGCAGAATTTTTACTTTTATCGTATTTTAAATAATGAGAACTTTAAAATGGAAGTTGAGCAGATGAATTTTGTGACACAGTTAATGATTATTATTGATTATCTAAAAACCAGTCTGTTAAAATTTGGTCAAATAAGTTTCAAATAATAATGATTAAATTATTATAGTAAGGTGTGTGCAAATTCATAGGAAAATCTAATCAGCGAATTTTATTTAAACTGAGCAAAAGTGAAATTTTAAGGTTGTATTCAATCGTTTATGTTGCCATGGAAACAACAAAAACGTCAAATTTTACCTGTCAAATAAAATCTTTCATAAGTATATTTTTCACTTTCCAATTAAGTTTCAGCTTGTGAGCTGTTACCTTTCTTTTGCCATGATTGGGCAAATGACACTCACTCACAAACTGCCAGAACTGTGTTCAGCCACCTTAACTAGCGCTCTCAAAAGAATTGCGACTGGACCCGACCAAATTCCTTACTGGGTTTGGAAGGAGCATGCAGAGTTTTCACGCTTCCTATCACCAAAATCAGGAATCTCTCAATCTCTACTCAGTGTTTGCCATCATCGTGGAAGCGAGCAATAATTATCACCCCCCCCCAAAGTGGATGTTCCTAAAGTACATGGTGATTATTGGCATTAATATAACTTCTGTTCAGCCTGACTCCTGTTATAGGCTTTCGAGAAAATTGTGTACCACTGCCATGCCTGTGAGACCATTGAAAGCCACCTCAGCACCTGACAGTTTGCCTACAGAAAAGGTGGAAACTGTACTGATTCTCTCTTGCCAATTCAATGTAGGATCAACAGCTACTTTTATTGGATAACCCAGATTGTAAAGCAGTTCGCCTTTTTTGCTATGGACTTTAGCAAAGCTTTTGACTCTGTGAAACATGAACTTCTGGCTAATAAATTTAAAAAGCTCCCACGAAATCCGTGCATGTATATTACCAAAAAATTGGTACTTGAACATAGAAAACAAAGGGTACAAATGCAACAAACCAGTTAACAAAGGGACAACTCAAGGTAGCATTAGCAGTCCTTTCCTTTTCAACATCTTTCTCAATGATCTTAACATCACTTTAGGTAATCATGACGCACTTATTTAAGTACGTGGATGATTTGACAATTATTGCTCCTGTATAGAAGGAGGTAGACTACTGCGATCAGTTAGTGTCACAGTTTTTAGATTGGATGAATACAAATGGAATATCTTGCAATGCAAGCAAATGTAAAGAGTTGACAATCAAAAAGAGAGGCAACCACAATCTCTATTCACATATTGGGATGATACCAAGCTGTAAAGAAGTAGAGATTTTGGGGGTCACCTTCCAATGCGACAGCAAATTTTTAGTGCAGGTGAAGGACAAACTTATTAAAGCTAACAAATCCCTATACATATCCTTAGAATGCTGTGCAAAGAGGGGTACAATCAGTCAGAAATAGACCTTCTCTTTAATGCAATTGTTCCACCTAATATTAATTACGCATTATCTGCAGTCTATGCCACATTCGAGTCCGACCTTACACCCATACAATATTTCTTAGTCTGCTGTTTTAAAAGGAAATATACATCTAAGCCTGTAAGTGTTTATGATTTCTTACAGAGGCAAGCTAGACCGTAAAATTTTCGTAAAAGTTTCTAATGCTATTAAGGGACATCCACTTTTATCTATTATGCCTTGTGTTAAACCATCCAGTCACAATCTTAGGAGAGAAACTTGTTTTAAACCTCAGATTAACACTATGCATTTTAAAAACTCTTTTATTGACCATTTAGTTTTTAAATATGAATTAGCTATGTAATATACTAGATTTTTAAATCTTACTTTTTACCTTTTGAAAATTTCTTACACTTGTAACAAAAGATATATATATTTAAAAATATCTTTTGATGAATAAAGACTTTACTATTATTATTAACAACAATTATTTATTTACAAATTAATGATTCATCATGATTGTTATCAGTGATATAAGAAATGTGCTTTTGAAATAAATCCCACCATCAAAATATAGACCCTGCCTTTGAACAGATGTTGCATAGGAATTGCTTAAAGATTTAATAAAGGCCACATCATTCAATTGGTTACATGTAAATATGGCAGGCTCCTCTTTGTTAACAAAAAACCCAAGACTACAAACTTACAATGAATGTAAGGCTATTGTTTATTATTTGAGTCCCAGCAGATATTCCATACCTTTCGTGTATAAACCTCTCACAATTGCTTTGTCTACTCCATAACAGTAATGACAACTTGATTTTATCCAAACGTCTACAAGGAAAATAGCCACACGTTGTGCTCAGTCTTTGTGCCCCTTGGTCAAATTAACATGCATTATTGTACATGTATTGACTTTTCTTTCAGGGCAATATTTGTGATGTTATAAAAAATATTGAATACCATGACATTGTTGAAGATGAAGAGGTGATTTTAGAGCATTTTAGGCTCCTGGTTAATTTATCTGCAACAAATGTGGCACATGATGAAATAATCACAGGAACCCAGGAATATTTCAGAATTCTCACCCAGGCTGTTTCACGACAGATTCAGGTACTGTACATGAAAGTAAATTTTGTGGTTATTTCAGTATTTTTTTCCTTTATAATGTATTAAAAGTCTTTCTTTTTTTGTTTTGCAATTGTTCCATAACCTACATGTACTATTATTTAATACTACTGACAAATACCGTATTTATTGGATTAACCGCCCTGGGCGCTTATTAAATTTTTGGACCTTGAGAGTGGGTGCTTATTCGATGTGGGCACTTATTCGAGGCTGGGCGCTTATTAAATTTTCACCATTAAATTCAACAAGTGAAGTATGTTTATTTTGCAGTAAAACAGTAAATGCTATTATACTAAATAACAAAACGCAAGGAAGTAACAAAGCAAGGTTTCCGTAAAATACTCTGAAGGAAACTCCGTCCTCAGGGAAGTCTGTATTAGAAGTTATTTACTCAAGTGGGTGGAGTGCATGGGGCCGGGGCGAGTGCTTATTTGAGTTTGATTGGGAGGAGGAGGGGGTGGGCGCTTATTCGAGGCTGGGCACTTATTAACTTTTTCTGCCTTTAGGATGGGCGCTTATTTGAGGTGGGTGTAATAATTCGAGGTTGGGCGCTTATTCGAATAGATATGGTAATAATTCTACTGAGAGACTAGTAAAAGTTAAATGAAAAAGATCTTCCCTTCCTGCTGTTCCAAGGCTGGTGCATTATCTCACCAAGAGGAAAATTGTGCAGTTACCTTATTTTGGTTATAATTTTTCAGCTGGGATGCACTAGCTTACTTTTGTTTAACTGCTCCAATAAAACTTTTTTTCCATTTTTTTAAGGGTTTGAGTTACAGTCATCTGGCTGTCTCTATTGTAAAAGACATGTTATGACTAGTGTTAGCAGCATAAAAGATGGAAAAGTAGTCCCGTCTGTACCTTGAGTGATCATTTTCTCCATAATTATTATTGTTGACTTTGTTGACTGTAAAAAACACCAAACATGTTTACTTTTTTGTGAATATTTAGCAAATTTTGAACTTTTACTACTGATAAGAATAATAATTTTCAGCTAGCAGTTCTAAGACTTTTGGTGAACTTGTCATGCAACCCTAACAATTTGGGAATACTACTGGAGTTTAAGGTTAGTAGTGAGCTTTCACACTCCTCCACCTGTCGGATAGTTAATTTATTCTCTCCATCAACAATAAATATATTGTATCACATCTTTAGTAACATGTATTACATTGGCCGTAAATACAGTGAAAACCCACAAGTATAAGAACCTGCACTTTCCCAAGTTAAACAGGTTTTTAGAGAGGAGAAACTTGTGTGATGTTATATACCACGGTAGGAAAATTTCTGGATCACAACAATAGGGAGCTTAAGCAATCACGACAGTGACGGCAAAGAGAATGGCAAAAAAGGCAACTAAGGCTTAAATTGGCAAAATAACAACTTTGCGCATGCATCACACTTTTTTGTACATTTCTTAGCTGTCATTGCACGACTGCAACATGAAACTTCCTTATTTATATAGTAGGTGAACACAACACACAAATTCCCTTCCTGTGGTCCTTTGGGGTTCAACCCCAGAAAATGTCGCCTACATTTGACAAATTAAATAAAATTTTATAAGATTGCTGAAGTTTGAAATGGTGTGAATTCACTGTTATACACTGAATGAACCATTTCACTTTATTTATATTTTTTTGAAGTGGAAGACACAATTTAACATAATTTTAACCATACCAACAGTGATTTAATCATGTTTTAAGCAAAAGTTTACCTGGTTTTTCATTGGTGTTTATATAGTAAAAGTTTGTTCTCAAAAATAACATAGTGATTGTGTTACAAACCTTCCATGAATACTTAAAGTAAAAAATTCAGTATAAGGATTTTGAGCATATGGGGATAAACATATAAGTAGCATGCTGGAGGAACAAAATTATATAATACATGTTTCTGGTATTGATGATGTACAGTGCTACACTTAACAATAAAAATGAAGATTTGTTTGGCATTTTGTTATTTTGTTTGTCTTCCACAGCCTTTGTTAATTCTCCAGACCTTCATGCTACCAGACAACCCTGATGATATTATTCTTCGAGCCATAACAATCTCAGCCAACTTACTATCAAGTCTTGGTAACTATTCACAGGTACAAACTAGTGATAAATAACATTAAGGAAGGAAGGAAATAAAACATGGTTTCGTAAATGTTTGTTGTTTCTGATAACCAGAACAGTCCAACAAGAGAGACCAAACCATACTGACTGAATGACCCTTGACCAAAACTAGGTATGTTTTTATAGTGTTTGTTATTAAAAACAAACCTTTACAATTTGCACATTCAAGGCTTGAAATAAATAAAACTAACTTCTTATTCGTCAACCCTCTTTTGAAGGAATGGTGAACTAATTGATGACAATAACTGAAATTGTCTGCATGTACAATGTATATTGGCCATGGTACAATTATTATGTTACAAAAGCTCTGTAATTTTAATAATTACATTCCACAGTGGGATGGTATTGCCCTGCGAACAGAGGCCCTTCGATCTTCCTAGTTAAGTCGTGAAGACCGAAGGGCCTCTGCTCACAGGGTAGGATGGTATATGACTGGCAGACTTGTTACTGCACTTTTCGACAACGATTACATGCAACCAGCTGTTAAGTCAAAAATTTAACCAGCGATTACAACAAATTTTCTTCTGTCAATGATAATAATTATTCCCTGCTAGCATAGGCCTCTTTTCCCTGGTATTCGGCAGATAGGAGGAAAAGACAGTCTCTTTTCCTTACACCAGTTGAATACCAAGGAAAAGAGGCCATGGCTAGCAGGGAATCGTAATTAGGGCAAAACAAAACCAACAACTTCGATCAAATCTGCCAAATATGAATAAACCCCGGCAAATGTGACCTAACTTGAACCAGCTGAAGAGCATTAATTTTATGTATCAAGAGAGGTCTCAGCTGATTGATGGAAGTGGAAAACCTAAAATATTGTGGTTTCATGAGAGAGAAACTTGATAAGAGTTTGCATGTTTAAAAAAAATAGCGGCAACTGGATCATCTTGCATTCTTATTATTACTTCTTTTTTCTTTGCAGCTACAACAAACAGTGTTGGCAGAGCATATTAATGTATTATATGGTGAACTAATGGGCTTATTGGATCATACCAATCAGGATATTCAGTGTCAGGCCAAAAGGGCACTGAGGAGTATATTTGCCTTCAGAATAATGTACACAAAGTAAATAAACAATAAAATATGAATAAATTTTTTTATTTTTATTATAGAGACAAATATTTTATGAAATAAAACCATCAAAAATCCAAGGAAAAATTGTTGTCTGGAAAACAGTTGTAGATTTCATCTTTAAATTAATTAAATAATGTAAGAAACTTCATTTAACTTAATGTCTATGAGAAATTGATTTTCTGACTCTCATTTATAACTTCCTAGATAAGTGTTCCTCTTTCCGACCTATCTAGAAGGATTGAAGGGCCTCTCCCTGCTTGCAGGGTAACAGCTGGCCTTCTCCAGGGTCTCTCTCTCTCTTTTTGAATACCCCAATTAGGTGAGAACCTTAATGACAGTGATGGCAAACAAAATGAGATGCTTTTTTCACATAATTTAATTAACATTAAACACATACTGATTCCTGTGTATAAGGCTCATTCATACAGTCGTAGAACTTTGTTTATTCATACCAGAATAATTAGTTTTAGTCAGAGTCAAAAATGAGTCAGACTCTGTTATCAAATCTTGGGAGCCTTGGTCCTCTTTAATGTTAGAAAATGATTTTGGAACTTAATGGAGTTGCTTAACTGAGGAGGGTGACATTCAGCAAAGACAGCACTGTACTTTTACTCTGGATTACAGCTGTAGGCTGTATGGACAATCCCTTTGATCTTTTAATTTCTGTGTACAAGTATTGTAGAGACTTTGTAAACACTCAGTCTCTATTAAAATACATGCATCAATTTTGATCTCCTAAACAGGAAAAGAATGTCTGGGAAAAAAACTAATACTATGAGCACATGCTTGAAATTCCGTTTTTTTTTTGTTTGCTTTTTTTTTCAAGTTTTAGTCCATAGATACTTGTACAGTTGTAGTTCTATGTTATGAAAGTTGCAAAGAAATGCCTCTTATCATATATATTAAATTTAATCCAGCTATCCTGGGTGTTTCTTGATTAGGTCCAATTCATAGGTGGCACCAAAAAAATATGCCTTCAAAGCGCGATGGGCAACTAGTATAGTTTAACCAAAAAGCCATTTTTAGCAATGTCTTCTGATAACAAGGAGGCTTATTCTTTTGGTAATTTTAAGCACAAATTTACATTTACTCAAGTCATTTTGTACTTTTTTTTGTCACAGATTAAAGGAACTAACTTTCAAAAAATATTTTTACGTGTCTTCATCTGTAATTGGGCTTTCACCTCTGAAACAAGAATTCAATAAAGTAAATGAACAATAATTCAATAATTATTATTGAATTGAACATGACTTGATTAACAGTTTAGGAGTAATAGAAATCTAAAAAATGCACTCAAAAATAAATAAGAAGCATGAAACAATAATGTGCCTTTGCATTATTAGCGAGGTTCATTATAGCTAGGATCATGGAGAAATAATGATGTTTGATGGTTGTAACAGCAAAAACATGCCAGGACAATTTACCACTACCATATATTAAAAGTGGTTGTGGTTATCTATATAAACACTGTCGATTTGAGTTGAAAGATCTCAACCTTTCCACAAAACAGTTTGACGCAGCAACCAAACCATTGAATGTATGTATCTAAATGCAGCTTGCAGCAACAATAATATTGAAGGAATCACCATTTATAATATGTGGCTAGGTTAGCAGATCATGACCTTTATTAAGTTGCAAATATTGTTTAAGACATTATATTCTCCAGTACAATTCTGTACATCACATGTCCTACCTTGTGGCAGATGTTGTACCAATTTTGATTACTTCTTGCATTATCTGCGAGGGACTCTTGTCTATTATCAATATTTTTTCCTCTCTTCCGTTTCCTTTGAAGTAATAAGAAAAGAATTTTTTTGTCCCTGCTATTTCTGATCAATATAATACAATTTATTATTACTTCAAACCTGTGACCAGCTTAACTAAAACAACACAATCTTTGTCTTTAACTGAACTTTTCTTAAATTTACTGCTTAACAGTAAGGTATGTACTGTACAAGTGTGTTTAATAATCCTTAGACAACCAACATGTAAATAACCCAACAGGGCTGAGTCAGACTTACCAAATTGTAACATAAGTTCGTCACATATTTGTGATTTCTTTCCCACTCTTGAAAATTTAACATGTGGGTTCTTAAACTTGAGCTGTGGAAAGTTCTCCCAGAAAAAACGGCTGAAAACAAAACAAATCCCATATAAGTTTTAATTTCCAAAGAAAACTAAATGAAACCAAGGTTAAAACTGGAACTCAGTACCTAAGAAGAACCTGCAGAAAGCTTCAAGCTACAGTCAAACCTGAACTGATCATGAGCTGCAAACACCCTTGGAGAATGGCTTTAATACTGATCGTTTACTACAGGTTTGACCAAGGTGACCCAAACAATTTACATGCTATAAGTGACATGTAACCATTTTGCTGGTGTCACATTACAAGCAACCATGGAAAATAAGAGACTTTATACTGTAGTTTGAAAAGTATGATACTGAGAGTGTAAATGCTAAAAAATAAACGTTAAGTCTAATCTTTTGTTCAAGGAAATTATGTATAAAATGACTACTTCTAGGCCCAGTTCCTGAAAGACAGATAAGTGCTAATCCAGGATTAAAATTTTGTTTTGTTTTTATATTTTACTTTCCATTACTGTATCTTGGAGTAATGACTCAACGTATTTTGAAAACTCGAGTTGCATGTTCTGAGACAAAAAAACCTTGCTTAAAATTTGGCTTAATCCTGGGTTAAACTTAACCATCTCTAAAGGAACCCAGCCCTGATGTATTCCACTGTGTTTTGGTGTTTTTTCATTGTTTCAACGGATTAATTTGGGCGGAATTGCATAAACAACTTAACTCAAGACAACAACAAGGACAAGGTTGATGACATTGGTTGGTCATTGCGATCTGGCAGGATTGTGGACCAGTAGCAACAAAAATGCTGTTTTTTTGCTGAAATTCAAATCCACTGCATATTTTTTCTGCTCCAGCCCAAGAAGGAAACCTCTTCTTCCTCTCTGCGAGATTCAAATCGAGCCATTCGTGCCAAACTTCAAGGCCTCTCTGGCTTTCCTCCAGTACCTTTTGGATGCCTTTGTGCTTACCAACTAATTTGCATTTAAAATTTATTGGACACCTCGCCAGGGTGATAATTGACACTGACACAATAGGTGCAAAGGTGCGGTGACGTGGTGGGTAAAGCAGCAGTTACTATAACAGAGAATTTTTGCCCATGAAACCGTCATGTCAGTGTCAATTGTCACCCTGGCGATGTGTCAGATCACTAAGAACAGCCTTGACTTCATCTTATGAAGGGAGTTACATTGGTTATGCAATTCAGCCTAAAAATCCATTGAACAATGATCAAACACCAAAACACAGTGCTACACATCAGAAGTAAGTCATTTTTATACATTTTCCTTGAACAAAGGTCAAGATTTAACATTTTTTGGCATCCGCAGATCTCAATATTGTATTTCTTAGCTTGTAATGTGACACCAGTGCGTCCAGCAAAAAGGTTATGATTGTGTCACCTACAGCATGTAAATTGCTTTACACACTTTCCCCTAAGGTCGAGGTCTGCAAAGTTTCACTCCATTGGCTTTATAATATAATATAATGAAAGAAGATTGTTCATCCAAAATGTTTTTCTTGTTCACAAACAAACTACACAGAGTGAACAAAATTTCTGTGCCATTTCCCAGCTGAGTTCACGTCAAAACGACTGGTTTCCTTGCAGATTAAAGCAAAGATTGCATTGCCATTTCAATCAAGTTTGACAATGTTAGAAATGCAATGACAGCTTAATAACCTACCAAAAAAGTGTAATGCAGTGTTGTTATAGTTATATTTTGTGGTTGCGCTGCATTGTAGTTGCACTGAGCTTGCTGGTAGCATTACCACATACTCAAACAAACAGGCCATTTCCGAGTTCCCCCGGGCCTCTGTATCAAGACGAGGTTACATGTAAGTGCACAGCCTTTTTTATGGAAATTATTTTCACTCTCCTGCAAATAAAACTGATTTTCACAAGAAAGGATGTGCTCTTGTTTTATGAGGGTTCTTGGAACTCAAAAGTGGCCTGTTCTTAATATGTGAAGATTTCGCCTGAAAAACAAGATTTGATGGAAAGCGTGCAACAAAAAAAAGCACCCACAGGTACCAATATAAGGGCTCATTACTTTCAATCTTACTGATATGATTACTACGATTTACGGTCAAGTCGCCCAAAAAACGTCTCGCCCGAAGTTATGTCGCCCGAAATTTTAAGTCAAGTCCCCCGAAATGCTGAGTTATGTGGCTCCAAATTTTATCACGCTCAAAAACATCCTAGCATCCTTATTACACATTTATCACCCTTGTTTCATTGTTCAACAAGGGTTAAAGAGCGAAATATATTACAGATTTATACCCCAGATATAAAGTCATGGATTGTATTTTCGTTTCATCATTGTTTAAAGAACGATAAACCAATAAAAATGTTACACCTTCATTCTGATTGAAAACTTCGATCAAAAACTAAATAATTTTCGTCTCATGAATGATATCATGGTAAAGAACGAGACATTAACTTAAACAAGAAACTGTTAAATTCTTTATTTTACGAAATTAAAAGTTTTTAAAAAAATTAATTGTTACCTTTGTTTCTCTGTTTACATAAACTTCACCTGAAAAAATTAAGCAAGGGGGCGACATCCGTTCATTTGACTCAGCATTTCAGGAAAAGTTAAAAAAGCAACATGGCAGATGAAGAGTTAACTTTCGGGCGACAAAACCGTTTACCATTACTAGTATACTCACTGTGCACCGACGTTGTGTTTCTCAACGGGTTCAACAAGATTAATTCTCATCCGTTTAAGATCCTCATTTAAGACAACATTACATCTTTTTAAATGCTCAATAGTGCGTTGTACAGCAAATTTGCCTACATTCTCCCCTATAGCTTGACGATCCAAGAATCTTTTTGCAGCCTTGTAAACAAGCCGACTTTTGTCCGCCATCTTGGATTTTCGCGATGAGTTGTTCAGCGGCATTTACCCATCACCAATTATTCATTCATAGTTTGTTACATGACCTCTCGCTTACTGAACTTGTGTTCAGCGGAAAGAATCTTGAAGACTTCATGAATGTCTTCATGTAACCTTATTTCACTGGGAAAAGAGCATGGGAGGTCTCAGTGAATCTCGGAGAAATTAGATGTTTCATGACGGATAACTTAAGTTGGTCGTTTCTATCGAGATGCCGGTGGGAAGATTTCCATTCCGCCGTACTTTCGAGTTTCTTTCTTCCGGAAATTTGGTACTCAAGTCGAATGTTAAAACAGTTCTGATAAACTACACACATTGCAAGGAAAGCCTTGGGCTAAGGTATGCCAAGATCAATTTTCAGTATTCTTATTTCAGGTACGGTAAAACGGGCGACAAAAACGTGCAACTTGTTCTGCAACATTGCTGCAAAACGAGTTGGAAAGCGATGTTGCGCGTTTTACCACCCACGAATCAAACATATGTTGCATGTACAAAACAGGCTGTTCCGACCACCGGTAGCCCAAGTTCTATGAGTCTGCTAGACTGCGAGCAGTCTCTTATTTTTCCTTGCAAAGTTACTGCACGCGAAACCTAAGCACGCGTGGGGCGAGGCCGCTTGTCGCGAGAAACGAGGGCGTAACCCGAGAGGAAAAAATAAGAGACTGCTGACTCTTTTGTTCTGTCTGGGGACAACGAAGCTGTCAAGAAAATTTAATTAATCAATTAAACCCGAGTAGCTTGAAGCGATTTATCAACAGAACATAAACAACTGAAAAAATTGCACTTTCTTTCAAGCCGGTAAGATTGCCTTGAATTCGTTTCCCTTGAGGAAATTTACAGCAGTTTCCTTCTGTAAGATGTCCTTGAAAGTTTTATTACTGAGGTTACTGCTTGGTTCGCTATTGTTTGCAGTTGGTTGTGACACGTGACTATTTTTATTGCTTGCAATCTCACCACAGACCAGTCAATGATCTGTCAACTGCTGTGCAATTGACCAATCGGTTACTCTGTTTCTGGGCTGACAGAGGGTTTGTTTACTACGAAAGAGTCAGCAGTCCATCTTTTGTTGTCTCATCTCAATCCATAAATAATAACATTGTGGTTTGAAATTGCGCTGGATGAGATAAGAACTGGACAGATTTTCAGAGAAAAGGCAGACTGCAAGCAGTCTATGAGTCTGCTGACCTTTGTAACGTAATTCCTGAGCGTTGTAATGATATTTTGCAATAACAAAAGTTTAAGGGTTTGTGTGGGAAAAAATATGGATTTCTATGGTAAAATTTAAAAAGCTGTGGTTTTGTCATGCACAAGAAATTTCTCAACTTCCATAGCGAACAAGGATGCATATATAGTGGGCATTATCAACAAAATGATCCAGACAGCCACGACAAAGCCCAAGAAAAATCCCCACAAAATAATCATCTGAAAGATCTTCCTCTCCCATCGCCATTTTTTAAGTTCATTAGCTGTTGAGGTAGATAAAATATTGAAAAATTGACCAAAATGTATCATACAGAGAGCAAATTGTCGCCCATGTTGTTCTCTTGCTAAAGCGAGTCACCACAGGTAGCCCAAGCTCAAAATATGAGCATCAGCAAGCATCGGCATTGTTGCGTAACATTCGAAGTATAAGGATTTGTATGGGGAAAAAACCTATCATTTCTGTATCCTACGAAAATGAAAGGATCTCAATAAAAAAGCAGCTTACCTTTACTTAAAATGTGTGTTATGTCTCTCCTGTGTAGTCCATGGACCGATTTATTGCCGTTTTATGGGTTTTTATGTAAATGGTTGTTTCTGTTCATATAAGGTTTACCAAGGTTGGGGACTCGGCCGTAAATTCACTCCAACAGATCCAATTGCCTCCAAATTCCACCTAGGTAACACACGACAGCTCTGCTTTCCATTCGTGATCTTTCTTCAAGATGCATTTGCACTGAGAGTGAATCAAAGGTCGCCAGTCTCTGCAAACCTTCTCGACTGAAGCCATTGACAGAACCTATAGTCTGAACTCTGCGTTACCGTTGAAAGATAGCTACCCACCCCGAGTGTCCTCTCCAACAGTCCTCTCCAGTCCTCCTCCTCCTCCTCTGAAGGAGGTCAACACTACAACAATGCAGGAAAAAGAGTAAACAGCACACCACTGCAAAAAAAAATTGGCAAAACAGTGATACCACGACTAATTTTTTTTTTTTTTTTCGGGAACTCCAACGTCCACCACTTTATACAAGGCAGGAGTGAACACCTTAATTTTTTAATCAATTCTTTTCTCTTCCCTTAATGTTGCCAGAAATTTCATTTACAAGGATATCCCTCAGATTCAATTCAAGAATCAAGGAGTTCAGATCATGACGACAAGAAACAAATCAAATATTCCAGTGGTAAATGTATTTTTTGGTAAGTACTGTATTCATTGTTTTAGACTATACAATAAACACCTGCAAGAATCTGCTTTTTTAAAAAGTCAAGCAAAATAGTTCCTTGTATTTTGGGGTACTTATTGGCAATTTAGGCTAAGTACAGGTTCTTGATTAGGTTTCTTAATTTTTTTTATGAAAGAGATAATAGATTAAGTTATGAATATTTGAAAATCATATATGTGAACTGTGGAGTGTAGAATTATATGAAGGAAGATCATTGCAGTTATATATGCAACTTTTGCACTTGCAAAAAGAAAGCCTGAAAAAAAAATTCAGGCTTGTACGGGATTCGAATCCTCGACCTCTGTGATACCGCTGCAGCTCTCTATAGCTACCAATTAAGCTAAAAAGCCAACTGCAAGGAAACTAGGGGATCCCTGAGAAATTCTGAACATTTAAGTACTCTAGGATGCAATCTGGAGCAATCTGAACACTAAAATTTGGCAAACATCAGGATTTCATTGTGGTCAACGAAGTAAGAAAATTAAAACTTGATGACCTTTTCCAACTTAGCAAAAAAAAACTTACCGGTATATAGTATCAAACTTGAAGACTTTTGTAGAAAATTATCAATTGTCAGTTTGTTTATGCTACCATTGAGAAAGCGATTTTGCCTGTTATTTTTTATGTTTAAACAAACTGATTTCCAATGTCTGCCGTGTTCAATTAGCCAGTCATTTGCTGGTGAACGTGGATAATCATGGAGTGATTCAATCTTTTTTTGTGACGTAGTTGTTCGAAGATACTGGTCTTGAGCCTTCCAAGAGCAGAGGCCAAGCACTCACTCACAGCATTCGTGGCAGGTACAACAAGAAGTATTAAACTTCACAAGTTTAAAAACTTCTGAGAAATAATCAACAGCTGCACTGGGGAGGTTTCTCAGATATGCCACCACCTCATTCAATCTCTCTCAGTACCAAGCTGTGCTCTGAGAGTTTGCTGCTTTTACATGGCAGCAGCGAATTACACTCCAAGTTGTCTCCATAAAAATCACCATCAGAATCAAGATCCTGTACTTCTAAAATCACAGAATACTTCTTTTACGAATTCTAATACATTAAATGGCCTCATACAGTGTCTGATCATCTGGTCCAAGGATCTTAGCTTGCCACACTAAAGTATATCTCAGTTTGCGCGATTTTGAGTTGTCCCAAAGTTGAAAGTTGGAGGGCCCTACCTGCCCCACATGTAGCGCCGCCCTAGACTGGGATTGTTGATTAGTAGAAAAATAAATAATCTTGGTTTTGGTCCTTAAAATACAATATTTATTCATAATAAATTGTATTATTGTGAAAGGTTGAGGAGTCATTTCATAAGTAGGTTTGAGTATGATCGTCTTGGTGAATGTAGTCCTGAAAAGGACGGTTGTTGACAGTGACATACATTTCAAAAACCCTATTAACAAATTTAAACTGATTACCAAATTTATATTCAGTTTATTTACGATCTCAAAGTTACACTCCCTGATTAAATTTTTTATCACATAAATCCAAATATACGAGACTGCTTGATCTTGCTTGGCCAAACAGGTTTTTGTATTTTGGGCTATCAGTATTAGCGAAGCTTTTGCAGATGCAAAGCGCACACAGGGGAGTACCATTGGTAACAAAAATCTATGCATGCAAGAAATTTTTGCTCTGACAAAATCATCCATATTTACATCCATTTGTATGTCCACACCTTCATTTAAGCGGATGCAGGAGCCCATAACCTGGAGCGAGCAACTCCCATACAAGGGGTATGTCACAGCCTTTTTACAGACCAGTTTATTTTTAGACACATTTTAGGGTTACTTTTCCCTGCGAAATAGAATCTCCACCTGTCTATGAGAGCATTTGAAGTATAAGATATCAAAAAGGAAAACTAAACTAATTATTAAAAGGCAAAAAGTATTATTTTTTAATAGGTCTGTAGGTTTTGCTGACCGGTTTATGGATTTTAAAAAATATTCAAAATTTGCGCGGAAACTGTTCTAAAAATAAACTGGTCTGTTAAAAAACACAGTGACTCGAACGCATGTAAGTTGCTTGCCTCGGGTTATGGGCTCCTGGCGGATGTGAAATGTCACACTTGCTTAGAGCCAGCCAAGGCATATACTATTTGAGTTTAACTAGGTATTGGACATCCCGAGTCCATGTTATGGTCAATTGACAGTTGTCAAAAAAGGTATCTACTGACCAGTGTCACATGACTGTATCGTGGGCTCAGGTATACAACTCATTGAGGTGACATAAATTTTAATGTTATCTGCTGACCAGTTATTGGTTTACAAGTGATTGTGGGCTCAAGTCCATTTTTTAAGGTGGGAATTCTGTTTGCTTTCTGCTTACGGCAAAAGTTGAATTACTTGGCCTTGGCTAAATCCATATATTAAAGAAGCAAATTTCTGCTAGGAGGTTCTAAATCCATAGGGTCTTATAATTATGCAGGTGTCTACTGTATTCCTTGACTAGCTACCCTTCTTTATTACCATCATTTACATGTATTTATACCAGAAATAAGTACATCGTAAACCCACACAAAACTTGATATGGCAATCAAGTCAAGCCTTACCGATCAGGGGTACAAACTGGATGGGTGACCTGCTGCGAATGTTGTGTTTTGAGGACTCCTACTTGTTTCTTTACTTTTCCCCCACTTTATTACCATCATTTATTTACTAAGCTATGATAGCAATGTTGTTGCTTTACACTGTATTTGAAAGTCAGGTTTACAAGTGACTGATATTTGCATTTTCTACCCTAAGGGGACAGAAGGAAAGTGATGATTGATGTGGAGGGAAAAACTGGTCCTGAAATACTGGAGATATTTGGCAAAGTTGCTGGAGCAACAGAGAGGTAAAGTACCTTGTCTTTCAAAGATCCACATATCTTAAGTACATGAATTTCTGCTTTTCAGTCTGGCTGGGTATTATGATTATTATTATCATCATCATCATTATCATTATTTAATCGGCACTTTGGGAGTGGTTTCACGGTGTTAATTGCTAAGACCGATGCAAGCAAAATCCTGCAAAAGAAATAATTACCAATTATGAAATTTGGCTTTCATAGGATGTGAAGAATTCTGCACATCTTGGAGAGTGTGGCCAAGGCGGATAACACCCTCCGAGATCTGCAGAATTCTTCATATCCCACGAAAGCCGACTTCAATGTTATTGCTTTATTATTCCTTCAAAATAATTCCAAGTTTAAATTAAAACAAGCTATTTATCATGCTAACCTTGGTTGATGTATGTTCATCTATAATGCATTTTTATCAGGAAGTTTAGGAGATAAAGGTCTGTTAAGTGCTGTAAATATGCTCCAAATAGCAGATGTCGTCCGTCTTCATGCTGTTCTTACCATAAACAGCATGTTCTTACCATGTTACCATGTTTTTAGACAGTATTTTGCGGTGAAACGAGTAAACGTTCCACCAACTGTTCCGCCATTTTTGTTCTAACAACCAAAGCAACTCAAACTCCTCCCCATGTTTTCACGATCAACAGTTCAATAACCTGCAACCAGGTTGCACTTTTGACATAATTTTGAAGTCATTGGTTCAATATGGCAAAATTCTTTCCAAATTTGGTCAACAGTAGCTGGTTATGGTGAATTATGCCTGCGGTTTTAACCAATCAGAAACGGGGAAATATTTTGAATGAATAATAAAAAAATAGATTACATGCTCTGCAAAATCTCTCTGGTTATTGAGTCGTGGTAATTACTAAAAATGACTACACTTGCGGTACCCAGGGTTCAAAATAGCAGCCAGCACTTTAAACACTTGCCAGTAACTTTTCACGAAAGAAATAGAAAATGTCATGCTTTGATCACCCAACTGAAATTGATGTCACTGTAATGTTGTAGTAAACATTTCATATCAGACAATAAAGCAGCGTTTTACAGTGAGTAGAAAGAGTAGAAAAAGTTTTGGAAATTTAAAGCGTGTTGCAAACGTTGAAAAAAAGAATTCTCGTTTACCATGAACGACTAATTCTTTTACGTGTTTTTCAAGAGTGAATGATGCAAGTTTGTCTTGACAAACGGTTGCGTTACGTCATTAATGTTTCGGCACATGTAATTAGGAATTATTTTGCACAAAAACTTGTTTAGTGCCATTTGTGAAACCTTTTCACTCGTTCAGATTACTTAATATGTATTTCTGGCAATCAGTTTTCATGTATGTGATCCAAGAGTTGTTACCTTTCAAATTCGTGATACTGATATTTATTGATATTGATCTCCCAAATAATTATAAGTTCTATGAACGTGTTTTCATGAATTCCGTTGATATTGTTCCCTGTGCATTGAATGTTTAATTATTTTAACGGCTGTCAGTAATAAATCATCACACTGTTGACTATTGACGGAACATGCTCAAAAAAATAAGCCTTGACAAAAAAATACAACGGATTCAGGCTAAAAGCTGTTATTTTATTTTGGATGCTGGGTACCACAGTTTATGTGGACAGGACTTGATGATAGTCATGATTAACAAGTCTATCATACACTACTAAATACAGAACAATTCATTAGGGTTTTCAGGGTCTTTATTCCTAAGACTAGCTAGTGCACACAAAAACCCTTCAAAGACCCCCAAGGAAATGACATGTACTAAGGAATAGCCTTAACTTGGGTGATAGCATAGTTGCCTTATTGGATTTCTTCATGTATTTGTTGTTTTACTTGATCGCGCTCTTCCATTGAGGTCACTGAGTGGTACTTTGTCACCTGTACTGGGTGACAAGCTTCTCTGGAAGGGATGAGTTCCCTTGCAGATTAATTGCTATAGGCCAAGGGTCATGTCTAATTGTGTCCTCATTAGACTTTGAGACTAGCAATAGGGTCTCCTAAATGTAGAGGTCCTGTGTAGGCAATATACCAACTGGTTCCTTTTTGAGTCCATTCCGTTTTAACCTTAAGTTCTCAAAAGGATACCATTGAAAACAAAATAAATATCCTTCACTGCAAAAGCTCTCTGCTTGTTGTGTCCATTTATCCTTACAAATGACTACACTTGTGGTATCGTGGTATATATGCCCCCCCTTCCCCATCCACAGCCTGACCCTGAGCATTTCCTGGTGAATGCGGAAGGTTATGATTTAGTTTTTCTTTCTTCTTTTTTCCTGTTTTACAGGGAGAAGGAAGACAGGGCAATGCCAAAATACCCTGGTCGTCACAACCCTGCAAATTTTGGCAAATACGGCCATTGCTACTGCATCTGTGAAAAACCAGGCCAGGCACCATGCCCTAGCCGTGTGCCACACCCTGATGCAAAGAAACCAAAATGGTGGCAACAAAGAGGAGAAGCAGCGCAATGATGCACAAGTTAAGAGTAGGAACCCCCAATGACATGCAGTGCCCTTGGGAGGAGTTAGGTGTCAGTATTACCATTTCCATGCACTCTGAGAAGCAAGGAATTTAACTTGAACAAATATTGTAGTCCAGCTGTTATCGACCAAAAATATAGCGAATTGTTCACTTTTATGATAAAAGCATGAAACTTTGCCAGATAACAACCGACCCTAAGACTAACATTTTTTGATATGGAGCCAAGCCAAATTCAACACTGGACACGAGTACTGCGCAGGCCCTAAAATGGCCTACATGAAAACGAGGCTGACAGTGGAAATGCTTCTAAATTACCGGTTTTTCAGTGTTTTGGTAAATAAAACTTCTAGATATCGTGGAAGAAGACATTTGCTTTGCTGTCATGTTATCTTTGGTGTCACGTGACCCTTTCTTCCAAATATGGCGAAGCCGTTGTTGGGTGTCCTGTGCTGGGCTGTCTTCTGTGCATTTGTGAGTTTTAAAGGAAGAGAATGGGCACTGATTCACACAATTTTAAATGATAACACTCTTGCAACTTTTTTTCCAATTGTCAAGGGTGGGATTTGTTTTCATACAGATGTCAATTACCACATGAAAACAAGGCAAGAATCTTTTAAACTGTTTGAAAAGCCTCCAGTTAGCACTGCGTGCGGTCATTTGAGGGTGGATTCAGATAACATTGCATAAAAGCTTGCACTAATCAAAAATTGTGATTGTATGGCACTCTGGCTGTTGTTTTCCATCTAAATGTAGAGCGCCGCTCAAAAACAAGGCAAAAATCCTTTTGATGATCTTAAAAGCTAGCCTCCAGTTTCTTGCCTCCACGTTCGGATACTGCATTAAGCTATTAATATTCAAATGAACAAATGAATCGTTCAGGGAATTCTCCTTTCATTATTAACAAAGTCAGTTACAAGGTTCAGTGCTGAATCCAGGAGGTGGCCCAGCCCAAATAGCTCTCCTCCCTTAATTTTGAAGAAATGCTAATTTGATCCTTTCAAGTTGAAATTAATATTACCAGTTGTTGCTTACATTAAATGCATGAGATAGAACAGTCTTTGAGGTAAAAATGAACAGGTCATGCAGGAGCAAGCGATCGTGCCTCCCCATATCTCTGTTATGCCTAAAAACAGATGACAGGATAGTCTTGTAAAGACCATTTCTGAGATATGCAATTTAAAGCTACCAAATTGATATTCCTTTAAATTTTATATTAACACATGAAAATATAAAAAAGATGATCAATCTGAATGTAATAAAAAGGGCCGTGTTTCTCCCCGTTAAGGACAAGAAATCAAGCCTTTCAAACTCAGCTCGCTTACAGAATGTCGAGCGCTTCAAAGTTGTTGCTACGCATGTCCTCAAGGCAGAGTATATTTAAAGTGCATGTTTATCCCTTATAATTGAACAACAACTGAGCTGCTTGAAATAAATGAAGGAATTAGCTTAACTTTACTCATATTTCTAACGGTAATCTTTAATAATAATAATAATAATAATAATACTTATATGGCGCCGATAGCAATACTGCTATTTTCATCAAGAAAATTTTCATTGCCCCGGGCGAGCATGGTTTCTCCTTCTTCCAAGTGAAATTGTTCACTGGAAGTGTAACTGTGCTGCTCACTAGTACGTCATTAAAAATTAAAAAAAAAAAACTACAATATTTTAAAACCGTACAGAAATGAAATCCATGGTCATGTACTCATCTAAGCCGAGAAAAATGTTATCTTTTTCTGCTAATGTCAACGTTTTGTGCATCGATCCAGCCACAGAGAAGTTGACCTTTTATGCGACAAAAAGTTCCAAATCAAAGGAAAATAGCCAAACATCCAACCAATACAGCTGGTTTCTATCGCTAATTTTACACCCACAAGTGAGTTTTCATGAGTTTTCTACTACAGACATCAAAGGGGAGTTAAGAGTGTATCCTCAACAGACCAGTTAATCAGAAACTAATAACAAAAATGGAAACTGCTGAAAAAATTAAAATGCTAAGGATTTGCAGTGGGTAGGAAGAAATTCGTATGGGGTTTTGTGACTTGGGAGGCTTTATTATCCCACTCAACCCTGAGATCATTGTTCTCAAAGCAGCCGAATATACAGCATGATAATCTCATCAACGAGCCACTTATTTCGGTAGACAGGCTGCTTGGGGTATTTGGCGCCATGTGTAATGACAAAGATTAGCTTCAGCTCATACTCTGCGAGCTTCATATTGTTCAAAATGTTCAGCAGGCAGTTTACCGGTACCAGATGAACAGCAGCTCAGTGACACAACTGAGTTGAAAAGAAGGGTGTGGCTCATTCATTGCTTATATAACTGCAAGTCATCTTATTCAAAATGACGGTAGGTGCATGCAAAGCAAAACAGAAACACCCTTCTAAAATCGGTGAGGAATAATAATCGAAACAGTGAAATCTTTCCATGAAGGAGAAGATGGGAATTCAAATGGTGAAACGAGATTTTACTAGTGTCGTAGATCCCTACTCCTAAGAAAAATTATTCCGCATACTTTAAAACTGTGCTGCACACATCCCACCAAACATAAGTTAACGCTCTTGCGTCTTGCTTGCGTAAACTGAAACAGACTGACAATTACTTCGTGGTCCAGACATTTCATATTAGTTTGAGTGATCATCAACAGTTAAATCAGAAACCATTCCACCAATGAGGCGATGCTAGTTATTTTAGTTATCAATGTATAGTATGGACGCCAAAGAAAATGATGTCAGTGTCACGTGGGCGTTGAGTCCTGATCATGTCGGACAGACATTTTTAACTTGCGTTTGCGTTAGCCTGCGAGCAAGCTCATTCGGTTAACACCCCTCCCTCTTGCGTCTCCTTTTGCGTGCAGTTTGCACGTGACGTTTCACGATAGCCCCATATAGACAGCTAGAACGTCGGCTGCACTTGTTTTTTCCTGGTTGACAAGCGTTAAGTGCAAACAAAAGCGTTTGGGGAAATAGTAAGTTCAATTGGTTTTTTCGGCTTGCACTTGCGTTTGTTTGTCCAGCCCTCATTATCTTCAATAAAACAGGCAAGAAGTGAAAAAGAAGATAAAGTGACCTTTATAGTGTTTCCTCAACTCGAGAAGTGCTCATGCAACATAGCTGTTGAGCAGTGTATGAATAGGATATGTATAGGGAACAACACTTCTGAGGCAAACAAGTCTAAAGGTTTTAATTTTGACAAAGGGGTATATCGTGGCAGTTTGTGGTTATGAACTCATTAAATGAAAGAAAAACTGCTTCTTTGGGACGGTGTCGATTCACCATTGGCAAAACTGGTGTACATCCTACTCTTAAGATACAGTGACATCTACAACTATCTTGTGGATACAACCATCAGAAAGGGGGGCTCTTCAATTCCTTAAATATGGCATTTTAAGGAAAAACTCCTGTGACTTTCGATTGTCGTCTGTCGAGAAAAAACTCTGCAAAAACGCCGTGCAATCACAATTTTTGATCCGTTCAGGCTTTTAGGCAATGCTCTATGAATCTAACTCAAGATGACTGCACGCAGGACTAACTGGAGGCTTTTCAAAACGCTGAAAAGATTTTTGCCTCGTTTTCATGTAATGATTTGCATTTGTATGATAGAAAACAGTCCTCGATAATTGGACATAGCTGCAAGAGTGTTATCATTTAAACTTTCCTCACCCCTTTAAATGCCTCTTCTCACCCCTTTAAACGCACAAATGTACAGAAGACAGCTTCAGCACAGGACACACAACAATAGCCTTGCCATATTTGGAAGAAGGGGTCACGTGACACCAAGTAAAGCATTGCAGCAAAGCAAATGTCGTCTTCCACAATATCTACGACTTTTATATAAAGAAACACTCAAAAATTATATTTTAGAAGGATTTCCACGAACAGCCTCGTTTTCATGTAGGTCATTTTAGGGCCTGCGCAGTACTCGTGTCCAGTGTTGAATTTTGCTTGGCTCCATATCCAAAAATGTTAGTCTTAGGGTTAGTTGTAATCTGGCAAAGTTTCATGCTTTTATCATAAAAGTGAACAATTTTGGTCGGTAACAGCTGGACTATTGAGGAATGCTATTTCAAAGAAACAGAACTCGGAAACAAAATGAAGCAGTGGAAAGGATTACTTATGGTGGCATAAAAAAGCATTTCGCACCATACTTGTTGACCTTAGGTTAACTTCAAAATATCTTAAAGTTATGAAGAATAACCTTGGGTTCGGTAATAGGGTTTTGTCGAGTAATTTGAAAGCTCCCCAGCAAGACTTTCAAGAGTTTTAAAATAGTATTTCCAAATTTAAAAAAATCCGGAAAATTTTCATCACAGGTAGTACATTAGACTTTCAAAAATGTGCTTCTTTCTATTCAATGTGGCACAAGAAGGTGATTCCACTCCCTTTACGGCTTTTTCTGAAGTTAAACTCGTGGACTATTTAAGGCATGTCTACAAACGTAAAACCTGTACCCAAAAATTATTATTCATTAAAAAGTATCCAAATAACTGAAATTATTTTCGGTTCAATCACTCTTTTAAAACAGAAAATGATTGTGGAGTTTCCGCAATCCTCTACGTGTTCTACAGTCAACCCTTCAGTGCCGTAGCATGGGGAGTGGCCGGGAGGGCCTGGTCCCCCCCCCTCCCACCCCCAATAAGTTTGACAGGCACGTTTAATTTGGTCAGCGGCCACGCTCGTATGTCTTCAACAAAGAAAAATTAAGCGGGTATTAAACAAAGTATGCACTTCTTAAATGGGAAATTAATGCTCTCAGAAGGCTGAAAATGCTATTTCAGAGACCCTATATTTCAAAATCTTCCAGGGGAGCATGCCCCTGGACCCCCCCTAGCAGCTCGCGCCCTCGGCACTCGTAATTGGCCCCCAATAAATCTAACCTTCCTACGGCACTGCTCTTTCTGATATCCAGCAGAGTCACAAGGATATATGTGAGCGTTTCTAATACACTGGTTCCTTACGCACTCTCTCCATTCTTAAGTGACGGTTACGCCCAAGTAAGACAATTACAGAAGGAAGGTGGCAAAGAGCTTTTACAGCAAACAGTGAAAGAGCAGTTCGAACATGAAAGCCTTCTTCCTGAACATAAAAATACTTTGAGAAAATTCCTTCAAGGCCAAAATGCGTTTGTAAATTACCCAACTGGTTTTCCATTGCCCTCTAATCGCTGCAGATGCACTGCCCATTATGGACAGTTCTAGCTTCAAAGCAAATCAGAAAATCATGATATTCACGGACAAAAAAAATACACTCGTGTAGCTACTCGATAGCTACAGTATTCAGGTCCAGGCATTTTAGACATTTCGGAGAAAACCGAAAAAGGCTGTAACAGAAAGAGAGTGTGAGAGAAATGGTAGAAAACAATTCCTAGTATACTGTTACGATTTCTTCTCTTTCTACCTGTAGGTTACGAGACAATTAGAACGTGGGCCTTTGTAATATGACGCGAGTGAACAATGTAAGGCCAGACGTAAACAAACTCCAAACAATTTGGAGCAATAAGTCCTTGTTTGGGAGCAATATTGCTTGGGGATAATAATAATAATAGTAATAATAATAATAATAACAATAAAGGTTTGTTTAACAGATCCATCGGGTGGCTTTTCCCTGTTAAAATTACATTACAAACAAATTATTTACAATTAAAAAAGTAAAAAAATGAAAGTGATGTATAAAAAAATACAAGTACGACTATTTTGAAGTTACAGTAAAATTAACTAACACTCTGTACTCTATAACATAAAAATTTCCTTGAAAGTTTAAAAAATGTGCCGTACCGTTTACAGTTTCTAATGAATTCTGGAACATCGTTACATAGATACATGTAGGACGCATTATCTTGGAAAGTGTCGTTTTTTGTCGGTACCGCTAATCTAATGGAATTGCTTGAGCGCAGTTTCTTGTGTCATGCCTGTTTTATTAATTTTTAGACAATTTTTAGGCCAAGTCTCGATGTTATGCAAAGCTTTAAAGCATGATTTCAGGAGGTTGAAATCCCTTCTCTCGTTAATTGGAAGCCATCCGATTTTAAGTACATTCCGACAGTTAAGTTTGTAGGTAGACGGCATATCCGCATTTGTACATCTGATGGCGGCAATTAAGGAAATGCTCAGACCGGTATTAATCTTTCAAAATAACAACCAATCAACAGCGCCCTTAGAGTCAGTCCGGGAACAGTTGTCCTTCTAGTAGTAATAAAGGTGGCCCCAATCGGAGCAAAATTTGTTTAGTGCTGCACCCACAGAAGAAGCAAATCCAAAAGGGGCCGAAGAACTCAAGACAGAACCTTGCAGCTCCATATGTCAGCGCCTTTTCCCCAGTCAAAGTCAACAACCAAACTTAGAGTTGTACTTGATGCTTGTGCAAAATCTAATGGTGTAGTCCTAAACGATTGCTTATATCTTGGACCACTTCTCGCAGAGAACATGTTTGATGTATATTTATCAGGTGACCCTCGTACAAAAGGCACTTCTTATGGTGGATATGGAGATTACCCCTTAAAAACCGTTGAAGTGCACCCATCGGCTTGGTTCAATTGTGAAGTAACTGTTTACGTGGATCAGTGAGGTCAAAATGTATCAAAAAGTGGACGGTAAAGAGAAATTGAAGTACTATCATTTCATGTCCCTCTACCTCTGGGTGAAAAAACAAGGCCGTTACCCAAAAAGCCTTCCAGAATTTCATAACTACGTGGACCCCGCCGATCTGGACCAGTGTATTGGCGTGCTACAGTGCAAAGTCCTTCCTCCGCGAGATCTAAACCATCCCGTGCTTTCATACAAGGAGAGGGGCAAATTGATCTTTCCATTGTGCGCAGCCCCTGCGATCAAGATCAATTGGTCCAAACCGTGGTGGGAAATTTGTACTTGTGTAATCAGATGAACCCTGTTAGGCACTTGGTGAACCCCGGAAATCTAGGAGGCTGTGTACAAGGGCCACAAGATTCTTCACGTCGAAGACACTGGTACTTCCTCCATTCACCAGTAGCTCTCTTCGAAGATTACAGTGACAGATGGTTGAAAATAACGGAAGAAGCCAGCTTGAGAGGAACTAAAGTGGAAAAGGCCTGCTATCTTCACGATACTTCGGCTCCCCATAACAAGCATGAAGTACAATCCAGGTCGCAGAGCCAGTGGCCAAGATCATGCCCAACTCCATGTGGGGCAAGTTTGACCTGCAATTAAACAAGACCCGAGTCAAAGAATTCGTTGACCAGGTGATAATAGAAAACCTTCAAGTCAGCAGCACGAGAAATCACAAGACTATGGACCACCCGGGAATAAAACAGCACCCTGCCAAGGCACGGATGGAGTGAACTTTCACTCTTGAAGTGGCCCCTTGGTGGGTTGGCATATTTGAGAGGGTTGTAAATCTGATGACCGTGCTTTCCTATGAAGAGTGAATGACAGTAGTTGTTGAAGTGGAAATGATTCTGAGCTGCAGACCTCTTTCGTATGTGTCATGTAAGGACCCTGAAGAACCCCATCGTACCCCGAAAGTGGCAAACGTGTTGGGTCTTCCAACATTAATATTAATGACATTCCGGATCACGACATTGACGTCCAGCCACAGGAACTAAGCAAGAGAATGCAGCACCTGAGCAACGTCCTGAACCACTATTGGAAGAGATAGAAAAGAACACCTGATCAAGTCGCTAAATTCCCACCATGACCTCGATTAAAACGACACTAGCAGAGCCGCATCCATTGCATATGTAGCCGTCTTGCACTAAGATAAGCCCAGGGGAAAATGGCATGTTGTTGCAAAATTTTAGAACTCGTCGCTGGATCTGAAGGTTGTGTGGGGAGCTGTTGTCCAAGTCGAAATCAATTAAGGTAGAAAATCTGCGAAACTAAAGCGTTCAGTGAAGCGGCTTTACTCCTTGCAGATGCAGTGCGAAGTTCTTATGCAACAAACAAACGAAGCTTGGTAAAGTTGAAATCCTGATCCAGTTACTTCCGAAATGCATAACGAGCCGCGCACTCTTAGCAACCAGAAAAAAACTCAGTATACAGCTGAGATCGGGGACTTTTTGGTCTTCGAGCTCTGCTGGATGCCCAGGAGCTTGTAACATTCATTATTCCATTAATCTCTGATCGTATCTCGCATTAATATAGAGCGTTTATTTCCACGCAATCATGTCATCATCCTAAGGCGAGATATTTAATTAAAAGAGCGGTATCCAACAAAATGTACGGCTTTGGTTTCGGATAAAATTGTTCAGTGCCGTCTGCCGATCTCATAGTTAACACAGGTAAAATAAATATTCATTATATCCCATTTCGTTAGTGGTCCCCTTGTTGTCGATTTAGCAACTTTTGAAGGTTTGAGTTCGGTGCTGTGTAGTTTACATTGATTTACCAAGAAAAGATAGGCCAGCAAATAACTATTTGGGAAGCATGATAATGAAAAAGAAATTGAAGATATCTTTTGTTTCGGTGTTTGACGCGAATTCCAAAATATGCATGATTTTCTCACTGATACGCTATTGTTGCATTTATAACGTATAGGGCCTCTTCATATGAGCCCGGTTGACCGGGCTGGCCCGATTTCCGAGATCTCGCCTCACCTCTAAATCCTTTGTAAAATTTTCAATGTGTTCATATGAGAGGGCGGGCTGGCTCGGTTGCCGAGATCTCGGTAAGCGGGCTGAAAATTTTGCCATATGAACACTTCATCCCGGTTACCGGGATGAATGGCGAGATGAATTCTGGCGGTCCGGATGGCATCGTCTTGCATTGCCTGCTGCATTTTCCACATCATAAGCGTCCCATTTAACTACAGTGATACAGCTTTAAGAGTTACCGATGGTAAGATAGGCCCGAAAGTTAAAATTTTTGTGTTTCGCCATGTTTGCTTTGTTTCCCGAATTTGGCGCCAGAACTCGTTCCCAGGATCTTTGACCTTTTCTCATCTCGGAAACCTGGCTGAAATTTCTCATATGAACCCAAAGCAAAATTCATCCCGGTAACCGAGCCAGCCCGGTCAACCGGGCTCATATGAAGAGGCCCATAGTTTATTCATTGTGCGAACTTGCTTTGACACTGTATCCATCACGTTGCATTGTATACATCATATTCATACAGTGCTTATAAATCACTGACCTTTAGATTATTTTTCGGCAAATCCTCTAGAAAGTTACATTTAGGACTGCTGCTTCAGGTTTTTCGAGATACTAAGCGTTTTATATATCCTAGAAGCGCTCAGTCAGGCATAATAATATACCAGGACTTCTTCCTAGATGAACCAGATGGGATATAGAACAACAGCCTAAAGTTTTTTCTACGGGTAGAAATGCTAAGCGTGTTATATACCCTAGAAGCGCTCAGGCATAATAATATGCTAGGACTTCTACCTAGATAAACCAGAGAGGATAATTTATAGAACAAGAGCCTAAAGGTTTTTTCTGCGGGTCGAAATGCTAAACGTGTTATAAATCCTAGAAGTCCTCAGGCATAATCCTATGCCAAAACTTCCACCTATATGAACCAGAGAGGATATAGAACAACAACCTAAATTTTTTTCTTCGTGTCGAAATACTAAACGCGTTATTTATCCCAGAAGCGCTCAGGCATAATGATAAAGAGATTAAGCATTGCGTTTACATGAATTTGTACTACGTGACCAAGATTTCCCTTTAATTGTTATTTACTATTCATTATGACCACTCGAAAATCGGTAGATTCACCCCAATTCTATCCATAACAATTGTTTTTTGCTGACTTCCAGATTTTAGGGTTAGGGTTAGCATTAGCTCAGGGATACTTCCAGGATCGAAAATATTTTATCCTTACAAGTTCTAAATATTTCCAGTAGAAGTCTTCGACAATACCCGTCTTTTGCATTTGGTTTCAGATTCTCAACACAAATCGTTTTCCCAGGAGCTAACCGCAATCCTACCCCTAGGGCTAGGGTTTTGGTTAGGGACAGGGTTAATTTAGGGTTACTTCCAGGATTGAAGATATTTTATCCTACCAATTTTAAACTTTTTTCCCCAAACGTTTATTGACGATACACATCTTTTGCATTTGGTTTCAGATTCTCAACGCTAATCGTTCTCCCAGGAGCTAACCCTAACTCTAACCCGTTAGGGTAAGCTTAGGATTGCTTCCAGGATCGAAGATTTTTTTATCCTAATAAGTTTTAAATATTTTCCCTAGAAGTCTTCGACGATACGCATCTTTTGCTTTTGGTTTCAGATTCTCAACGCTAATCGTTCTCCCAGGAGCTAATCCTAGGGTTAGGGTTAGGGCAAGCTTACGGTTACTTCCAGGATCGAAGATTTTTATCCTAACAAGTTTTAAATATTCTCTCTAGAAGTCTTTGACGATACGCATCTTTTGCTTTTGGTTTCAGATTCTCAACGCTAATCGTTCTCCAAGGAGCTAACCCTAACCCTAACCCTAGGGCTAGGGTTAGGGTTAGGGTTAGGGTTAGCTTAGGGTTACTTCCAGGATCGAAGATTCTTTTTCTAACAAGTTTGCTCGGGGATTTTTCCATCTAAACTAAAGTGTGCAAAGATTATTCCGGTATTTAAGGACGAGGATGACACACTGCCCGAAAACTACTGGCCTAGGCCTATATCACTGCTCTCGATTTATAACAGGAAATTTGAAAAACGTATGTTCTTCAGACTTACCAAGTTTGTCAAAGATTGCAACATTCTCTACGATTAGCAATACGGCTTTCGCAGTAAGCACAGTACTCAGCATGCTATACTTGATATAGTTAACACTATTCTCCAAAATATGGACAACGGTAAATTTTCGTGCGGTGTTTTCATTGATCTCAAGAAGGCTTTTGATACTGTTAACCATTAGATTTTGTTAGCTAAAGTTGAAAATTATGGATTAGAGGTGTAATCAACTCCTGGTTCAGATCATGCCTGACTGATCAATAACGTTGTGTCTGAGGCTGAGACGACCTTGTGCGGCGTGCCACAAGGCTCAGTCCTCGGACCACTCTTACTCCAACTTTACATCAATGATATCTACAAATTCATCCTCTTCGTTATTTGCCTTTTATCTATTTGCTGACGATAGCAATCTAATACTTGCAAATAACAACCTAAAGGAACTCGAATCACTTGTTAATCGCGAGCTTGGCAACGTCATTGAAAGATTATGTAAAATATCTTGGCTTAATGATTGATTCAAATCTTTCATGGAAATATCACATAGAATCTATCTGTCACAAAATCAGCAAGTCGATAGGAACTATAATATTATAGATTCCGCATTATGTCCCACGTCATGTTTTACTTTCAGTTTACAACTCATTGTCCCTTACTTAACTTATGGTATGTGGCTGGGGAAACTGTGCCTTGACATTTCAAAGAAAGATCGTAACTTTACAAAAACGGGTCTTACGTCTCATTTACTCCAGTAAGTCTATGGAACACACCGTACCCGTCTTTCTCAAATCGAATTGCCTTCCCTACCTAGCCAATTTTTAAGAGATTGTAGCTATTAATTGTATGATATCAAAACACATACAGCACCAGTTAGTATTCTCAATAAATTTGTAAAAACGAGTCTGATTCATAACTACAGAACAAGATCTGTCTCTAGCGACTCGTTTTGTGTAAAGTCCTCTAGAACCGATAAAATGTATGCCTTTTTCACAAGAATCGGTTCCCAAATTTAGAACTCCATTCCTTATTCGATTAAAATACTCAAATGCTCATCTTTTCGGTAAAAGATAAAGGAATTATTGCTAAATTTCTTGCGGTCAGAAGATGATTATGTCGAAGTCTCCCGTCTTGTTAAGTTAATTAATACATTAGATTATCCTGTCTTCGTAATCGTTAGGTACTTGCCTTGTTTTCTGTTAGTTTATTGTATTTATTGTATATAGTAGTGTCTTCACTGTTATTTAGTCCATCAAAAGATAAACCTTGTACTTGTAATATGTCTTCAGCTCCCCCCTCGCCTCGATTAGTTCATAAGCTATTTGCGGGTGGGAAAGTAATGTAATTAGTTATATATCATCCAATTTTCAATACAAATTTGTTGTTGTTGTAGTTTTAAATATTTTTCCCTAAAAGTCTTTGACCATACGCATCTTTTGCATTTGGTTTCAGATTCTCAACCCTAATTCGTTTTCGCAGGGGCTAACCCAACCCTAACCCTAGGGCTAGGGTTAGGGTTTCGGTTAGCTTAGGGTTACTTCCAGGATCGAAGAGTTTTTACCTAACAAGTTTAAAAGGTTTTTCCCTAGTAGTCTTTCACGATACACATCTTTTGCAATGGTTTCAGATTCTGAACGCCAATCGTTTTCCCAGGAGACAACCCCAACCCTAAGGTTCGGGTTTGAGTAGGGGTTAGGGTTAGCTTAGGGGTCTTTTCCTAGTTTGGAAGATTTGTTATCCCAACAGCTTTCAAATATTTTTCTCTTGAAGTCTTGGAGGAGAGGATACGCATCGTTTACATTTGGTTCCAGATTCTCAACGCTAATCGTTTTCACAGGAGCTAACCCGGCCCTAACCCTAAGGCTAGGGTTAAGATTTGGGTCAGGGTTAGCTCAGGGATACTTCCAAGATAGAAGATATTTTATCCTAACAAGTCTAAAATATTTTCCCCTAAAAGTCTTCAACAATACGCATCTTTTGCATTTGGTCTCAGATTCTCAACGCTAATTTTTTCCCAGGAGCTAACCCTAACCCTAACCCTACTGATAGGGTTTGGGTTAGGGTTAGCTTAGGGTTACTTCCGGGATCGAAGATTTTCTGTCCTAACAAGTTTTAAAGATTTTTCCCCAATAGTCTTCGCCAATACGTATCTTTCGCATTTGGTTTCAGATTCTGAACGGTAATCGTTTTGCCAGTAGCTAAAAACAACATACAATAACCCTAAGCTAACCCTAACCCTAGGTTTAGGATTAGGGTTGTTTTCAGTATGGAATATTTTTATCCTTACAACATTTCAAGATTTTTGCCTAATAGTCTTTGACGACACGCATGTTTTGCATTTGGTTTCACATTCTGAAAGCTAATCGTAATAAAAAATACTTTATTATACTTTATTACAAAGGAGGAAAAAAAAGTATAAAATGCTTTTCTGTATGTTAAGAGGAACAATTTAAATTTAGCCAGCAAAGGTACATCAAACTTCTGGCTTTGGCTTCAGTCCTGGTCTGCACTGAAATTTGCCATCCATCTTATAGATTTGTCTTGTTTTCTTCCCTTTCGCCATTACCCTCACCCTTACCCTCGTTTAGGCAACGCCGTTTTACATTCCTGTAAGCAGACAATTCCCGCAGACGGCCGCAGTGACTTCAGGGATTAAGAGTAAGATTTCAGCTTTGTTTTTAAGCTTCCGTAAGCGGACACCTGAAATGAAATCTCATTCGCCTCTAACGTTTTATTTTAATAAATCAACTTCATATCGCTATTCGTCACCATGAATTTATATCAGTTTCAGTGTTGTTTGTTCTTTTTTTATTCAGATACACGCCCGGTTGCACTTCAAAACTCCACTTAAATTTTATGCTTGCGACTGAATCACAACGAGGTCAGAACAATAGCTAAACACAAGCAACCATTTCTAATGTTTATGTGCAATTGGGCAAACGCCCGTAAGAGGCCATTTAACCATCACCTCCTAGCTCCAGTCACGGTTACCTTTTTCACCTTCCATGCGCGGAGAGCTTCCACGGTAGCTTTACACTATGACTTCGAATGAAGTGGAACTTGACACGTCTTGCCAATCATGCTCAAAGTAGTTTCACTTGGTGGATTGACATTTTATCGATTTGGAACCTAATAAACATCCTTTGACCCCTTCGACGAGACCAAAGAAAACGCACTATAAAGCGTTGCATTCTCTCACAAAAAAAAATACAATAGTGACTCTTTACCACAGTTTTCACACGAAATAGAAACTAATGTTAGAAATAGATTTATTTTACAATACAATAAGCGTTACTAAAGGAATTTTTAACATTTTTTACAACTTTTAAAAATAATATTATTTGCATTATTTATTTGTAACGACAGCTGAGCTTTGCTAAGTAAAAAACATGGAACATGATAAAACACAGCTTCCTCCTTGTCGCTAAGACCGTTGGCGAGAGAGATACTGTTTTATTGTAGCTGAAGTTTATCGCTTACTGGAACGTTTACACCCACAGTTGGATCAAGTAGAAGAGGCCGTTTTGTGAACTTGCGCGGATATTTGAACAAGACGAACTTTGTCTAGAAATAGAAGTTATTTAATAAGAGAGAAAATTCCAAAACTGAAAATTTCACATCTGAGCGAGTACACAAAACAAAGAATACTGAAGAAAAACGGTGCTCACCTCCAATCAGAGCCGCCATTGTCAACACTAATAAAGAGCTACATAACTTTTTTCACCAATTTGGCATCGAAGTTGACAAAAGCAAACAAAGCTCTACATTTCTTCTCAGGCGGGTTAGCAACCAAACCTTTTGACATTTCCATTTAAAATCGTCGAGATATAGTTTACGACAGGTTTGAAACTATGATTTGCTATGTTTGAGAATTCTTTCTAAAACTCATTAATATAATTCAAAATGGCTAAATTCGTCACGTGCATGAGTTTTGAAAACCAATGAAAACACAGACGAAAACCAAACATGTTTTGGATCACATATGAAAACCACGCGTGGTTTTCATCTGTCTTCTCATTGGACGTAAAGATCTAACTTTTGCGCATGTTACCGCTACACCGGCATTCTTCGCGCAGAAATTGATCTGTCGATCAAATCGTCTTTCATTATTATTTGAAATAATATGTCCCCAGAATATGGCTATGCCTAGTAATTGAAAATATGTTTATATGAAATTTGACCATCTTTTCTTTCTCTGCATCCTGCAGACCTGTCATTTTCAGGTTGAATTCTAATATCTCAAACCGCCGAGTATAAAATAGAAAGCTGTGGATAATACTGCAAATAGCAAAAAAATATTAATGCTATCTCCCTTGATGCTGTCTCATGTACTCTTCTTCTAGTTCCATTAAGTTTCTTTCAAGCATTTCAACCTCATCTAATTTCCTTTGTTCCTTAGCTTGTCTCAAGTAACTCTTAATAATGTCTATTTGCTGAAGCATGGGGTCTGGGGATGAGCCTTGGGTGACAGGCACTGGGCCCCAGCCAGTTCCTTGTATAGAACCTGGAGACGACTGTTGAACATTCATTGGTTTGCCTGACGGCTCATTTCTTTTCAAATCTCCACTTCCCTGTCTTTTGTGCTGCCGAAGCTTTGTCGCCTGCAGCCGCTCTTGCATGGCTCGTTCCCTTTGCGCCTTTTCCTCAGCAGCCTTCCTTGCCAGTGAACTTGCTCTGTCCTGTTGTAGTTTGTAAACTTTCTCCACTGATGGTAAGTTTGGCAGAGTAAACATGTTTTCCTGTAGGTACCCTGTGGCATAGGCCCTGATACCCTTTTGCAGTTTCAGTGTATGATGGCTGGGTGGTTTCTCATCTTGGGTACCCAAGGCTGCTATCTTTTTACTGAAGAATGCAATCAGAATAAGGGGTTTAAATACGTGTTACCATATACTACGATCCAATTTTAAAATCTGCAAGCACGGTTAACATAATCAGTGAGCCACTCATCAGCCAATGAGTAGCCAGGAGACTGTTGAGCACGGTTTAACTTAGTTCTGGTTTTAGATCAACATTTACATTGATCTAAAGCGCAGCCCAGTTATTTAAAGAGCCAACCGAAGCAAATTCATTGTGCCTGTTTGCAGTTCTATTCCTGCACTGCCAAACACCTCTAAATCATAATTTTCTAGGCCGGTAGGGAGGGAGGTGCGACGGGTGCGACACAGGCAACAGAGGTCCACCTTTTTAATGATCAGCGATTTAAAACAAAGTGAAGTAGGAGTATTGTTCTCTTCCAATTTACTGATTGTGTAGTAAAATGCTGTAAAAGGGGTCACACTGAGTCTCACTCACCCTTTCCAAAAAATGTGTTTTAGCCTTCGTAAAGCATAAAAAGGGGATTTGGTGTGCCTACAAGACATTTTTTCATTGCGCAATAAAATACCCTTCAGGATTATTCACAGTAGTCAAAGGTTGTTAATTAAGTTTTCTTATCAGTATCCCGGCCCGGCAGTGAAGGACGAGAAACAAGACTAGATTTTTGTTCGCTAAGCGCATAAGCTGCTTAGATCAACAAGGTCGAAGGTTCGGAGAATAGTTGTTGCATCATGCGTTTTGTGGAGAAAAGTTTTTTATGGCGACATTTTTTGTTGCTGAAAGTATATAAGTTTCACCACACCATGTTAGTTTTAAATGCATTTCTAGCCATTTCAGAGTTCTTAAATTAACAAATTTAAGGGGGAGCATGCCCCCGGACCCCCCTAGTTGACTCACGCTAACGCGTTCGAAGGGCGCAACAACCAAAGCCCCCCGTCCCCTCCCTTAGAGACTTGCCCGTTCGGCCTCGTTTGGTCCATCTGGTCTTTGGATCGCACCTCCCCGTAAAAAAACCTGGCTACGGGCCTGGGTTCGAAATAAGTTCATCCTTAAGAAGGAAGATTACTTTTCTATCTATTTAACATACCTCACTATATCAACTGATTCATACATCTTCAGTAATTTAGCACGAATATGGGCAGCTTCCTCTAGGTCATATTGGATTTCACCTAAACTGAAGATAACTTTCTTTTAATCTGACAAGTTCCACCATAGCCTGCTATGCAGGTGTTTTATGGGGGGATGGCAGGATGGCAGGAGCCACGTGTTTAAGTTCTCATCGTCACAGCCGCCTTTTTTGATGTTGTCACCGAAGATGATTGGGAAGAGTAGAAATAGCAACCCTAAGGGTATGCATTACGGTGACCTATTACTCACTCCAACCCTTCAAGTCAGTTCATTATTGTTAGCTTTAACTGGTTTATGGCCATCAGACATAGCTACATGACTGTAATGGACAATAACTGTCCATCATTGAGGACAATAATTTTCCCCCATTGTTAAATTATTATAAAAATCATATTAAAATAAATAAAAAAATTACATCATTCATGAGACAAAAAACAATAAGTAACTTGACGTTTCGTGTACTGTCATAAAAATTGACTTGTTGCACAGGACGGTTACTTTCCCTTGTCACAACAATATCTGGATTTAAAGACCCTACCCCATTCCTGTGGAACATGGAAAGTTGGTGAACACTCTTGTTCTATAGATCTGATGAAAAACCCCTCCCCTCTTGAGTTTCCAATGACACAGTTTTCATTGATACTTACTTAATGGAGTCGGCCATTTTCTTGTAAACAGGTTGTAAAGTTTCTGCCTCTGCCATACAACTTTTCATTTTCTGTAGAAACAGCATTAGCATAACTAATTTAACTACAGATGAATATATTATCGCATTTAAATTTATTTAGTACTTTAGGTGCATGACTTAAAGAACAATAATAATAAACAATTATTGGATGAGGTTATTGTGATGCCAGGAATAATCAAGGTCAAGGTAAGTGTTGTTGGCTGAGCCGAAGGCCAAGGTTGATAACACTTACCAAGACCTTGATTATCTAGGATATCACAAACACTAAATCTAATAATTCTTTTATTATACATTGTTTTGAAGAAAATGACAACAAACACACCATCAGAAGGAACCTGAATTGATATTGTTATTGGAAATCATGCATTGTGCACGCAACCTACAGATTAGTCAGTTAGCTGTAGGCTCTTAGCCAATGAGACGACAGATAATGAGTACAATGTATACTAATTGTTCATTATTGCATATAAGCCAAAACAATCTTAGTCAAAAGTTTTAAATTATACTGCCCTTATCTTATGCTGACTTTTCATTTAACATTATGTGAAGACTAATGCTTGTACTTCAGCTGACAATAACTAATGACATTTCATACCTCATACAACTGGACAACGGTTGGCTTTGTTTTCTTTTCTTTTTCCTGTTTGTCATATCTTTGGGTCAGGGAAAGAACATAACAGGGATGTTTAGAAACAGCGATGGTTTCGGCAATAAGGATGACAAATAAGTAATGGATTTGGCAAAAAACAACAACTCTGCATGTACATCATAATTTTTAAAATAATTATTATTTCTTAGTCATCACTTCACAACATCATTGTGGCATACTTCCATAACAGGATGTTTTGTTGAGGATGTACAAATCATAACAAAATCTTCTTTCTCCTTCTAAACTTCGGTTCCACCCCCAATAATTAAATTTCTGGCCCCAATTGCTCAAAAGGTGGATATCACTATCCACTGGATCAATATCTTTCCATTGGATAGTGCAATTTATTGGTTTCACTAAGACTTATCCCCTAAGTAGTGATTTATCTGATGGATAGCACTATTCAACTGTTGAATAACCGAGGCTTGGGAAATTTACCTAGTACATTGGACATTTTGAGCGAGTTTGAATAATCATGACAAATTATGAAAAAAACAAAGAGACTTTTTAAAAGTGACATTACTGCTGTCATTGTTGTTAAAGGCTTCTAACAATGTGATGAAGTGGACCTCCTCCTTTCCCTTCTCATGTAGTCTATAATTATTATTGTATTGCAAAAGGCATAAATCAGTTCTCAAAAAAGTGCATTCTATCTCATTATTATTGTTGAAGACAAAACTCAAGGCTGGAGCTCCCACGTCCAATATTATTATGCACTTAATAAATAGAATTTCTAGTATCCATTTCCCACAAATAATATCATCCTTTCGCTACCACACCCCACCCACTACTCAAACAATATCCCTGCCTACTCCATCTGTACCCCTTAAATCCCTGCTTACCCCCCTCCCCAATCACTTACCCACCACATCCATATCATTTCTTATTCAAGTCTAACCCCTTCCCAACTGGGTCCATTACTACCTCAGGAATCCAGTTACCCCTTTCTAACCCCTTTGCATACCACCCATATCACTCCTTTCCCAAGCCATAGCCTTTTTCACTATAACGGCAACGATAAACGAGCCCAACCTTGCCCTTTATCACACCTAGATCAGGAAAGTTGACAGTAGTTATAAAAGGAAAGCACTTCAGTCAGTTAAGTAAGTTACTGTCAGGAGGGGTTATCTAAACCACTTCATTGTTGCCTACAACTGTAGGGCATACGATCTGTTTCCAAGTCAGACACAACACTAAGATGCAGACACACACACCAAATGTAGTGCGACCTAACGATGCTGTTGATCCAAGAAAACAAGATGGAGCAGTGTAAATGTATAAGATTTCTGGTGAATGTGGTTTTAAAGAAAACATTAGTGAAACAGGAAGATGGACACATGAATGGATTATTAACGAGCACAATTATACTAGGGATAATTTTCCAGTGGTTTCTGAACATGCCAATAAGACAAGGCATTATCTGTTCTGGGACAATGTTAAGTTTTGAGACCCCATTCCAGACCCCATTCTAGACATCATTCATGGGACTGGCACTTGAAGGTGTCTGTGTTAGAGACATGTCTACCTGATACAGTGTAAATAGTAAAAAAATGACTGAAGAGTGTCCATTTTAGTAATGTAACCATCTCAAAGAGGTTTCTGTTTTTAAGTTGTCTGTAATTACTGATATTATACGAAACAATATACCTTTCTAAGCAATCCATGCAAGCCTGACATGTACGAATACCAGCTTCATCAGAGTCATCTTTTGCTCGCCCTTTTGATTTGTTAGGAAGACTTTGCGAACCAACTTGATCCAATTTTAATATAGAGACTGAAAGGCAAGATTTTGTTCAATTTTTAGTCGCTTTATCCTCATATTGCAGCACCATTGTGGAGACAAAAATACTAACTTTTAATAAAATATTGTATTATTATCATTATCAGATGCTGATTACCTGAAAAAGTGACAGACACAAAAACAGAGCATTTGCCACACATTATGCCACCACACAATCTGCAGTGATGCCTGCGCCGTGCAACATTGAACTGTTTTTTACAGAGATGGCAAAACTTCACTTCACTATCAGCTATCCAGGGGACCAAACTTCTCTCCAAGGCTGAAAATACCAAAGACAATAATAACTAACAAAAACTCCTGATAGCTAATAGCAGTATAATGAATCTCTCTGAGATATTACTATGGCTGTGAGTAGATTATTTCTTCACAAATGTTAAGCCCCATGGAAACGGACAGAACATTGTTGGATGTTACATGTTGCGTCTGTATGCACACATAGTTGCATGTTGTTGCATGTTGTTGGGAGTTGTTGTGCAAAGTCTGAAACTGATCAAACTTTAAGCTATGGCAAACGGACACAACGACTCCCAACAACGTGTGTTGGGAGTTTTTGGCCAACAGTGTTGTACCCATTTGCATGGGGCTTTAAAGATTAAAGCCATTTTCTGTGAGAGGGTCATATACTTGTGAGGGATCTCTGCGTTATTTGCAATTCCATTATCTTTGAATTTAATTTATTCAGTAACCAAAAGTACAAAGGGGAATTGTCAATGACAAGATGAATATCTCTGTTTTTTTGTCCCTTTAACTTCTTGTGATTCCTGTTCATGTACTTCATAATGATTACAAAATATTAGTTGTATATTGTTAGTTTTATGGTTAATGAAATCCTTAGTTCAGTGACTTGGTCTTGTTGTTGTATGATCAAAGCTGGTTACAAATCGCATCACCAGAATAAGCTATAGACAGCGTTTGACTATAATGGGTACATGATGCATGTAAGAGGTGTTTGCCCTCATACAGAGAATGGTACCCAGCTAAGCCTGTGTTCTAACAAAAGCTGCCTAGTGCTCTGAACTTTTAAAATATAGCGTGCCCAGCATAGGACTAAGATCTTCTAGTCACCCAAGAGCCAAAGTTGCACACCACAGATCCCCAGGCCCTGGACTAACAACTCTAAGGAGCTGGAAGAACAATGAAATGTTGTTGCATAGTGATCACTAGACTAAGTGACTAAACCAAGAAATATTTCATCAAATGATCATCTTGTAGAAGTGCCTTTAAGAGAGTTAACCATGGCCTGTCTTTACTCACATTTTCGTCCCTGTCTGGCTGGCAATGCAGGGGAATCCAACACATGTACTCCTGACCTTAAGAGCTGCATGACAAAACACAGTTACAGTCAACACAAATTTAGGAACTTTACCATAAGAGATTAGTAGCCAAGAATACACACAGAAGCACTGTGTAATACTAACATACCTTTTCAAGTCTTATGAGAATTTTGTTAGTTTCTACGACAAATCTGTCAATTTCTGCATCTCTTCTTTCCCTAAATTCTCTAAATCTGCTCCTTGAAGTACCTGTAATAATATAAAGAGATTTTAAAATATAACAAGCTAGAATTTTGCCACCGTTTGCTCAAAGTCTCCTTGCTTATTTAAGTAGTGCAGTTTCAATGCTTTACTCCAGATGTAACATAGACTAGGGGACGTTGGATGGTCATGACCCAGCAGTGGCACCCAATGTCTGAATGTTTCCAAATGTTAGAAGTGTTTCTACTGGTTTAATTTTCTATGAATTTAGAACCACGATTGGTTAATTTTAAGCTGCCCAAAAAACTATTTAATATCTTTTCAGATTTCGTAGGGGAACTTTGGTCATCTCAAAAGTTTTAGGTGGCTTTTTTGCCTTATCTGAAACTGTTAGCCACCCTGGTGCTTCCAGTTGAAAGTTCAGGGACATGGAATAGCCATACTTCAATAATATTGTTACTATAAGAATATTCTAGAGGACATTTTGCCTTTATACCAAAACTTTCAGGAGACCTTTTTAAACATGATACATGTACTGGCAATATCTTGGTAAAAATGAGAAAAATACAACCTCCACAGAAAAGGAAAAGTATTGTTCAAATGAGGCCTTTAACTGTTGTTTTTTAAAAAACTTAAATTTGTTTATTCGTCATATAAAGTTTTGGCTTGACAGGGTTTTCGTTAAGAATCCTAATAGCAGGAGAAAGGTGTAACATTACAGGAGAACATTTTGAAAGAGACCACATCTGAATAAGTCATAAGCTACTGAACATTAATCAGAAAATTCTGCGAAGTAGATGGAGAATTCTCTGATCTCCGGTGCCTAATGAACACCCTGCTTGTAAGTCGTGATTGGCTTGTCAACACTTTGACTCCAAAAGCGCCGATCGGTTCTCCGATAATCTGCATGTCAGTTCCAGCTGATATTTACAAACAACAGGAAAGGAATTTAACTGCTCGTTTCAGCATAGCTTGGTGGGGAAGGAATGCATGACAAACCCCTAAGAATGTCTGTGTGGAAGGCTAATAACCCCCAACTCTTTTATGGATTGAACTCTCAATGCTAAAGTTTATTCCATTGTGAGCCAAATAATCACATAATTAATATTAATATGTAGTCGAAAGTTGAAAAATATTTCATGAGTGAGCTGCGCTCACTCATGAAATATTTTTCAACATGAGAATATAAACGCCAATGAATGCCAAACCATTTCACTTAAATAGTTTTTTGCTGTGAAAGGCGTGATTTATTATGTAGTCATAATTTCAAATAACAAAAGACCAAGAAGTCAGGTTCACTTTGTAGCTGGTCTTTTTGGCAGTGCCACAATTTTGATGCTTATCACGAAAATCAACCATTGCAAGGGTTAAATGAAGCTTTATAAGTAGTTTAGAGTTTGGATAAGAAAATAATGTAATTTTAATGTAATTTATACCGAATTCTTGGTGGTCCCACAGAAAAGGGTCTACTCCTCGAGTAACAAGGCCTTCGGAAACGTCATCCTCGGATCCGGTTATTATACCGTCCGTATCAGAACTGTCTATTTTGTCCATGATCTTCCTTTTCGCCTTTCCAAACATCCCGCGTATTTGACGAAGAGTGTCTTTATCATCAGAATGACTTTCCTCGAAATGCTTTTGCAAAATCGAGGCGCTTCTCAGATCTTTCAGACACATGGGACAAATAAATCCTTCTTTGATTTCGTCGGCGTCCATTTTGAGGTGTTTACCAGAAGGCACGACTTTTAAAAGTTGTTTCAGTCTTAAACTAAGGCAAACTTGATATCACCTTATACTTCCGCCATATTGGATTTGCGTTTACCTGTACCTTAGGGAATTGTGGGTATAAGCGTGTGCCACACCCACTTCGCTCTCTATAATTTATTGCGTTCGACGAAGGAAGAACGCTTCCTAATCTTCTGGGTTGCCTGTTATCGCGTAGGTTCCCTGTGCACACAAGCGAAAGCTGACCCGTGTTTTTTCGTTCCATGGTTCACCTTTTCGGCGCCATTTTGAATGACGTCACAATTTCGTTGCGCAAAGCATTCTGCCTCGTGTTTCGCTGTTTGTCGGACGTGTTGGAAGGTTCAAGCTTTATCATTCTGCCTCGTTTACGTCATAAGCAATTGTCATATGGCAATCACGTGCATCACTGGTTCCATCAAGGTCAACAAGCAAGATGATTACACGGGAATATTTGAGTTCGGCTAAAGAATGAACTGTGGAGTTGTTTTCTAAGCGGGTTTTATCGCTGAACTGATGATTCTGCTACACCTTTTTCGGTCAATGCCGTTCAAATCGAGCTGGAACTTCGTAGAAACACACAAATAAAGACCAGGTAACATTTGTGCCGTGAGAAGTTTACCAGTGCGTTTGAGTCTATTTATATATTTGTAGTTTAACCTCTTTACGCACGAAATATATTCTGAGATAAAGTAAGCTGTTGTTACAACTGTAATGCTTCATTCACGTCTGATATATTTACGTGGGCCATCTTGCATGATAAGTATCTCGCTCGCTGAAGCAAGCTACGTTTTAAATATGTTAAACTGACCTACATGAACTTGAAATAATCATGAGATGAAAAGTTTGCACAATGGCAAAAGATTCTGTCCTGTTCTCTGACATCAGTAATCTAGCAAAAACCTAATATGTTTCCGTCGCTCCTATGATCATTGTTTTCACTTCAAGTTGTGTCACGCAAGAAGCCAGGACTTTTTAACCTTCGAGGCTACCATTTTTTCGAAGTTTGTAGTGACATGTTTATCTTTTTAACAACATAGAGCTTTTTACGATCTATTTTACATTTTTATCGACCATGCTTGAGGGAGAATAAGACAGGAGTAAAGAGTTAATGAGTGAGATATTTTGAAGCCGTTTACGCGAAGAGCATTTCTTAGGAAGAGAATGTTTACCTTTTAATTCAAGATCTCTTCCATGCCTTTGAAATAATGCTTGACGACACAAGAGCTAATCTGGAGCTAAGAAAACTCGAACGCACTCATTAATCTATGATTACTTCTAGTTTATTCAACAAAATATACAATCGTATAATGCTAAGCGGCGAAGGCAACGCCGGAGAACGGTAAAAAAACAACAATAGGTCCAATTAGCAAAAAAAGCAGCTTTGCACATGCAGCACACTCTTTTTGTACATTTTTTTGCCGTTGTTTCGACGTAATAAATGCATGTATTGAAATCTTGCAGTGAGTAGACGATATCAGGAGCCCATCAAATTTGATGGGCTCCTGACGATATATATATCCTAATTTTAGCGATATTGCACAGATGGAAGAAGGCCTATTTGCAGACTACTTTCACTTGTTTGTCCATTGATAGAAATTCATCGAACCAGACACCTATGTTCTTAGCGGCGTGTGAAGCATGTATCACGTCAAGGCCAACTGTAATAGACTCCAGTCGAGGAAGAGGACGATGGCAAGCATGTCTGCAAGGGGTGCGGTGTACATAGAGTATAGGATATGACCGAGCACCGAATCTTGGTGAGGTGTTCTCGAACTAGCGGGCTTATTTCGCCTCAGAAGAGAACCTTTGAAGATAAAAACTGCCAAGCGGCTTCTGCAGTTGCTGTGTTTTGTTTTCCTAATATTTTTGTCGAAAATGAACGGACAAATGCAGAGTAACTTGGATAAATAGAAATATTTTTAATTTCAACGCGCATGTAGCAGAAAGTTGGTTGTATTAAAGCGCTAACTGTGTTCGCCGTAGTTGTCCGATTACTCATTTTCTTCCAACAATGCTTTGCGTAAGAACAACGTTTCAGTTAAGAGGTAGTTTGTCAGCTCTCTTCCGCTATTTGTGCGTTTACGTTCACAAATGTGTTAGCCTATCATTTTAGCATTAAATTTGATCAACCTTTTGTGGAGCGATTTCTACGGTCACGATTGCCTTCAACGTTACAGACATAAAACTAGAGAGCTCTGAGGCTTATTTGCTGAAGTTAGGGAAAAATCTGTCGTGGGATTTCGAAGTTATTTTTATTTTTCGTAAAAATGAAGTTTTAAATATATGCCGATATCTTAAAAGTTCTTATACTTGTAAGAAAATAAATAACATTTTCCTAAAGTTCCATCATTATTTATTAAGGATGCAAAAAATCGTAGAAATCGGTTGAATCTTTCATTCTGAAAAACGTGAATCAAAAACATAACCAACACACATTTTTTGGACGCGATGAGGTTTATTTATTAGCGCGACGTCTCATGTTGAACTCATAGCGGAGACACGCGTTTATATATGCCACAAATAAAATCTATGGGTATTTTGTTACATTTTTCGGTGGAGAATTAAAGCCAAAATTACTGCGGAGATTTTTCATAGCCTTCATCAAAGCAAAGCTTAACACGGGGAGAAAGGCAAGATTTCGAGATAACCAAGCCAGCGAAAGGGTGAAAATGCAGTTACACGGCATTTTTACGTGAACAGCAGTAACTAACAATGCATTTGAAATATGCAAAAATACTAGCTATTGTTGTGCACGAAAATATGAAACTTGGAGACAATACCCTGAATAATAAGAGGCTCTCCCTTGTAAACACAAAACTTCGGACAAAATATAACCGAATTGAAGCCCTTATTTTACAGCCTTACAATACATCAATAATCTTGGAACTAAAAGGTCATATAAAAGGAAGGTTGATCTCAAGAATCTTAAGTTTTTAAAGAGTTTAAAAATTATTCGCTAATTTGTTAAAGAACACCAAAATGTTTACAAAACCGCGAACAAGAGCGCTTCGATACATACTAATCAAACCCTTCTTTCTAGCCATCGGCTGGAGCTATCTCCATGATATTTCACACGCGTTTTAAAAAAGATTGAAACTACTATGAGGTTAAATTAAATTGCATGTCAAAAGCACTTCGTTTTCTACAGATAACGGCCAAACTATTAAGATTGTCCCAAAAATATCTAGATAACGCTCTTACAGATTGCGCTTAAAGGTCACGAACATCGAGGCCGCTATTGGAGGAAAATTAAAGCTCCCGTGAACGATTTTGAAAGAACAGTTCCCGGTGCCAATTTATATATACTGCTGCAAGTACAATAGGTAATAGCGTCATTTCATTGCTACGATAACTCCGATGTCGTTACAACCCTGATAATAACAAATTTTCATCTTTACCTAATACAACTGTGGTGGCAATTTTTCCAAATCTTTGTTTTTGGCGACGTAGTTTATGCTCAAACTTTAGAGGTATTGACCCTGAAAAACTGTATCGAGCCACCTTAACTAACCACTGTATTTCTGAAACGATTAAGTTTGATTTTAGAGTTATACTGTTGAGAAGAATTAAATAATATCATGCTCAAAAAATGTGGGCAAAATGTCATTTTAAATACCATTCAGCCACCATCTTGTCTTCGGTGTACTGTTTTTTACTAAAGGAAAGACTGTCGTCTCAGGACGAAAGCAAGGCTACAATAAGCTCACGTTCATTGTAGAAATGCCTCGATACCTTAAAGAACTCGTTTGTGGAACGTAGCCCCAATATACGTTATTCATCTCCAGAAAACAGCCTGCAAATGCTGGTAGTGAACGTAAACAATTCACAGAAAATGCCTCTGTGGCACTTCAACGGTTCATATTGACGCATGCGCATACAAAATGCCCTCCTGTTACCCAACCTCGTTCCCAGGGTCCTCTCTTACTTGGCCTTCGTGGCGAGAGAGAGACAAATACTCAGTAGCTCACAGTGGAGCCCGTCCCTCCATCTGTTTGTTTATCATCTGCTAAAATTTAGCAGACACGTGACTAGCCCCAATCAGGGTCTCTTTCTCTCTCGCCACGGGGGCCGATTAGAAGAGGACCCTGGGAACGAGGTTCGGCCGGACCCCCTACCACCGCGTGTTTTGAAAGAATGCGCAGCTGAAATAGTTCATCGTTTAGCATATTGCTGAATAAATCACTCATTACTGGAACACTTCCGTATGCCTCGAAACAAGCTGACATTGGATCCAAAACATGCTGATAAAGAAAATTATCGACAAATATCGCTTACATCAATAGCATGCAAAGTCTGCTAAAAGATCGTAAAAGAGCGTGAGATTAATTTTTGGCAAGACCTGTGAGTGTTAGATGAAATCCAGTTCGGGTTCCTGGAGGGAAAATCAACTGTAACACAGCTGTTAACCTGTTACTACGACTGGGTTTCGTCCAGAAATAAATCTACACCTACTGACGTCGTATTTCTCGATTTCACTAAAGCGTTTTATTCAGTCCCTCACGAGCGCTTACAACTCAAACTGAAAGGTTATCATTGTGGGATCCAGACCTTCAGATAGGGGGGGCGGTCATCCAGACCCTGAGATGAGCGGGGGAGGGCAGTCTCTAAAGAAATTTTTCGGCCCTTTGGGCCTCATTTTGGTCTAAAATTAAGGAGGGGGGCAGGTCCCCAAAGCCTCTCCCCTGGATCCGCCACTGGTTATGGAATAGAGGGCAGTCTGTTGCAGTGGTTTAGAAACTTCTTGACAAATCGGCAACAACGCGTAGTAGTGCGTGGTACCACCTCATTGTCTTCTGTCAAATCTGGAGTTTCCCAGGGAACAATACTTGGTCCTATCCTGTTCCTCATATATGTGAACGATACATCGTCTAACATCTCGTGAACTATTAAACTCTTTGCTGATGACACAATTAAAGTGAACAGAGAGATTGCCGACAGTATAAATGATACTCCAACCCTTCAAACCGAAA